TTGGCCCCAAATATATTTGTATAATGTTATCATATCCCCTCTCATGCTGCGTTTTTCTAAACTAAATAGGTTTAAATTTGTTAACCTTTCTTAATAGCTGATACGTTCTATTCCTTTTATTAATTTTGTAGCCCGCCTCTGCACTTTTTCTAGTGCCATAATATCCTTCTTTAGAACAGGTGCCCAGTGATTTATAAAGAGGCAAAATAATATTCTCGTCCCAAGAATGAATGCCCTTTTTAATGCATGACAATACCTTACTGGCCTTGGCCACTGCTGATTGACATTGCACATTGTTGCATAGTTTGTTGTCTATAACAATTCCCAAGTCCTTTTCGTGTGTTGTTATCCCTAATTTGCTTCCATTAAGGGTATACGTTGCTTGTGTATTCTTTACGGCAATTGGGTCCCACTAGGGCCTTGCCCTGCATCGGAGTTGTCAGTAGTAGTGTTCAATAATCTATACAACTCTGCCTTTCTAGTGGTAGCTGGGAAAAGGATGCAGCGTCTTCTGAGTTCTGCAGTGAGACGTGGGATGGTCCATGATTTTATGGACGAAGGACTATTAACATCTGTTCCAGGAACAGGGGTACCAGGCCTAGCGGGTGTGTTGGGTAGTGAAAGTTCCTCAGGGATATCAGGAGTTTGTGACATAACTGAAAAATATAAAGTAGCTTAATCAATCACCCTGTAATGAATTGGGTGGGTACTGGTGAGGCTTGCTAGATACCAAGCGGTGAAACAATTATACTTTGTGATAGTGACAGATGAGTCCCTGCTAATTGCCAAGTGGCCTGAGAGGCACTACCTATGCATGGGCCCGAGGGTAAAGTATGAGGCCACCGAACATTGTGGCGGGGTGTTGGCTTTTCGGTGGCAATTAAAGCGGCACTGTCATCCCGAACGTACCTTTCCCCAATCGATTCCTCTTCTCTCTTTCTCTCTTTCTCTCTTTCTCTCTTTCTCTCTCTCTCTTTCTCTCTCATGGAGGTTTCCTACGCGGTGACCAGAGGAGGAGCAAACTGTGCTTCGTTTCCCGTTGGTCACAGCAATTTTCCCACAATCCTTACCTTTCCTCCCTGTTCCCGTGATGCTTCCTGTCAGTTAGACAGGACACCGGCAAAACTGCCGAATTGCGTTCTAACAGTTTCTCCATTCGTGTTAGAACACAATTCAGTACTTTGTTCATATCGGAATTTCATTCTAATGAATGAAACTCCGATCCTATTCATTGTGGCTGCTGCATCTTGCATTCCCACAGTATTAGGGAGTTATCTACCAAAAGGCTGAAAGACCTAAATTGGGGCATGTCTAGTAAACAGTGAGCAGCCTGTGGCCCCCACCCTTGAGTGGTGGGTGGGGGCCATTAATTACAATGGGGGGGACCTACTGTCCTCCCCCTGGCCCTCACCACTGCGCAGTGGGTGGGGGCCATAAATTACAATGGGGGGACCTACTGTCCTCCGCCCCAACCCCTGTGTGGTGGGTGGGGGCCATAAATTACAATGGGTATGATGGCTTTTTATTTGGCCTTTTTGGGGTTGAAAAATGAAGATTTTAAAAAAAAGAAGACATCAAATGGTAAGTTTAATTTTTGTTTACAGGTTAGTTATTTTATTCCACCCTCACTATTTTTTAGGGTGAGGGGGGTAGGTAGGGGTAACTTTGCTTTTTTTGGGGGGGTGGGTAGTAGGTACTCCCCCCTCATTATCTTTATGGCCCCCACCCACTGCTCAGGGGTGGGGGCCGGGGCGAGGACAATAGGTCCCCCCCTTATTGTTATTAAGGGCCCCCACCTGCTGCGCAGGGGTGGGGGCCGGATAGTAGGTTGTTGTTGTTTTTTGTTTAAACAGTGAGCAGTCACAGGCTGCTCACTGTTTAGTAGACATGCCCCTATTCGTGGTATAGCGAGTAGGAGCATTCGGGAGATTTTAATCTCCATTATGCTATTATGGGGGTCATATTGACCCCCATAGAGTGATGGGGGACCTGGGGTGCTTAGGAAGTGGCGGGGAGCACAGCTCCCTTCCTCATCTATCTTTACATATGCGCGCCGGTAGCTCCCTCCTTAATAAACATAATAAACTGAACAACAAACGAACACTGATATTCAGTGTTTGTTTGTTCGTCTGACAATGCTATTCATTCATTCGGCTTTCTGACGAATGAATGAATAGATGAAATTCCCGTTCGCATGTCCAAGTGTTTAACTAGGCATGTGCGGGAATCTCACAGCGCTATCTAGTGTGGGTAGATGACGTGTCCCACAGGGACTTCCTCTACGCACACAAAGATGGCGGCGCCCTGAATATAGATTGGGGCAGAAAACAAAGATTAAAAATAGGTAATATGGGGGGCTTAGGGACATTTGGGGATGACTAAGGGGTCAATTAGATGTAGTGGAGTCGGGAGGTGGGTTAAAATATAACAGGATTCAGCCATGACCGTGCCGCTTTAAAGCATAAGATAGAATGGGAGTGACAGGTGAGGCCCTCTCTGTGCGACAGTGCGAGGCGGCTTGCTATGATTTGGCCCAAGGGACTGAATATGAGGATGAGGGTTGGTCTTGCGGGACCACCAGCCTATGGATTAAGACCAGAAAATATATTCCTAATTGGGCTACGTAACCTAGGACCAGTATCACTCTAACTCAGGTCGAGCTGTCAATGTAGAGGTAAACAGCGATTGTAATAGTATCGTGGTGTGACCTGTGGACATGAAAATTAATATATAAGCGTCTGTGTGTATGGTAGTAGCTGGCCAGATTGTGGGCCCGAAATCAAAAGAACCTACCAGACACTATTCAGAGGGTAGTATTTAAACGGAAGATGACGGCTTTCTCGTGCTTGTAAAAGCTACCGTCCGAAGTTCAAGAACCTACAGAGTACATTTATATGCTTAACTAATTTAACATGTATCATTTGGCTCAAAGCATGAATCATAAATCAAATTCCAACCAACCTAGAAAGCAAACACAATTTTGACACAGATGTCAGGAATCACAATTCTTAAGTACGAACTCCTCGGTATGAACCTGTGGGAAAAGGTCAGAAATATCAGTTTACAACATCCAGACTTCATCGTCTATATTTCTAAACCCTCAGTGGAATTTTATAAATGACTGTAATATCACTTGTAACCAGTAGGGGCAAAATCACATTGAGTACTGGGTGAAATTCGTGCCTATGTCGTGAGTTTAGTTGTAATCATCAAAAGAACTAGGGATGCATCAAGAGCTGAAACATACGAATGGATGCGTCCTAAGTGCCGTTCGAAAACCGAAAGGTTTATATAGTGGTATGTGAACAAATGATTGCGTTCGTGTAACTGAGCAATGTGAAACATGCGTATGGACAGATAGGGATAGGGGAAATATGCGAACAGCGTAAGTGTACGAAATGTATAATAGTAAGAACCGAAACGCTGGTTCAAACGAACGGGGCTCTGCCCTGTAAAGCTAGCAAAGTTTGGAGCCAGACTTATGGCTAAACCCGGTGTGGAGCTTAGAACGAACGGGTTGCGCGGACGCCAGTGACAGGTGGCAGAGGCAGGGAAGCACCGGACCAGGAGACCATGAGGAAAATAGGTAAGGAAATCAAGATGGCGGTCTGAACCAGAAGTAAACGTTTCAGACTCACCAGACCAGCAACGGTAAGGTGAGAGTGGATTGGCAGCCCTTTTAAAGGGGATTCAAGCTCCTCCCACAACTAAAGGCCAAGCCTTCAAATATAACGAAAACTATATATATATATTTAATCAATATGATTGTATGTGTATTTTGATATTAATATATATTTATAATTATATATATATATATATTAAAATACACTGCCTGCTGGCACTGACATGGACTATGCTGTCCATGTGATTGTGAGGTCTTCGCAAGGACCTCACGATCACATGGCCTAGGGTGGCCGGAGAGGATGGAGAAGGACTCCCTTGGCTCCCAGATGAGTCCCCACACCGCGACCGCCGGCATTCAAAGCCGGGTCCCCAAGGACAGCATAGAACGCCCACCGTCCTTAAGGGATTAATTTCGTGAGTGCCCAAAGATTTTCCTGTTTTCTAATACAATATCCACAGACCATTTTATTGCCATTAATGGGGTGGAGAGTTGAAAATGTTACCCGCAAAAATCTGGACCCAACTCATGATTTATCCATTAGTCTTGTAATGCTAAATGATAGGCTGTTATCTCATGGATAACAACGAAATATTAAGGCTTTGGCAGGTATTGTGATTACAGACAGGGGGCGGGGCTAGGCTGCCATGCTGAGCGGCTGCATGGAGAGTGAGCTCTTCGCTTAACTTGATCTTATAACATTAACCAAAGGCATTTGCTCAAAGTATTGCTACAGAAGTATACCCGTGCACACGGCTGCTGCGAAACTCTGCTCCAGCTTGCTTGAAGTGTGGCCTGGTGTGGGCCCATCTGGGAGCTGCGGTCGGGACTTCACTGACGGGGCGACGGCTGAATTCTGTTTCCCCCCCCACTCTGGGCCGGTGGGGGTTATCACGGTCCCCACTGAAGAAAATATAATCCTAATTGGGCTACGTAACCTAGGACCAGTATCACTCTAAAACTAGAAAAGTACTGTTTTTAACCTGCTGTGATTACCTCTTACCTCTAACGGCAACCTCAACCTCACTGCCCCTTCAAGATGGTGGACGCGCCGCGCTCAGCCTTGCAGGGCCTAGAATCTATAGAAACTGTCCTAAATCGTCTGGATGCAATCTTCCAGAGCTTCTGGCAAAAGCTATGAGAACGGCAGAGAACCCAAGCGACTCAGCCACAAACAGACAGGCGGGACACCTTTGCACCGGAGAAAGGTGGGAACCCTCAGAACAAGGCAGGACAGCAACAGCTCACTTACCTGGTTACTAACCCTCTTGGGTCGAGCGCCTCCAGGGGTGTCACCTCCAAGCCCCAAACACAACGGCTGAAGATACCGGCCCCAAGATGGGTCCGCAGAAGGCGGAGGGGAGTGCTTCACTGCAAGATGGCGAGAGCAGGGCCTCAGCCACTGCAAAAGCCATACTCCTGTCCAGACTGGACCAGAGCAGAGCACCAGAAACATGCCGGAAACGACAAGCAAATGGAGGAGTTCAGCCATCATAGACCCCGCAGCCCACCGTTACACAAGCTGGCTCCCCACAAACTCGGCCTTCCACAAGCTCGAAGTACAGAGGGATGGTCCGTGCGGATCCTACTGGGCATACGCCACAACAACTACTGCGCTCAGAAGCCCCAAAGTCTGCGGGGCATCGGCTGACCGGTGAATGGGACTGTATCTCTGGCATAGTGCAGATCCAAACGCATAACTCTAGAACATGCTGAATATTTGTTTGGTTTCCTTTCATTATGCCTGCTGCTCACTTATTCTGTTTAAGATGCCTCTTGACCAATCTTTACTTCACTTTAGTCCGTGCAAATTATGCTTTCTATGCAAATATCCCTTAATCATGCACCACAAACAACTGCCAGTTAGTATAGCCTGTAAATATTCATGTTGCAGCGTGATAATCCCCTGACATAAATGAGCTTGTTTATATTGCCTACACCTCAATAATGTGTCTCTACTTCTAGGCCATATCTGCGAATTAATGTGATAATTCCATACTCACCTAGGCTCAGGGCCAGTGCAAGGATTTTTGCCGACCTAGGCAAAAGTAAAGTTTTCCGCCCCCCGTGACATCACAATGCCCCACCCATATGACCTGCCATGTTATCTAACGCCAGTGCTGCAGTGCCGCTGTGTTTACATTAAAAGGCCTGCAGGGACAGGCTATAGACACCAGGACCACTACATTAAGCTGCAGTGGTTCTGGGGACTATAGTGTTTCTTTAATGTGAGGTAAATTAGAGATTAGTGCCACGAATAATATACTAGATTACCTAGTTACAAGCAGATGAGGATGATGATGGGCTCTAGCTACAGTCTGGCTCCACTGGTCTGGTGTATAACAGGATCTCTGGAGGCTGTTTGTAACTGTGGTCACAAAAATCAATGTTCTGGGAGAACGAGAAGCAGCTCCATTTTTTGGGGGCCCTTTACACAGCTCAAGGTCTGGGTCCCAGGGTCCACCTTCATGTTCCACCAATGAGTTTGTTCACAGGAGGTGGAGTGTGTAGGGGATGTCCTGATTTGTGTGTAAGGAATGCATTGTGTGAATCTGTGTTTGTATGTGTAAGGGCTGCAAGGTGTGTTTCTGTGTATGTAAGGGATGAAGTGTGTGAGTCTGTAAGGGGTGCTTTGAGTGTGTTTAAGGGGTGCATTGAGTGTGTGTAAGGAATGCATTGTGTGTAAGGGATGCATTGTGTGTAAGGGTTGCATTGCGTGTGTGTGTGTGTAATGCATTGTGTGTGTAATGCATTGTGTGTTTTTCTGTGTGCAAGGGGTTCATTGTCTTTGTGTGTAAGGGGTGCACTGTGTGTGATTGTGTGTGTGTGATGGATGTCAGTCTCTCCCCCCTCCCTTGTCACTCTCTTCTCCCCCCCTCCCTTGTTACTCTCATTCCCCCTCCCTCCCCCCTCCCTGTCAAGTCCGCCTTACAGGTAGCGCCGGCCCTGCCTAGGCTGATGTGGCATCAAAAGATGCTTTTTAGCTAGCTAGGCAATGTTTAACTGTCTCTAATCACCATTATACTCTTTACAATCACTGTATGCCTACTATGTCAAGCTTACTGACCCCAACTTGACCCACTACAATAGACATACAAAGTTAGCCTGTATTTAGCATGTTTATAAACTTAAAAATTGTGCTTTCTCCACATGCCATGCAAATGTCAACAAATACTTGTTTGCAAATCAACTGTAACATGGCATCGCAAGCATGCCTCTGTTCTCTCATGCACACAAAAAAAAAAATTACAGACAGACCAGATGATGTGTTTGTTTCTTCAAGGCTGTTCATAACAGACAATTCAGGTTTTGTGTAATTATGTATTTGTTATGTTATTGGTATTGCTACTACTTGATCCAGCACGTAGAATTGTGTCACACAGAGGACTAACGAACCAAAGAATAGCCAGGATACTAGCCGAGGTCAGTGGACACAGAAAGGGACACAACGATAAAGGAAAGCCAGAAGTAAAGGATACCAGAATACATGATATGCTATGTTATTTTACAATGGACATACATCCTTTCCCTCTGTTTATTGGAAAGTATAAATCCATATCCGATGAGCATATTTTGGACAAAGGGAGGAAAAACATGTTGGTTTGTTCACTCTTCATTGTGCTTTAAATTTCAAGAAAGATCAGCTCTCTAAAGGCTCCTTCATTTGCTTTTGCAGTGATACTTTTGCATTGACCTTCAGGATCTCTACCTGTGTACATGGGGATTGTTACTGTTCAGATGTTTAATGAGATAAAATTCCTTACCCCACTTGAAGGAGAAAGCTTTCCATAGCTATGCAAGCCTGGGTCAAAGTGATGGTGGTGATCAGTTTGCTAAACCTTAGCCTATGGCAAATAACCTGTATAAAAAAAAAAATATGACTCTCTACTGGCTTAGGTCCAGACTCTCCAGAACAGGGGTGAGCAACCTTTAGTACTCCAGATGTTCTGGACTACACCACCCATAATGCTTTGCCAGCATTATGGATGTACAAGCATTGCACAACATCTGGATTGCCGAAGGTTGCCTCACCCTGCTTTAGAATATGTACCTTCATGCGCTGACTAACCCATGATGCTTCCCCTCCTTTGTCCACAATATCAGATCATCACTGCCATTCTGCTTGTCAATGCCCTTCTCCACCCTGTCCTCCTCTTTCTTTTACCTCTACTTGGCCCTATCACTTTGCACGCTCCCTCCCTCCCCCTTTCGATAAGCCTCTTTCACTCCACTCTGATCACTGATCTGACTAAAATATGAATACATATATTTCAAGTTACATTCATTTATAATTGAGCTATACTAAAATGCTCAAAAAAATAAAGGGAACACTTAAACAACACAATGTAACTCCAAGTCAGTCACACTTCTGTGAAATCAAACTGTCCACTTAGGAAGCAACACTGAGTGACAATCAATTTCACATGCTGTTGTGCAAATGGGATAGACAACAGGTGGAAATTATAGGCAATTATCAAGACACTCCCAATAAAGGAGTGGTTTTGCAGGTGGTGACCACAGACCACTTCTCAGTTCCTATACTTCCTGGCTGATGTTTTGATCACTTTTGAATGCTGGTGGTGCTTTCACTCAAGTGGTAGCATGAGACGGAGTCTACAACCCACACAAGTGGCTCAGGTAGTGCAGCTCATCCAGGATGGCACATCAATGCGAGCTGTGGCAAGAAGGTTTGCGGTGTCTGTCAGCGTAGTGTCCAGAGCATGGAGGTGCTACCAGGAGACAGGCCAGTACATCAGGAGACATGTAGGAGGCCGTAGGAGGGCAACAACCAAGCAGCAGAACCGGTACCTCTGCCTTTGTGCAAGGAGGAACAGCAGGAGCACTGCCAGAGACCTGCAAAATGACCTCCAGCAGGCCACAAATGTGCATGTGTCAGAAACAGAATCCATGAGGGTGGTATGAGGGCCCGACGTCCACAGGTGGGGGTTGTGCTTACAGCCCAACACCGTGCAAGATGTTTGGCATTTGCCAGAGAACACCAAGATTGGCAAATTCACCACTGGCGCCCTGTGCTCTTCACAGATGAAAGCAGGTTCACACTGAGCACATGTGACAGACGTGACAGAGTCTGGAGACACCGTGGAGAACGTTCTGCTGCCTGCAACATCCTCCAGCATGACTGGTTTGGCAGTGGGTCAGTAATGGTGTGGGGTGGCATTTCTGTGGGGGGCAGCACAGCCATCCATGTGCTCGCCAGGGGCAGCCTGATTTCCATTAGGTACCGAGATGAGATCCTCAGACCCCTTGTGAGACCATATGCTGGTGCGGTTGGCCCTGGGTTCCTTCTAATGCAAGACAATGCTAGACCTGTGGCTGGAGTGTGTCAGCAGTTCCTGCAAGATGAAGGCATTGATGCTATGGACTGGCCCATCCGTTCCCCAGACCTGAATCCAATTGAGCACATCTGAGACATCATGTCTCGCTCCATCCAGCAACATTGCACCACAGACTGTCCAGGTGTTGGCAGATGTTTTATTCCAGGTCTGGGAGGAGACCATCCGCCACCTCATCAGGAGCATGCACAGGCGTTGTAGGGAGGTCATACAGGTACGTGGAGGCCACACACACACTACTGAGCCTCATTTTGACTTGTTTTAAGGACATTACATCAAAGTTGGATCAGCCTGTAGTGTGTTTTTCCACTTTAATTTTGAGTGCGACTCCAAATCCAGACCTCCCATGGGTTGAAAATTTGATTTCCATTTTTTTATTTTTTGTGTGATTTTGTTGTCAGCACATTCAACTATGTAAAGAACAAAGTATTTCAGAAGAATATTTAATTCATTCAGATATAGGATGTGTAATTTTTGTGTTCCCTTTATTTTTTTGAGCAGTGTATATTCTTTCCAGTTCTTCATGGTTAATTAGGATGTTTGTAAGTGTCCTACTTTTGTTTTCCTTGTTTCTGTGCTCTGTTGATACTCTTAAAAGCTTAATTAAACTTTAATTTATGTAAATAAAACAGAATGTCCCTACAGCAACTATTGAATCATGTTGACAAAGGAATATTATCCGTGATTCAGATGAAATGACTCATGTCTCATCCTTCCTAAAACACTTGGAGAGATATTAGCAGACGCCTAGTGCTGCACAAAATTATCTGAAAGCATTCTGCTCATACAAATGTTTACTAGAAAATTAAACCAGAAATAGGACATCAACGTCCTGGTCAGTGACATAATATTATAATAGATAGTATATCAACATATTTTTAAACTCTTAAGATCATTCTTGACTGCTGGGGAAATTCACATTATCTGTTGTCACTACTGACCTTGGATTTTTAAGTTGTCCATACAACAAATAGTGGAGAGGAACACATACAACCAGCCATGACTAAATGCGAGATCTAATTTCAGGTAATCATTTAGACTGTGTTTTTGGAAATATTATGCCTTCCAAGATGTTCCTTCAGGGTGTCCGTACATACCAAAAAGTTGAAAACTGTATATTTTCACTGTTCTGTGATTTATAAATTGATATTGCAACTTAATTGGGGTTGCATCTCCTATCATATGGATGAAAATACGTAACAACTGATTATGTTTTAATAGTGTGGTTAATTATTTTTGTATTTTTCTTAATTTTATTTGTAGATTAGCTTTATTATTTTGTTTTAGTAAATGTATGTTATATCTTTACTGTCAAGTTATATATCTGTGTTATCTGCGGTACCCACTGAATTCATGTGTTATTGCATCAGTATTTTTTTTTTTTTTAAAGAAAGCGGTAAAAGCAGTGATTATATCCCCATAAATATTCTAATGCTTGGTAAGACAATATCACATTTGATTCATGGATCTCTGAATATACTGACGATTTTAAAAAGGTCCAATGTGGGACTGAGCAGATACAAAACGGATCCGCAACCCGGGTAGTGTCAGGCATAAGAGCGAAAGTTCATTCCACATAGTCAGGACATGGGTTGCCTTGGGGTTACTGGGCTATTTTAATTGTATACCAAATAAACAACCTTAAACCCTCAATGATCCAGGGTCACACTGCAGGTTGTTTATTTAAATTATTTGGGCAAAACAATATAAGGCGTAACAATTTATGTTTTATTATGCATTATTAACAGAACATTCTAATCACAATAACCACTATAGTGCTCTTCTGCTAGGATCTTCTGTTAGCTCTCTTGAGCTAAACCTTGCAGTGCAGTGCTAGTTCATTAGATGAGAGCATCAGCTGATCACTCTCAGCCAGTGAGCTAACCCCTGCGCTGTTGCACTAAGCTCAGGCACAGAACTTCCGGCTCGTTAATGGTTAATGGTGTTGTAGATGAGGCAGGGAGCAGCCCTGGCAGATCTCAGGTAAGATATTAAACAAAAATTCTAAAATGGATACCCAGAGTGTCCTCCTACTCCAAACATTATTCCCCCATAGGTATGTATAAATATTTTGTTTAATATTTTATAGAAATCTCTGTTCAGTTTGCTATAAGAATGCTGGTTGAACCCAATACTTAATTTTATGACTGTTTATTCATGTTTGCTTTGCCATTAGCTACTCTGTGTATGGCTTATCCCTGCCCAATATATGCTATTTCCTATATGTATGTTAGCTTACAAGATGAATGGCATTTCTCTGTGGGTATAGGAGTTAATATAAAAATCACAATTTATTTAATCTCCCATAATGCTCTTACAGCCATAATATTGACAGAGCATAGGAAGTGTAGTCCAAAACATTTGGAGTCCCAAAGGTTGCCTACTCCTTATTACTACAGTATTCTGGTATTCACAATTGAATACATTAGATCTTCTTCTTCTCCGGTAAAGTACGATGTGTGGTTATGGATATTGGATTAATGAACCCTGTACCACCAATGCACGCGCTTAGACTATATTCAGTCAGTATCATTAGATTCCCAGGCCTTCTAGTTCATGCACTTAAAAGCAGCAATGTACACGGATCACTAAACTGACAGACTTATATATTCAAACCAGCCACTTTCTTTTGGTTTCCTATATCTTACCCAATTAGAATCAGCAGTCACCACACAAGTAACTCGTTCATACTACCCTCCCTCATAACCTCGGCCCTGACACTCACTTAGGTGGAACCCAGATGCTATAAGGATGTCATGCCTAGCTTGGTGTGGTTTTTAGTATGCCCTCTTAACCCTAGTAAATGTCACAGAATGGCCAAATCACCACGTTTGGTGGTCTACTTCCCCATTGAAGCTTTTTAGATGGATTTCTCAAAAGATTTGTTATAAACTGTATTTTATTCTGTTTTAGGAATTGTTCATTGTAACGGATCACCTGGCACCCCGACTGGGTACCTCCGTTGAAGGATGCTCCTAGCGCTTCCTGAGGACTCCAAGCACTGCAGCAGCCACCACAACCACTGAACCGGAGAAGCATACAAATGCTCTCAAGCTGTAAGCAGCTGAACAGGAAAAGGAATCAGCCTACACTCCTAGCAATCAGCATACAATCCAATTCCCCCAATAACGAGACGACACTTCGTTTTTGAGGTCAAGCAGAACTGCCTGTACTGGCACATACAGCCTCTTTTATTAACAATCCACAAACATAGTACTGCCCACAGGGTTTTGAAATACAACCAATCAATCCATACAATACACAAAATCCTCCCCTCTGCCTGTGATATAATTACTGAACACAATGGTTAATATAATTATCACAGGCAGAGAAATACAGTATTATAAAACCTATCACAGGGATCCCAAAACATGCAATAACCCCATGAAATATATCCTCGGAACCAGGGGATCTGGGTGAACCACATATCCAAAATTCACCCAGATCCGTTCAGTAGTTTGGAAGATACAGTTTAATGCAGATTCCGCAGAACATATACAGGCTATATGAAAAATAATTACTGTACAATGTGTCCCCTGTTGTATAGTTTAAAACTACTGCACGATGTCTTTGAGCACCAAATACCGGTGAGATAGCACAGTGTAGAAAAGTCTGTTACAGGCAAATGCAAATATTACAAGTTTTAGAATGAAATATTGTATTTCTTAAACTGTGTACTTTGTCTTTAAGAGATATTGCAAACTGACAAGGTGTTAGAAATGGAACATATTGTTTTTCATAACTGTTTCTTTAAGCAATAACCTCAGTGCATAATATGTTTGTGCCATTTTGTCCCAGACGAATTACAATAACAATAATGCATAAACAAGCTTCAAGGCTATGCTACGACTCTTGCAGTACACAATATACAAGTTAATGGAACTTCCCCAAATCCAGGAATCTCCCGCGACTGTACACTTACGACTTAGTATAAACAACAGATAACCTATTCAGACTTTAAGATGCCATTTTGAACTAAGTCAGGAAAATTTCCATGACGTTTGCACCCTTTAGTTATGGCCTTGTATGTTTGCCAAATTAAGGGAGGTCCTAAATTGAATAAAGTAAAAGAAGTGTTACTTTTTCATATTTGAACTACAGTAACCTAAAATGGAGACACCTAAGGTATAAATAGGTGTACTTTTAAATGTTAAGACACAGAGGAGAGACTTGGAGACAGACGCTGCTCCATCTTAAAATGACAGAGAGGCTGACATGATGACATGTTCAGAAGGGTATGTTAACCTATTAATGATATTTGCAAGCATGTAATTTAATCTTATAAACTCTGCTATAATGGATTTTATATTTTTATATAATAAATATCCAAAAGACAAAACGATTGCTTCCAAGACAATCCTTATTTTATATTGTATTCTCAATTATTTATATATGTTAAATAGAGGATCTCTTACACTATATAAAATTATGGCTAAGATATCTGTATGGTTAGCCCTACTAAGTTCTATGCTTTAAGACATTATAAATAAGGGAACCACCAGCGGTTACAAGTCCAAACAGTGTCTGTGAGTTAAAATGTCTGCCATCCATTGTTCTCACCATGTGCCTCTGATACATGAAATGGTGGCCATCCAGTAACTCCACAGTTTGTCTGGTAGTCTATCCAGCCGGACCAACAGTGTTTTCAAATGCCATATATCCCAGGGCCATAGTCAGAAGGTGGGAGGCGGGCAAAAAGCCCCCTCCAAAAACAAGTGGCGAGGTCTGTTCCACAACATTCATATTCTCAGAAAAATACTAGTTTCCATCTCGTAACTTATCAACCAATACTACATTCTTTTACTATGTGGCACAAGTTAGATTGGCCAGACCGAGGAAGTTGGAAATATGGATGTTCCAATCATAACACATAGTTATGATGTTCATGTCTGGTTCAGATACTTCATCAAAACTCATGACCATCAGGAGAGGCTGGCCTTACAACAGTTAGTTTTATGCAAAATGCTCTACCCCATCACAACTTTACATCCAGCCTAGTTTTTATTTTTTTCTCACCTATCTTTTACTTCTTGCTTAGTTATCTTTTCTCACATATCTATCACAATAGTCTTTTCATTTTCATTTCATAATTTATACTGCTGGTCTGGTCCTCCAAGGTCCATATTTCTTACCCTTTTCCATCATAATTTATATTGCTAAACATAAATTTATGGTCTGCTAAAGTCCTCCAAGGTCTATATTTCTTACCAACCTAACCTAGGAACTAATTAGCATAGACAAAATGCTACTTATACCTCAACCCATTTACATTCACATTGGGGTGGGTTCTAGGATACTCATTCACCAGCACAACCCGGTTTGTACTCTAGAGTCTGTCTCTCTGAAACTGGGAGACTTTGTTACTTTCTACCAATTAATATTGTGTAATCAGCTAGGCTTATACCCAGCGCTGGCATAAGGTGATGTGCAAGTGAGTTGCCAGGGTTAGGTCTATTTGTAGCGCACTGCTATTCACATGTGTACTCAAAGAGTCAGGTTCACATGCTTTTTCTCACAGCTAGTCTCTTACACAAGTTAGTATTTATTCTGATAATTAATAATTTTGCTCTCTATTACAGGGTCACTCTCTTATTGACTCAAGCACACCCCAACAGACTTTGCCCTTATGTATTAGGCCATTGTATAGTACAAACTCAGCTGCCAAGTGTGCAACATCTTTAGAATACTCAGAGCTTGTAGCTGAGACCCGAGACACTGTTTGCTGAAAATATTTTTTTTAGTTCCATACTGCAAGCTGGGGATGTGACGGAGCGGCTTCTGATCTACACTGTAGTCTGGGGCAGTGACTCTGTAAGTTATTTTGTTCAACTAAGACATTCAACCAATTTAGAATAATTTGATGAATCCTTCTCATTGAGCAGTTCAGAGTTTTTGCTAGGATGTATTTAAACTAGGAGAGGGGGGCAAAAGGGTGATAAAACATCAATCCAGTTGCCCTCCAAAACAAGGACAGAAGGTGCCTGTAGCAAGTGTGATAAGCTTAGTCATGCCTACAAGTGCACACAGTTGAGGGGATAAGATCCATGAACTTGTGGCAATAATGGCAACTGATAGTGTAGATTTAGTCACTGTTGCGGAGACATGGTATAATGAGAAAAATGACTGGGACATAGCAATACCAGGGTACTCTTTATATAGAAAAGACAGGGAAGGAAAGAAAGGGGGAGGTGTGGCCCTGTATGTGAAGGATAGCATAATATCTAGCCTAATAAAAGTTAGTGTCCATTTGGGTTACGGTAGAATTTGGTAGTCACACAGTAACTCGTGTAGGTGTGATTTATAGGCCCCAAGGACAAATAGAAGAGTTCTACTAGTTCAGGAAATAGCTAAAATGGCAATGAAGGACAAATGAGTCATTTGTTACATGTGAGTTTACAGAGGAAGAGGTTAACAGCCGAATGCGCTAACCGATTGCGCCACAGAGACAGGTTCTATTTCAGCTGTCAAAAGTAAAGACAAATAAGGCAATGGGACCTGATGGTATACACCAAAAGTTATTAAGAGCTTAGTGGTGTACTAGAAAAACCATTAACAGATTTATTTAACCAATCATTGTTAACAGGAGTAGTTCCAGAAGATTGGATGTTAGCGAATGTTGTGCCCGTTCACAAGAAAGGTAGTAGGAAGGAGTCATGCTGCTTTAGGCCAGTAAGCCTTACTTCAGTAGTGGGGAAAGTAATGGAAACCATATTAAAGGATAGTGTGGTGGGACCGCTGTCTAACTGTGAATCGCTCTTTCCTATGTGTGGATTTCCCCTCCGAAAAAAGTGTGTTCACTCTTTGTAATTTTACCCCTTTCTGTAATTTTGACCTAAATCATGCAAAGTACCTTTTAACCACACAAGAGCGCTCTGGCACATGGAGCCCTGTGCGCCGGACCACCCCAATACTCCATTTAGAACGTTCAGTTAGAATGTTAACACTTCGTTAATGAGGTGTGAAAACGTCAAGGGAACAAGCAGCGCCTGCTTCCCCTGGGTAACCACCAGTTCATATCTCTGAACGCCCACCAGGGGGAGCATTCGTCTCCTGAACCACCTGCGAGCACTGTCTTCGATCCCCATGTCGGGGATCGTCCTACCCACTCCCCAACGGAGCTACAATCACTTCCAAGCCCCCCCACCTGGGAACTACCAGGCTAGGCCCGTAGCTGCCCAGGAAAATGCTCTCTCCGGCGGATACCTGCATGGGGGTATCCACCGGAGAGAGGGAACGCGCGCCAGCGGGGAATCTCACGGCTGCAGTTCAGGCTGGCTGTGTGGAAGTCCGTGCTGACCACTGGGAGGAGCGCTCATTCAAACTGGGTTTGCACCATTCTCCTCATTGGTCGGCACGAGTAAGCCCTGAGTGGTCGCTGTGGGGCGCCGGCGGCTAATCAGAGCAGAAGCGCCAGTTCAAATGGGGTCCCGCACCTTTTCCTCTGATTAGGCGGCGAAGCCCCTCTCGTCCCTGGGCGCTGATTGGCACAAATTGGTTTTGCGCCTTTCAGCAGATAGGCGCAACAGAGTTTTGCGCCTCTTCTTTGGATTGGACGGCGAAACTCCTTCCTCATCTGAGCTCTGATTGGCGCGATTTGGTTTGCTCCGTTTCAGCCGATTGGCTGTTGCTTGGTTTATGCGCGAAGTTTGAATTCGCCGAACTAAACCAAGCAACTCCCTGGAACTAATTTTGAGGATGTACCGAGCCTCGAGCTCCAGAGTTTGAATGCTGATATCTCGTGTTCTGTACATCCGATCGTCCCGCTTTTTCCAGGGATCCCAGATGGGACCCGGGGCTATTTAGCAATTAAACCCTGTAACCCCTTCCCACCCCAGGTGCCAAGCCCCAATGTATGTATGAATAATAAGTGCAAGATAATATATAGTACAGAATATATGATAGAGTCCTAAACTCTACATCTGAGGAAAGGGATTTAGGGGTAATTATTTCTCATTACGTAAAGGTAGGCAGACAATGAAATAGAGCAGCAGGAAATGCTAGCAGAATGCTTGGTTGTATAGGGATAGGCATTAACAGTAGAAAGAGGGAAGTGCTCACACTGGGGAGACCTAACTTGGAGTATTGTACGCAGCACTGGAGACCGTATCTCCAGAAGGATATTGATACTTTAGAGAGTTCAGAGAAGGGCTGCTAAACTGGTTCAATAACTGAAGGCTAAAACTTACAATGAAAGTTTAAAGGAACTTAACATGCATAGCTTGGAGGAAAGACGACACAGGGGGAATATGATACAAACATTTAAATACATCAAGGGAATCAACACAGTAAAGGAGGAGACTATATTTAAAAAAAGAAAAACTATTACAACAAGAGGACATGGTCTTAAATTAGAGGGGCAAAGGTTTAAAAATAATATCAGGAAGTATTACTTTACTGAGAGGGTAGTGGATGCATTAAATAGCCTTCCAGCTGAAGTGGTAGAGGTTAACACAGTAAAGGAGTTTAAGCGTGCGTGAGATAGGCATAGGGCTATCCTAGCTATAAGATAAGGCCAGGGACTAATGAAAGTATTTAGAAAATTGGGCAGACTAGATGGGTGGAATGGATCTTATCTGCCGTCACATTCTATGTTTCTATTTAGATTACATTTATTTGCTCAGCGTATTGGTCTAATCCTTCTCCACCACACTCAATCAATCATAGTTGTTCAGGCTGGAATACATTTTGACGTTTATTAATACCGAGATATGGTATTGAGAAAAGAACCGGTTTATAGAAAACTAAGCTCCAATTTCAATTGCTTGCAAAAAGAATGCAGAAAACATAAGTGCCTAACACAAATATGGCAGTCCTACAACATGACACTGAATAAATCTTACATTTTTGTGGCAGCCACCCCAAAAGGATGAGGGGTTTCACCACTAGAGATGTTCTTTCCCCCTATCCAGCGTAATGCTTTCCAAATCCCAAGGTCGGTATAGCTGTGTAGCTCTTACAAGAGCTGGTGATTATAGCAGGTATAGCGGCTCCCTACAAACATTAGATGAGACTATGTTGAGGGTAAGAATGGAACTGGTTTATTGGTAGTCACACTGGCCTTTTATGTCAATTCCCATGCAAGGGGCACTCCCCTCTGGACCTGAGAGTACACTACAGTAAAATCACCCATATAGGTTCGGGAGTTCAGGATTCCCATGGAAGTCTCCGTTTTGACTGACCGCACACAAGGCTCTTGCCCCAAAAGAGTTCCATAAAATCAGGCTGTGCAGTCGGTTTCTTTCGCAGCTAACGTTGGCTGCTGCCAAGTGTTCGGCTATTCGACCGGCGGCCACCCACTCAGAATGTTGGTATAATTGCAGTTACTTGAGGTGCGAACAAAGGTGAAAATGGTGAAAAAGTTGCACACTCCTGCCCTGGGTGGTCAGGCTGTTCGGTATACGAAATAGATAGGTCTCAGGTGTTCAGAGAGTTTGTATACCAAACTATGCAGGATATCAAAATAAACTAAAATTAACAGCATATAATCCAGTGAGAGGGAATACGCCAAATTATAATTTGTTTATTGTGTTGAAAAAACTGAAATAAAGTAAATATGGATTCACTGACAAATGTGTAACTATTTTTTTAAATTAAATATTCTATCTGAAATGTGTGTGTCATCAACACAGAGGTATAGGAACAATAGCTTCTTCAAGTAGCACAAATGTTTGGCATTCCAAAAGGCTACGCCTGTGCATAATATTTTCGTTAAAGGACCACTCTAGGCACCCAGACCACTTCAGCTTAATGAAGTGGTCTGGGTGCCAGGTCCAGCTAGGGTTAACCCATTTTTTCATAAACATAGCAGTTTCAGAGAAACTGCTATGTTTATGAATGGGTTAAGCCTTCCCCTATTTCCTCTAGTGGCTGTCTCATTGACAGCCACTAGAGGCGCTTGCGTGCTTCTCACTGTAATTTTCACAGTGAGAGCACGCAAGCGTCCATAGGAAAGCATTGTAAATGCTTTCCTATGCGACGGGCTGAATGCGCGCGCAGCTCTTGCCGCGCGTGCGCATTCAGCCCAGGAGGAGGATCGGAGGAGGAGAGGAAGCAGAGAGCTCCCCGCCCAGCGCTGGAAAAAGGTAAGTTTTTAACCCTTTCCCCTTTCCAGAGCCGGGCGGGAGGGGGACCCTGAGGGTGGGGGCACCCTCAGGGCACTATAGTGCCAGGAAAATGAATATGTTTTCCTGGCACTATAGTGGTCCTTTAAAGGACCACTATAGTGCCAGGAAAACACTAGTTTTCCTGGCACTATAGTGCCCTGAGGGTGCCCTCACCCTCAGGGTCCCCCTCCCGCCGGGCTGGATGGAGAGGAAAGGGTTAAGTCTTATCTTTTTTCCAGCGCCAGGCGGGGAGCTCTCCTCCTCCTCTTCGGCTGAATGCGCATGCGCGGCAGGAGCTGCCCGCGCATTCAGCCAGTCACATGGGAAAGCATTCACAATGCTTTCCTATGGACGCTGGCGTCTTCTCACTGTGATTTTCACAGTGAGAAGCACGCAAACGCCTCTAGCGACTGTCAATGAGTCAGCCACTAGAGGCTTTAGAGGCTGGATTAACCTATTTATAAACATAGCAGTTTCTCTGAAACTATATTTATTAAAAAAAAAAGGGTTAACCCTAGCTGGACTAGGCACCCATTAAGCTTAAGTGGTCTGGGTGCCTAGAGTGGTCCTTTAAAACCTCAACAGGTAAGTAAAGCACATTTTTTAAAATTTGGTTTTACAGGTTTGACACCTGTAAACACCGAAAGGTTTGACACCTTAGGGACATAATTTTACAGGTTGATCACACTTTATTTTTTTTGGCAAATATAGAGATGATTGTCTCTCTCTAATAAAATGCAGTTTTTTTTTCATAGACTTCAAGATGTACTTTATAAAGTTTAATGTACGTTTTAGATTTACAGAAGAGAGGGCACTGCATTGCACTGCTCTCCGCTGCTGCACTGAATGGGTAATTAGGACATTTCCTGCCCTGTTGTAGTTGCCATAGCAATTCATAGGAAAATGCACCTTTTTTTTCTTCTTCAAATTTTCAAAAAAGTAAATGCTATGTGGAGGTCAAGATCAGTGAATCCAGATTTAAGTGTGTGAATGTTAGAGAAGGGATGAACCTTGGAAACCGGTCGGTATGTTGTGACCACAAATAAATATTGGCTTAATACAGGGCTTTCAGCAGACATTTAGAAATAAACCCTTAGTGTGCTAAAACAAGCTTCAAAACTCGAATATCATACTATTTTTTTAAAGCTTTAGACTAAAGCAATATTGACAGATCAGACGAGATAAGCTATTACAAAATTTGTGTGTCTAGGAAATTTGACCACATCTACATGCCATAAGGTATTTAATATACCTTCTTTTTGCCTAAATAATTTAAAAGGCTTTGCATAGGTATGTGCCAGACACAACCTAATGTACAGTAAATGGTCTTCCTTGTGCCCTCGTTTAGGTCTTTATGGACAATCTTTCACAAGTTTGTGTTACTTGGAGATTATTAATGTCCACATTCATCTGTGGATACATCTTTATTTAAAGAGCGCTTATAAAAGAATCCATCTTGATCTTAATTTTGAAAACGAACCTAAGGTTACTTATTACAGAGAAGATGGGTATTATTGGAGGAAGAACGGGAGAGCAAGAAACAAAGTCTTAAATTCGATTGGGTGTTTCACACTTGTCTTATGTTTTATGGGCTCTAATCAAAGAATGCTACTACTTAGAAGAAAAAAAAATAAAGAGATATGGTTTGATTATTGTAATTTTATATTCAACTGAATTTATGCTGCAGAACAATATGCTGTTTTAAATAAGTTGAATATACATTATTGATATAAATAAATACCAGAGTTAGATGCTGTTCTACCAAATATTAGAATAGAGCAGTTGTGTGGCCTACTCGCCTTTGTCAGTCCTTGGTTATACACTGAATTAAGGCAAATTGAAATGCAAATGGAAAAAATTAAGGCAAGCATAGATGATTTGGCAAATTATTCCACTGAGCTTGGCTATTTTAGCCTCAGTTCTGCTATTCAGAATTATTTTTATTTTTTTAAATATGGAGTTTAGTGAATAACCTGGATAGTGTGAATATTGGTACCACATGATGTTTAAATATCTCAGAAACAGCTGACCTGGGACTTTCACAGGCTAGTATCTAGAGTTTAAAAAAACACATTCAGTAAGCAGAGTTGGTAAGAAACATAATTTTAACAAGAAAAATAAGGATATTTTGGTTGCACTTGTCTGCTAAGAATAAGAACATCAGGGTACAACAGGTACATGATCATAAAATTGAAAAGCTAACTGCAAAAACTTTGCCAGTTCTATTGGAACTAAACTATGCTGTAATACACATTTTGTGCAGTAAGAATGTACCATAAATAAAATTAATTTATGTATTGTTGATTACCATGTGCATTCCTTTTATTGCCAGTTTATCCTTATTTAAGTGGATACTGTTAACAGTCTATGTTAACAAGTTTTGCTGTTTGTATCCTCCTCAACATGCGCTGGTCTTGGTAAGGTAATACAGTATGAGCAAGATATTACATTGCTGAAGAGGTATTTGGTCAAATTAGAGAACTTGGCACACAGGTATTCAATACAATTTAATGTAGTTAAATGCAAAGTTATGCATTTTGGGATGAGGAATGCACAAGTTATCCGTACCTTACGTGGTTCTGAGGTAGAGACATTTTTTTAAATGAGAATAGATATAGACAACAGACTAGACAACAATGTGCAATGTCAGATCTTGTCATGCATAAAAAGGGGTATTCACTGGACAAAAATAGAATTATGCATTTTGACAAATCAATGATAATACCCAATTTCTTGTTACCCATTACAAAAATGTATGATATGGAACGAGAAGTGCAGAGGTGAGCTACACAAATAATAAGTGGAGTGGAAGATTTTAGTTATGAAGAAATGTTACAAAGCTTAAACTGGTTTACTTTTAAAAAAGCAGGCCAGAGAAGAGCTGCACATACATATATATTTATAAATACGTATAGGGCCATTACAAACCGCGCTCTTGTAACCTGTTTATTAACGGGACCATACAAAGACGTAATCTGTTAAGAATTAAAGAAAAAATGTTTTGACTATGTCAGATGATACTTTACAGTAATAGGATAAAAGATGTGGAATGGTCTGCCTAAAGAGGTTGTTTTAGCACATTCTCAACAGATTTGTAAAATAATGTCTACATTCTTAATGTCAAATATTTTTTTGTTTGCTTTCTTTTTGCCTATATTACTATGTACCTATGAAAGTGTATCAGTAAAATAATTCTGCAGAACGTTTGTGAAGCTTTTCAGTAAGAATTGTCAAGTTCCTAAAGTGCTTTGTTCATTCTACATCTCAGAGAAATTTGTCTGTTCTAGGGGGAAAAACAGGTCCTTCCAACATACATATACTTTAATATTGCAGTTACTGAGTGCATGCATTAAGAATAACATTATCTTTAAATAATTAACAGTCATAAATGATATCTAGACCATATATTTAATGGACAGGTATTTGTTCATCAAAGTTGATATGATGTAAGAACTCTGCAAGAACTTTGGAATACCTCCTTATGGCCAAAACTGGTAATGCAGGAAAAGCCAAAGGAATTGGCCACCATCAATTATTATTTGGTATTTATACTGCATCAACATGTTCCCCAGTGCTGTGCAATAGAGGGAATGCAGAGAAAGGATACAAAAGAAACAGAGCACCCTGGACGTAAAGTTAAATATTGAACATATCTTAAACATTCTGTCAGTGAATTCTTGCTTTTTAAAGAAACACTACTCTAAAAAAAACTTCACGAGGATAGTCAACAAACACAGAATTAATGAAATTTATTGAAAACCTGAGGTATGTGGCTATTATAAAAGTATGGCTATTTATTACAGTATAAATCTCATGTTATGGTATTCATTTAAGGCTCTTTTTTAAAAGATTAATTGGCAAATATTTCCCCCATGGGTATCCAGATGTTTTTACACTGAGTGGCATGATAGAGGAACTCTTCTCCTGCACCCTGATGGACATCATCCCACTCTCTGGGAAGACCGTAATTCACCCACGTGCGCTTACAGTTCTCTGCAGACGCCCACTCCACAAATTTAGAACCCTGATGGAGAGACAGACGTAAGAGACAGTTAAAAGGTTACCAGAGTACATAGTTTCATAGTAACTATGTTCTATGTTACAATAAACATGAAATCAGTAACTTGTATCAAAATCTTTGGAACATATTAAAAAACTCGATCATAAATTCAACAAAATCAAACAAAAATAGGGCAAATATAATATAATAAAAAAATGAATAAAAAACATAGGTATAATAGAAAACTAAATGTCTTCTCATAGTGCTTCCTTAAAAACAATATAACCAAAAACATTCACTGTAATGGTTACGGTGTTAGGAGAGCCGTGGCATCTCCCATGTAAGCAGTTAAACAGTGTCAGACCGATCTTACCTGTGCTCTGCTCCCTGCCTCTACTACCTCGGACAGAGAACCAGAAGCGGTCTGTCTGAACTAAGCCCTGTGGTACAGGGCCCATTAGCTGAATGCAATCTGGTGATACTTAGCTCAGATAGGCTGGCCTCTAGCTTTCCCATGGAAGTAACGCAGGCAGAGACAGGTGTCTGGCAGATCCCAAGTAAAAAGTCAAACCATTGTTACCTGGCACCATAACTACTACAGCAATACTATAGTGGTTATGGTGCTTCGAGTGTTCCTTTAAATAAGAATAATACATTAAATTCAATGTAAATCAAAGAAAATAAAATTGAAAATTCAAAAACTGTATAAAATAAGTGATTTGACTTTGAGTTTCCTCACAAAGTAGAGCAGAATAAACTCTGTTTTTTTGTTTTAAAATATCTTGACTCTATGAAAAAAATGTAGTTTACACGTGTCATATACGAAGCTAAACATAACTAAAATGAAAGTGGCATTATCACTTTCCTAACAAACAGGTCAATGTAGTAAATATTTTCCCGCCTGTTTGGCAATGTGCCTAACCAGCTGGAGGGGTTGGGGGAGATTTTCCCATCAAAGAGATGCAGATATTTTCTATAGAGCTTCTTCTATAAATATTTCAACTATTTTCTTTTGGGGAAATACAGGACGGATGTTAGCACTAGTTAATCAATAGAGGCAAGGACTTTTGTAAAATAAAGGCATACTTTATTTCTTATTTTTAAGATAAACATGATGCTACAATTTTAAAAAAAAGTTTTTAAAACGATAGCAGCTGTGTATGCTTGTGTGTTTGAAAGGCATTGCTTGGCTCTCTCTTTGGGTATTGTAAGGTTAATGGGTAAATATCATAGATATATATTGATAAGCTAACTCACTAAACACTGAATTTTGTATGAATGGACAAAATCTGGCTAAAATGGCCAAATTCTGACTGGAATTGCAGGTCTCATATTTACTAAAGCTAATTCCAGTCAGAATTTGGCCAAGGAAAAATAATCTCCACCAATTGGCAAAATGTATTTGGTCCTGTTTAAGAAGCTGCACCCTAAAACAAAGTATAGGATCCAAAATATTTATCAAACACTGATTTTAAATAAATGAGTAAATAATAACTACTTGCATAATACAAAAATTGGAAGTGAATGCAGGATGCACATTGACAAATTATTATTCATTTGCTTTTTGCAAGTGAACGATTAATTCGAAGTACTGTAAATGTAGAACGTGTCAGAGAGCAAGTAGTTAAATAACTTTCGGCGACGCGAGGATTCATTGTGTGGCAGTTGGTCAGTAAAATATAAATAGTAAAACTAAATAAACCTATAACTGTCAATATGACCCCCATATTACTGTACGGTAGGTATTCCCTTATAATGTTTTATTGAGCATTATTAGTGAAAGCAGTACATCTTGCTTACATTCAGCAGTCAAACGGGGATGTAATATTCAATAAACAGTGCCCCCACTTCCACGAGGCATGTTGGGGATATATCTACTAAACAGTAAGGGGTCAGTGGCTGATCGCTGTAACAAAAAACTAAGGACTGGGCAGCCATCTCGTCCTAATCTGCAATGTGTGCCCTGGATTTGCCTTGGCTGAACTGGTTTATGATATTTGCTGAATTGTTAATATAAATGTAAAAGGAAATAGAGTACTGCATTAAAAAAAGGCTAATATACATGTTTTGGGTGATTTTCAATGTTTTGTTCAATGGCCTAATTTCCAAAAAAGCCACATTTCTCCTTTAAACATGACTTGGCTTGAGAAGAGCATAACTTAGGGTTATTCCCACGACATGCATGCATATACAAGTCTCTACATGTCGACGTGTATAGAGTGTATACCGACATAAAGGTAGTGACTCTTATTACGCACTTTTTATTTACTTAGCATCAAGGAAGCCATCCCAGAGAGCTTTTGCTGGCACTCGTTCCATAGGTTCAAATGTAGAATAGAATTTGCTTTCTATATGGAGACACCCTGTCCTTTGTGCATGACAGATACACGAGTAGTTAAAAAACCTTAAAAGGTGAACAATACAAAAAGATATGGCAGCGTTACCTCTGCAGAACCGAAGTACCACATGGCCTGTACATCTTGGTGCTCTGCTAAATATTTGGACAAATGGTCCCGTCCTCCAGTTAGAATGTTTACAACTCCTCCTGGGAGATCTGATGTGTCAAATACCTAAACACACAAAAAACAAAGCATGAGAGGACAAAAGGAAAAAAAATACAGATCAGAAAATGCAAGTGTATTAATGTAAACATTATGTTGTCTGTTACACATTTTAAGAAAAATAGGCTTTCCTTAGTTAATGAGAGAACCAAGATGGCTTTTTAAATATTATATATATATTTTGTATTGAAATATATATATATATATATATATATATATATATATATATATTTCAATACAAAATGTTCATTACGAATACCTAAATGGCAAATACTTTTTGGTAAGTAAAAAAAAAAAAAAATGATATATTTTTTTTTTCTTTATTTAAACTGCATATAATAAAATATTTTTTTCTCAAATTTTCCTAGGACTTACATCTGTTTCTTGTGTATTAGAACAAACAAGTCACAAAGTATTATTGTTGGCATTTATATAGCTCAAACATATTTCACAACTATAGAAAGGGGATATTTAGACGTGTAGAATACCCTTCTCACACAAGCTTACAATATATGATGAACTTACAGTCTAGGCCATAAATTGTGCTAAACCTATGTTATGCTTTATATTGTGTGCCATATTATGAGCAGTTTGACTTTAAAGGCACACTATAGTCACCAGAACAGCTACAGCTTATTGAATTTGTTCTGGTGAGTAGAATCATTACCTTCTGGGTTTTTGCTGTAAACACTGTCTTTTCAGAGAAAATGCAGTGTTTACATTACAGCCTAGTGACAACTCCACTGGCCACTCCTCATATGGCTACTTCAGGTGCTTCCTGGGGCAGTGCTGCACACAGTGCAGTACTGCCATTCAGTGTCTCCATCCTCTGCATGCAGACACTGAACTTTCCTCATAGATATGCATTGATGAGGAGATGTTGATTGGCCAGGGCTCCTTGACAGTCTCAGCCAATCCTATGGGAAAGCATTGTGATTGGCTCAAAGAATCACTTCTGATGATGTCAGCAGACAGAGGCAGACAGGGACAGAGGAAGCAGCTGCAGACTTGAATACTAGTAAGATTTTACTATATTTAGGGGGGGCAAGGGGAGCTACATTGTGTTTTTAACACTATTGTATCAGGGATACATGTACAATATAGATTGTCAGGGTTATTCACTAAAGTGGAAAGCACAGGGGACTCAAAGTAACTTTCAAATGTAAGGTCACTGATTAGCTAAAATTAGAAGAATTCTCCCAGCCAGCTATGCTTTCAGATCAGCTACCATGTCCTTCAATCTGAAATTCACTTTGAATTCACTGCAGTTCTTTCTATGGTGAATAACTCTGTATATGTTTTAAACACTTCAAAGTCAGGTTTCTCATAATACGGCACATAATTCAAAGCATAACATAGGTTAAGCACCGTTATACAGTGGATCTGTTTGTACAAAGTTCCCCAAATAGAAATGAATGAGCTGTCAATGTTTCCAAAGAAACCAAATAAGATTAAAAATAAGCTTCTATTAGAAAAAGTTTAAGAATTAACGCAGTGAATAAATAAATAAAATACAAGTACATTGACATCCAAATAATGAAGGGAGTATTAAATATTAATTAACAGAACAAATTACTATTCCTGTAAATCAATGTGAAATTATATTGATTCTAACCCTAACCTCTTACCTCACATGACAACTTCCCAAAATATTCAAGAAATTTATTTTCCACTTATTGAAAAAGCAATGATTGTGTTCACCTTGCTTGTGTATTACAAACAAAGCACCATTTCATCCAAAATCAATCAAAAAGCAAGAAAGCAGCAGTGCAAATGCAATTATTAAACAGTTAATATAAAAGCTAATTTACAAAATAATCTTGCACAGTAATGAGGGATGTCAAAAGGAAATTCACAAAACATGGTACACGATAAAAATAAGTAGTTATGATTTTTTTTTTAAGTTAAACAGGATATTTCTTAGTATTGACTTCAAGTCAAAGCATCAGGTACTCCCACCACTAATACCGCATTTAAAATTAGTACACCACAATAAGTGAGTTCTTTACATTTCTGTTAAAATCTTTCCATTTGGTGGTTTGTCATACAACTACACTTAAAGAACACAGTCGCACGACTGACAGATAAAACATGCAATTCTAAACTAAAAAAAAAAAAAAGATAGAAAGCCAATATCTAAAAAAAAATTTACGTTTACAAAGGAACCCACAGTGTTTGGTTGTGTCACTCACATCCATTTTAGGTAGCAGTAATTTTTAATTAGTTTGCTGTTGAACTTGGCACCGAAAGAGTACCAACAGGTAAATTAAGCCAGCTAATTACATACACCAGTGTAGAATAAATAATCTTGAAATCAGGGGTAGGCGTATAAACTCACTGGTAATTAAGGGGTTTCTAGGCTTAGGGTTGGAGGAGTGATAGATAATTACAGAAACCTTTTTTTTTTTTTTTGGGGTGGTGTTATGGCTTTGATCACAAATCTTAATAAGACTGTCTAATCATAATTGATAACCTCATAAAACGATTGTGCACACTCATAATATTATGCAATTTTATGTGAAACTAAAACAACCCACTTTTTCTATTCATAATTAATATTCAAGTACAAGGCTTAACGCATTCTGCAGAGAAGAGAGAGCTGTCAATCAGCCTCCAACCACTCTCCTTAAAAGGACTCTCCAGTGCCAGGAAAACAAACCCCTTCAGTGCCTTATCTGTATCCAGCGCCGACATCATCCAGTGGCGGAGACCTATTGCACATGCACGCTCGGCGGCAGGGAAGACTTAATGCGCATGCGGAGCATTAGACCTCCCCATAGGAAAGCATTGAAAAATGCTTTTTCTATGGGGATTTTAGCGACGCTGGAGGTCCTCACATAGCGTGAGGACGTCCAGCAATGCTATAGCACACTTATTGAAAACTGCAATAATTACACTTGCAGGGTTAAGGGTAGTGGGAGTTGGCACCCAGACCACTCCAATGGGCAGAAGTGGTCTGGGTACATGGAGTGTCCCTTTAACTGAACACACTATGCAGGTAGAGTCTGACAGCTCCGGTCTGACTCATTTATAGGAAACAGTAACTCACAGGAACTTTCCTTTTGTATTAATATCATACCTGCATATTAACCCATGCGATGGTACTCCCACTTATCTCTATAAACAGGATTTACCACACTACAACGGTCATGGTAACTAAATGGTTTGCAGAGATAGTAAGTTGGAGGGGGAATTTGAGTCCAGACATGGAATCTGTTTGCTGCGTATCATAGCACCTTTGGTGGGTGGATGTTATCTATACCTCCCAAGTGTTCCTATTTAGGAGGAACAGTCCCTATTTTGGGCCAAAACCCTATTTTGGGCCGTAACTTACAATAAGTGTGTCTAGAAATCAGTCTGTGCAAATAAGATACATTGTTTGTATCCTAAATTACATTTTAGCTGCATAAATTGCTAAATTCCTCTTTTCTAGAAGCTCTATATTGTTGATGTGTCTGAATGTATAGCAGAGCTCCCCAGTATTGTGTCTTTAAAGGGACGCTATAGGCACCCAGACACGTTCATCTCAATGTCCCTGTAATTTTAGCCACTAGAGGCTCTTCCTGGCCTTTCACAGAGATTGACTCCGTGAAGCGACGCTGGAAATCCTCAAGTTTTGCATGAGGACATTTAGTGTCTGCTAAATCCCCAGAGGAAAGCATTAATCCAATAGGGAAGGCCTAATACGCGTGTGGCACTCACCGTGCATGTGCATTAGGCTACCCTCCCATCAGCTGACGGAGGAGGAACCCGAACCAGCACCGAGGGACCTCGGCCTGGAATCATGTAAGTGTAAAAATGCCATTATTTGCCACCAGGGGGACAAAGGAACATTATAGTGTTCCCGTAACTTACAATAAGTGTGTCTAGAAATCAGTCTGTGCAAATAAGATACATTGTTTGTATCCTAAATTACATTTTAGCTGCATAAATTGCTATCAGCAAGTTACTTAAAATTTCTCAGAACAGCCCAGCCCATGGCCACCCCCACCACTCACACCCCTAAAATTAAAGTGACTGTCTTATTCCAATATTGTTGGGAGATATGTCAATCACAAGTGGGTGAGTGGAAATTTTAAGCCCAAATATAGATAATGTTTTTGAAAAAAAATTATGCAAAGAAAAAGATTCAAAATTCCTGAATTTCTTGCAAGTTCCCGGAAATTCCTTAATTCCTGCAGAAAGCTTTTCCCAGGCTAGCAAATAGCTGACACAACCACGGTTTTCTCATTTTATTCACGGAGAGTTCTGAATTCATTCCATAAACAGCTGCTCAGCAAGGGTTGTGAAACATGCAATTACTTTCAGAAGCATCATTTCAGTGAAGCTTTGGAGTACCAGTAATTTCTATCATTATCAGACTTGTTTTGATGAGCATAGAAATGAAAATTGCAAATATAAAAGACATGGAGAATTTCAATCATAAAATGAAGGTTACATAATAAGGCTTTTAAATAACAGAAAAATCTAAAGTTTTATAACTGTAATTAAAACGTCCTTGCCAAGTTGTAGCACAAATGATGGTGGTTTATGGTGGAAGACAATTTCAGAGTCCTATAACCTTTTAATATATTAATTTTACGACAAGTTTCTCAACACAATGTACTGATTGAATATGAATACCTGAATCAAATCTTGTCCTCTACACATTGTAAGCTGGTTTGAACAGGGTCCTCGTCAGTTTATTGTTCCTGTCATAATCTGTCATAATATTTTAGTGCTGCAGAATTTATTGGCGCTACATGAATGGCAATAACAATAAAAACCACAACAATAGCGTTAAACGAAAAATAAATGTTTACTAAAACTGAACTCCCCCACGAGTTGCTTGTGCACACATATTAATTTACAAATTCCTGTGGTGACCTGATTGCATTCCCTTCCTGAGCGCTGTCATGATTGGAATATTTATGATCAATCTGCTTTGCCAGACTTCCTGCACATTTACATTAGAATTCTGGGCAAAATAGAGATATCTGCCATCTTGTAAGCAATGCTTCTAAGTGAGGATCCATTTTGAAATAGCAGCACTGAGGGAAAATGATATGGGTCTTGGCAGAACTGTAAATTAGTGTAGATTTACACACTTAAACCAAAAAACAAACACATCAGAGAAATCCAGTTAAAGATAAAGTATCAATACAAATTTATTTGCTTTTTTTCATTTAAGCAGGACACAGATTGATATGTAAAAATTAGTTCAAATAAAATATTAACTGTATAATTCGTATAAAAATGTATATAGTCAGAGTTAATTTCCCAAGTAGGGTGGTGAGCAGGTACGGCAGGTATTTTAGGCATTTTGAACCCCTTCAAGCGACATTGTAGATGCTGTAACTGCTTAATCTCACTGAATTGGTTATTGTGCCAGGCGCCATCCTTCCATTTAACATTAAACCTTTTTTTAATGTAATGGTAAATATGAGTCCCCACAGCACCCATCCTTCTGTGCCACTTGGACTAATGAGGAAGCATTAGCCCAAACAACAAAAGGTGACTGGGATTGGCTGAGAGTATCAGCTTTCAGCCTATCACAGCATCCATGGCTAGTATGAATCAGCATGGCTAGAGGGAAGTGTAATCTCTGTCGTAGCCATGCATCCAGTGGGGGCTGGACTGCGGGAAGTCAGGGATGCTTATTTTGTGTTTTAAATGCTCTACAATCTATACTATAAACCAATTTCTACACTACAGTGTCCATTTAAAGGAAGACTCCAAACACCATAACTACTACAGAATGCTGTAGTGGTCATGATGTTTGTAGTGCCCTGTTGTAAGAAATTGATATGGAAGACACTGCAAAGTTGTATATAAATTTCTCTGTCTGTCACTGGTTTCACAACTTGAGGTCATCTACTTGATACCAGTGTGCTAATAATCAAAGCTTTCAGTTGCACTGTACAGCACCCAGCTAAAACAACAATAGCTTAGATCCCTGCCAAACAGTTTTTCATGCATGTTATCAGGAGATCAGAATGTCAGAGAACCGAACATTAAGTGGGTTATGTAAAAAATATTGTGTACATCTTTTCTATAATTTATGAAAATGAGGTTGCAAGGGTCATGTTATCAAGAGATAAAAACATTAGAGTAATTAACATCTAGGTATAACCATGCAAGTATGTGTTTTTCCATTCGATCCGGTCTCTAAAGCAGTCCAGGTCTGCTTGGAATGTTCTAGTATAGCGGGGGATGTTGGATGCTTGGATGTTGATTGGCCAGGGCTATGTTTGACTTGTGCTGGCTGGAGAATCACTTCTCATGATGTCAGCCAAGCAGGCAGATCAGGAGCAGGGGCAGCAGCTGCAGACCTGAATAATAGTAAGATTTTACTATATTTAGGGGTGGCAAGGTGGGCTAGATGGTGGTTTTAACACTATAGGGCCAGGAATGCATGTTTGTGGTTCCTGACCCTATAGTGTTCCTTTAACAATACATTTTGTATACACTTGTATTTGTGTCTTATTTGTCACACAGAAAAAAGAAAGGAATCTGTCCCTAGAGTGGAAGATTATTAAAAATCTGGAAGATACTTTATTAATAAAAAAAAACGTTTCTAAAATAAACTACCCCTAACAAGATGATATTATCGTAGTAAATAAAGGGATGCAAATAAAGATATCCGGATGGTGTCGGCAAGGTGTCGAACCCGACGCGCGTTTCGCCTGATGACGAGCCTCTAAATCAGGTGAAACGCGCGTCGGGTTCGACACCTTCCGGATATCTTTATTTGCATCCCTTTATTTACTCCGATAATTTCGCTGTGGTCTAGACCACCACAACCCGATAACTGTTTTGGGTATTTGTATAATTGGGCAGATTGTTAGCCGCCACAGGGGTGATATAGACCTTCCTAGCAGCAACAACTCAGCTATTACTCTGATTAACTCTAATTTGGCTGATTGATAACCACTTTGAGTCCTTGGGAAGCAATATACCGATAAGGGTATCTTTAATAAACATAACGATACATTTTTGATACCTATTAACTAGAGACGTTTAATCTAGTTATCCAGTTATTCCACAGTTTCACTATTGAGTCAGCTTTTTGTGATATTTTCAGTCACTGCATGGATTAAGCTCCATCTTTTGTTGTCAAGTGCTGTTCGTTCACTTTATTGCATTACTCCTATACTACCTCTCAGTTCAGCACTGCTGCATCTTTCTGCTTAACAAGTAACTCAGTGTGTTTAACTAGAATATACACTTTGAGCTAGTTTGTCCCTATAGGATTTGTCGTTACTCTATATTGAGCTATTTCTATTTTTGGCATGTTCATTCAGTGAAGTAGCCATTTTTTTCAACAAATAATTATAACGATACATTTTTGACACTTATTAGACTAGTAGACTTTGACATATCTATAGCTATTTCTAGCATCCTGGTCATAGAGAGTTATCTTGACTAAATACCTATTGAGACAACCTCTGTTACTTTTAGTGTGTATACTTCTACCATATTATATTTGACAACTTTTAGCTTTATAGGCTGTAGATTTAGTCATCCATTTACACACAGGATCAACTTCTCTTTCTTTTGTTTCACACAGTCTCAATTAGCTTTGTTCTATAGTATGATGTTGGAGATAGTTACCATTAATTTTACTCCTAATCATTTGACTGTATTTTTATGATTTATTTTGTCTTGTGTTTTTTCTTACTCCCCTTATTCCCTATGTATATGCCCTAAGCATCATATGTTGGTTACTCTGTCTGTCTGAGCCAGACAGCCAGTATATATTATATCATCTTGTTAGGGGTAGTTTATTTTAGAAACGTTTTTTGGTATTAATAAAGTATCTTCCAGATTTGTAATAATCTTTCACTCTAGGGACAGATTCCTTTCTTTTTTCTTCGTTTCATCACTTCAGTGTTACCCCCTTTTCTGTTCCCTCTATATTTGGATAACCTCCCTGGCCAACTTTTTTCTATTTATTTGTCACACATTCCCTAAAGAATAACTTTGATAGTGGGTCATAATTTCTTATACTGCCATCATGTCAGGACGAACCAGTGGCCCAACATGCAGAACTAAGTAAAACATGTAACAAATACAAACAGTGACAACATATTACCGGCCTTAGAATGGCCGGAATTAACGTCATAGAATAAACAGTAACGAGCCGAGGTCAGGAATACAGAAAGGAACAACTACGTAAAGAACGAAGCCAAAGGGTCACGGATACCAAAAATACGGGAAGTCAAGCCAAGCCAAGATCAAAAACCAAATATCAGAATCAGGAACGTGCTCTCGTATAACCAACAGGATGGAAACCACGACAGGGAACTGAACAACAGAACGTGGGTGCACGGCAGAAACGTGATGCACGTTCACGTCACTAGTGACGTCATTGTGGGCGGCGTTATTATATAGCACCACTTTGCAGCGACCGCCGTCCTTCCTAACACTGGACCCGGCCGCTGAATTACAAACTGCACGGAGGGAGAGGCTCTGGAGGTTAGGAGAGTAAGCTCTCCCTTCTTTAGTGTGACCGCACCGATCAGATGCGGTCACATCATGGTGCTGATTGGGCACTGCGATAGTGTGACTGCACTGATCGGTCACACGGAGGTGCCGATCAGACTCTGTGACACATCCACCCATTGTAAATAGTCAAACCATTGTAAAACAGTTTGAAATCTTACCTTGGGTCTGTTGTGCGCTTGTCTCTTTCTCCACTCATCTAAAGCTTTGGTTAGCTCTCGTTCGCGGTCAACCAATGAGCTAAGCCCTGCACTGACAGGTTTAGCTCTGACAGAAAGTTAACGGAATGAAAAGAAGCTTTGGTGTAAACATGATGCATAGCTAGGCAGACCCAAGGTACGAAGTCAAAGTGTTTGAAAAAGGTTTGACAATCTACATTGGGGGTCCTTGGAGTGTTCCTCTAAAAGACCAATGACATAATGCAGTCAACCTAAAACCTAAAATGTTCCAAAAACAACCTTTTTTTTTTTACGGGCAGCTCTATAAATCACTGCGGTTGACAAATGAATAGGACATTATATTTTTATATAAGATCAGAATAAACGGACAAAATACAAAATTAATTTATAACTGACCTTTAAATCCTGCCAGTGAGGATTGTGTAACAGAACTGTTACAGCAAATACAAAACAGCATTTACACCTTTAGGACATGCATAGCTCACATGATTATTGCAAGGAATTCCTCCACCATTCTCCCCTGGGTTATTCCTGTAAGATCATTAATTGACTTTGTTTAAAAGTAACATATTTGCGAAAAACACGTCTTAGGCTTCACGTGATGGATATGTTGCTTTTTTTTTTATTTATATAAATATATACATGTAACTCTAGAATGTAAAAACCAGCAGTTCAACATTGCAGAGCACTTTGAAAACCGCAACAAAATCAACAGCCAACAAAGTTCTAAAACAGTTTTTGGTCAGAATAACCCTTTCTACATAGGTCCTCCCAGAAACAAAAAAACAAAAACAAAAAAAAACCAGTACCCCCGTTTCAGAGCCAAGGCCAAGTTCTCCTCTACGATCGACATCACTTCTCCTCACTGGATGGAGAGAGATGTCCGAGAGGACAAATTAAGGGAAGGAAAGGGGTGGCATGGAGGGACGTACCTCCATTGGCTGACTGGCACCAGAATGCTGGCGTCCAACGCCAAATTTGCACAGGTTATATACCTATTCTGGGCTAGTGATGCCTCGATGACTCAGCCGGAGATCGGGTTTCACCCCTGGCAGCAGATATGTTAAACTCTGTTCAGCATTTAATAGCAAAATGTTGCACATGCAAACTCCAGGCACCATGGCCACTTCAAACCACTCATATCATGTTGCCTGGATTAACCCTTTAAAGGGGCACCCCAAGCAACATTTTGGCTAGAGAGCTGGACTAACCAGTGAGAAAGCTATTCCAATTTGCTATTTTCTCTGTGCTTTCATATCTATTTTTTGCATCCTCTATAATTCTGAAGTGTATTTTCCATATTATCTGTGCAGCTAAAGACGGCCGGCTAAGGGATTTGGGCTTAACTCATATTTTGGCAATTTACCCCAACACAACAACCAATACAATAAACTTGACATTTTTACGACGTTCAGAATAGAGTGCCCCTTTAAATTTCAGATTAAATTCCAAATTGTTGCTTCCACCAATCGTTGTGTTCTAATTTATTTCTTTTCATATTAAATTAAAATCATGTTTCTCATTAGATTGCCTATCTGGCAACTTTGCCTCACGGGAGAATTAACACTTAAAGAACCACTACCAGTAGTTTAGTTCTGAAACAAATTTGTGACCATTAAAACTAAAATCATAATGTTTTAAAAATATTAAAAAAAATTCCCCACAGAGCTGTGAAATCGGTTACGTTGTTCCCACACTGTGTAAGAGAGCTCAGCGTGGCCATTAAGACATTCTGTAGCTTAGTTACACAGACAGGGCAAGAATTAATTCATATGGGGATAACAACCATTGCCAAACACACAGTGCTTCTGTAGAGACACCGTGTGGTCATCAGTGAGGGTCCTGCTCCCTCTATACAGATTGGAGATTTTCCCAGTCCAGCCGCCCGATAGTCCCAATCAATTACATTAGTTGTTGCTTTTACTTACAAACACATAGTGAGGTTAAAGCAATGTGCTGTGTGGTAAGAAGGTAAGGGGGCAGATTATACTCCAACAGTGAAGAGGAGGATGTGCAAATGCAAACAATATAGGTCAAACATTAAATAAACATTTCAACAGAGTAGATAGGGGAAAATGTGAGTAGCTCAAGCTTTTGATGGCAGACAGTGTCCTTTCATTTATTAGATGAAATTGTGGGTTTTTGCTAAAAAATAACATAAAATAAAAATATATATAATTTTTTTTTTGCTGACCGGTCACTTTGATTTTTCTGTTTGTTTAAGAAACAATGCATATAGTAATTTCAACATGATCAGTCACATGAAGTAAAAAGACTATAAATAACTATAGTTCGGCCAACCCTACGGTTTAAAGATATATATTGTATTCAAAAAAAGGCACCCGGTTGAAGATCAGAGTGAAGAATGTCCATGTATTTAAACTTAAAGCGAACTCCGATTTAAAATTTAAACCAAATAGGAAATACGGACAAGTTAAAAAGCCTGAAAAACAAAAAAGCCCAAAACACACAAAACTATTTTTATCAGTATATGTGGCAAATCAACAAAAGAACATAAAAACCTTTTTTTTTTTTTTTTTAATATATATGTATCTACAAGTGTATATGAAAACAGAATAGTTGCTCATTCTAATTGAAAAACTTCCTAAACCACTTTTTTTTTTTTTTTTTTTACAGCCTGCTGTAGTGACTATGGTGCAGCGAGTGCGCTGGCACATTCCCAGAGTAAGTAGTCAAATGAAGTGAGAATGTTTGCCAACTAATAATAAAGGGTCCAGCAAGCTGTAGTGGTTATGTTGCTTTGATTGTTGATATACTCTGTAATATGACCAAAATGCACTGAATTCACAAATACACATTTGCAATAGATGTTTAATGAACAGAACTGCTTTAGGTAGGAAATATTACCTGGTAAAAATCTAATGCTGGCAGCGGGCACTTCTCACTTGGTATTATGATAACTGCATTGCCACGTACGATAGCTGGTGCAAAGAGGCTGACAAAGCTCAACAGAGGACTTTCATCTGGGCAAGCAATACCCACCACACCCATGGGCTCTCGAATTAGCACAGTGGCTCCATAAAGCAAGGTTTCCTTAACAAGGGGTTCAAAAGAAATATATTAGAGAGAAGATCGCAAAATCAAAGAATTCATTATTAACATAATGACAGCATCAGTGGGCAGCATGATAAATGGCACTTGATATAGGTTGCAGAATGTGTTTAGAGCACACACATGTACATTACAAATCATAAACTATATTTTCTTAAAGGGTTACTCCAACCCTTTTTCTACAGTTCTCTTTTTACTTTACAGTTTACATTTGGTCCCCCTTCCCATATTTTTTGTGAAAACCTATTTTATTAAGCTAAAACTTACCTTGAATCCAGCACGAGGCAAGGCTCTCCTTGAGCATTTTCATGACCTGTCTGTGGTCTAGCCGCATCAGTACTTTCCTCTCTGAGATCTAATAAAATGCTTCTCACATAGAAGCATTTTACTGGACTGCCCTCACAGGCTCATAGCGCATGTACGCGCTCTGAGCCAAGTGGTTTAAGGAAAGTAGGATGGACAAAGGCAGGAGGCTAACCCTCAAACGGACATGCCTTTTATCGTGTTTCAATTTGGTATGCTCAAGCTGAAACATTTCTCAGTGAGGATACAGGTTGGTTTTAAGAAGATATACAAATGTACAGTATACATTATGATTGCAGGCTCTACAGGAGATTTAAGGAACATTCGAATGCTAGGAATACATGTTATTGAGTATTATACTAACTATTTATGGGCTCCACCAAAAATAATATTTTTTTTTTTTTTTTTAGGTATGTTCTATCCCCTGGTACTAGTCTTGCCGCAACCACAGCTCCTCTTGGCCAATCCAATGATTCCCAATAAAGAAGCATTGGGACAAGGGTAGTGTGCATATACATGGCAATCGGCATCTCTTCATAAAGATGTAGCGAATGACTACATACATCTCTATGGTGCGTGTTTGGTGTCTTCATGCTGGTGGGTGTTTGGTGTCTTCAACATCAATTCTTCAATGATCACAGGACCAGGTCAAGAAGCCCCTCTAGTGGCTGAGTGACAGCGAGTAGGGTTTGCCTTATGTAGCAATGTAAACGGTGCCTTTTTTCAGAAAATGCAGAGTTGTATTGCTGAGACTTGGCAGGGACAGTCTCTTTGCATAGCAGTAGCAGTTCTTGTGCTTAGAATGTCACTTTAACTCAGGATTGAGAAAGGATACAGAACATTACTAAAGAACACTCTCAAATTAAATTTTTTTTTGTTTTTTTATGTGGAGAAACAGAGTAGTTGAGGATGTAACGGATATTATGCGGTGTAACAGCTTTGTGGTGCAAAAGGGATTATTTCCCCTAAAAATTACTTCGAATTGGGTTTTCACCTTATTTTGAATCAACAGCAGATACAGATGTGTGAACTTGATGGACTTGAGTGTCCCTACAACTTTTCTACACGCAAATTGAAATAAGACTACTTCTGTTTATTTTTTTCTGAAGAAAACCTACCTGTACAGTACCTCCATATTTGTCACAAAAGGCTCCCCAATAGAAAAGTCTTTGAATGCTTAAATCAACCTCGTGGAGGGCCTTCTCTTTGGATTGTCCAGTTAGGGTGCTCAGTCTTTGGGCTACTTCATCCCGTCGAAGCTCAAGATTTTCAGCCATGTAGTAAACAATCTGAGCTCGGTTATGAGCTGCTCTTTTTCCCCATCTGTCAAGGCACACACGAAGAGTTAAATGTTTCATTATTATTATTCTTCTATTTATCACTATGCAAAAACGTAAATATAAATATGTAAAATTGGGCAGTGCAAAAAGTACTACAACAGTATCTAAATAAAAACAAAACAAAATAAATAAAACCTGCTGCTAACACAAAAAATCTTTCAATTGCGCACACTAAAAAATTTCAAATAACCATGTCAGTGCTAAGATAACTGCATTATCAAGCAAGTGCAATTTGCTTTATGTGTGAAGAATGTGTCCTCTTTTTTCATTTCACAAAAAGAGCAGACTTCAATAAAAATGTGCACTTTTATAAATGTATCTTGTTGCACCCCTTTGGCTGTAAATTAGACAACATGTCCTATTACTTCCTTGTTTGGTTGGCTCGGTGCAGTTAAAGGACCACTATAGGCACCCAGACCACTTCAGCTTAATGAAGTGGTCTGGGGTCCAGGTCCATCTAGGGTTAGCCCTGCCTGCTGTAACCATAGCAGTTTCAGAGAAACTGCTATTTTTACATATGGGTTAATCCAGCCTCTAGTGGCTTTCTCATTGACAGCCGCTAAAGGCGCTTCCGCGCTTCTCACTGTGATTTTCACAGTGACAAGACGCCAGCGTCCATAGGAAAGAATTGAGAATGCTTTCATATGGATTGATTGAAGGCGCGCGCGGCTCTTGCCGCGCATGCGCATTCAGCCGATGGAGTCGGAAGGAGGAGGAGAGTCCCCAGCACCGAAGGAGCCCGACGCTGGAGAATGGTAAGTGTTTAACCCCTTCCTCCCCCTAGAGCCCGGCGGAAGGGGGTCATGAGGGTGGGGGGACCCATTAACACTATAGTGCCAGGAAAACGAGTTTGTTTTCCTGGCACTATAGTGGTCCTTTAAACTCAAGTGCCAGGCATTTGCTTGGAGCTCCTGCCGTGCAAAGATTTCTCATTGAGCTGTAGCTGTGATTGGACAGCTACTGAAAGTCTAGGCAAGATGGGATCTTGCAAATAATGTGGGCAAGCTGTTTTTGGATACACACTAGGTAAAAAAAAGAAGCCTAATAAAATGTTTGTTTTCATTGGGGGGTATAGCTGCTTAACAGTGATTTTTCTTTCATTTGGGCAATGAAGTGTCCCTTTAAATAAAAGTGAAATATCAAGCATGTCCATTTTAAAGTTTGCTATTATTTTAGTATTGACACTGTTCCTTAAACTGATCTTGTCGTGAAAGGTCTAGGTGTGCAGTTCTCTAACCATCTGGCTTGACACATGTTGTACCATTAAGTGTTTCTTACTTTAATACTATTAAAGGCTCACATTTTAATTGATTTCTATTACCCCTGTCTCCTGCGGAGGCCAGTCAGTCATGTTTTCAGTGGGTGCTACACTTGCTGTAGAGACACCTCTCCTGCACACCTCTGTTTCGGAAGCACAAACTTGATTCCCATAACAGGTCAAAAGTGCAACACTTTATGTTCGTTTTGTGATAAAAGGTATATGTTCTCTCTGCATTCTCCGATTACCTGTCCAAGGCTCCTGCAATAAATCATTCTAGCTGTTTCTCCCTACTTCTCCTTGAGGGCATTGCTCCTTTCGGCTGAATTAAAGCAGGAGAGAAACCCAGGGGAAGGTTTCCTTAATACTGACAAGCAGGGCACAGCCTTATCTCCGTGCTAATTGGCACAAACTGGACTGACTGACAGGAAAAGGAAAGCTCTCTGATTTTAGAGAAATCTAGCAATTCTGCTAACACAATGTATAGACTAAATTTGAATCTCTATCACTTAAGGTTAAGTTCTATTGTACTTAAACATAGTGAAACAGACTGTCACTGTAGAAAACACAATGCCTATTGATGAGCATCGCTATCAGGGTTATCCACTAAAGTGAGAATTCAAAGCGAATTTCTAATTTAAAGCCAGAGAAGCCAAACTGAAAGCGTAGCGGACTTAAGAGAATTTTTCACAATGCTTTCCTATGGACACTGGCGTCTTCTCACTGTGAAAATCACAGTGAGACAGCCACTAGAGGCTGGCTGAATTAACCCTATTATAAACATAGCGGTTTCTCTGAAACTGCTATGTTTATAGAAAAAATGGTTAAACCTAGCTGGACCTGGCACCCAGACCACTTCATTCAGCTGAAGTGGTCTGGGTGCCTATAGTGGTCCTTTAAGGATGTTGGAACACTGTACCCAGACCACTTCAATGAGCTCAAGATGTCTGGGTGCCTATAACCGCTCTCCACTATACCGCTTTGTTACGGACTTCTGCAATATAACTGCACAGGCTGTCCTCTGGCATAGCAGGGTTAACTGAACAACGTCTGACCTCAGAGACTATGTTACTGTCAATCATCTGTAATGGGATCAGTGTCAGGACTCTTGTTTGTGTGCTCAGTTTTGTTAATGTGAATAGGTTGGTATGTTAGTGTTATCGAGTCCGTTAACGTGTTTAAATTAGCCTCTCCCATAATAAAATATTAATTTTTCTGGCTGATGGTTGAGGGTATCTGAGGTAAGGCTATTGTTATTTCACGCACTATTAGGCAGGTAGTTCTGTGAGTGACTATAGCTTCCTTGAGTGCTTTTGTTTCGGAGAAGGTATTTAAAAAAATTAAAAGAATTGGGCAGACTAGATGGGCCGAATGGTTCTTATCTGCCGTCACATTCTATGTTTCTCTGTAAGGGACAGACCGTATAATGGGTTTCGTCTGGACCCAAAGCCTGAGACTAACCTATGTAGTTCCATTGCAATCACAGAGGGAGGAGAATACGGGGCCCAATTAGCCATCAAACAAGTAGAATAAAGAAATATAAAAAAATTCAATAAAACACACACAAATAAAAAGTCCTGCCTTGTGTCAAAGGTGGAATGATGATCGATTACAATGTCCTGTCCTTGGAAACTCCCACTGGCAAAATATCAACTATATCTCATTAAAATGATATGGAGATTTCATAAATCTTACTTAGGCATTCTCATTATTTTTTAATATCACTGTCACCTTTCTATGAATGTGCATACGGACACAAACACAATTATTACTATAGTTTTATATTAACCCCTTAAGGACAGAACTTCAAAAGCTTGTCTTTCACTTAATGACAACAGCATTTTTTTCATTTTTTGCTGTTTGCGTTCAACTGCAATTTGCATTTTACTAATTTGTTGCACCAACACATATTATACATCGTTTTTTAAAGGACAGAAAGGGCTTTAATTTGATGTAACACACATATATATAAATGCTTATTTATTACAAAAAAATACAGAAAAAATTTAAAAAAATGAAAATTGTGTGTTTTTTTTTTTTTTTTACAGTTTTTGCAATAATAATGTGTGCATAATTAGTGCAGGTTAAGAAAATTAATTAAAAATAAATTAATTTAGTTGTTCTTATTTACAGAATATATAATGTGTCTGGGATTTTAAGTTTTTTTTGGTAGTTACAGGTCACTAAGCACAAGGAGTAAAATAGACTTTTAATGTGGAGCGATTTTAGAATTTGGTATGTTTGTCTTGTAAGCTAAATAGCCATAAAAGAAAACAAAATTGCCACACAAAAGTATATATTTATATAAAGTAGACATCACGGGCTATTTACCTAAGGTTGTTTTGACACTTTCTACGTAGCCATTTCACCGCCAACCTCTGCTAAATATTGGAGTAAAATTGTGTTTCTTTTGGTTTTTGGCACACAAACTTATAACAAAGAAATTTTCGTGTATATTTTGTAAAGTTGGTGTGTGCTATTCCTGTACAAATTTTTATTTTGTGTTCAGTTATATCTGCTGAGTAAAATGACACCCCCATTGTATGTCTTTGGCACTATTTCGTGAAGTTACAGTGCCATACAGGATACCTGTCCTTTTCAGTATTCACAGTAGAATTTTGAGAGATGGATTTAATGAGCCTTAGCTTCCATTTGGGGTATTATAACAGTTTGACTGTTCAAAAAACCCCCACAAAGGCCTACCATTTGTAAAAGTAGACACTCCAGGGTATCTCATAAGGTGCATATTGTGCCTTAACATACCCCCATTTTTTCACCAATATATGCCAAAGTATGTGGTAAAAAAAAATTTTGTGCATTTTTTACATACGGATTGCATTTTTGCTGGGCGTTTTGTATATTTCATATGTGCCACTAAGTTCAAACCTCCCAAATTATGCTCAGCTAAGTCTTCTGAGTAAAAAGACACCCCCAATGAATGTCTTTGGCACTATTTCGTGAAGCTACAGTGCCATATAGGAGACCAAGCCATATCCGTTTTTACCAGACTTTGAATTTTGACGCTGGGCCTATGTGCAATTTCCAAGCATCTTCGCAGGTTTTAAATTCAAACTACCCCACAAAGGCCTACCATTTCTTAAAGTAGACACCCCAGGGTGTTTCAAAAGGTATATTTTGAACCTTAGCGTGGGATCATTTTTTATCTAGTTTGTTCCAGGTGTAGTGGTAATGAGCGTTTTTAAAATGTATTTTTTTACTTTATGTTATTATGTTATTGTATACTTTTGATTCCTATTTTTGAACTTTCCACAAATTGCCCATATCCAAGATGGCGTCCGGAGAACTTCCTGTCTATGCCATCTTGCTGAAAACAGGAAATGAGGAAATACACATAGTAGAATTGATTTCTACTATCATATACTCTATGTGTGGCCACATCTGTAATTATTCACGTTTTTATCTGATTCAATATGTTATTATGTTATTGTATACCTTTGATTCCTATTTTTGAACTTTCCCACAAATTGCCCACATCCAAGATGGTGTCCGGAGAACTTCCTGTCTATGCTATCTTGCTGAAAACAGGAAATGAGGAAATATGCACAGCAGAATCGATTTTCATCATCAGAGAAGGTATATAATCTCAAGGACCCCAAGCAGCAAGCATTCACTTTTGAGAAAGCTTCGGCGAAACGCGTCAAGTGAGGAAGAATTTGGGACTTTTAAACAGGACTGGTTTTATAGTTTATTATTCACTTTTTACTTATTGTATTAAAGTATATATATTTTTTAAACTATCCACTCATTCCTTTTGTCCTCCTTCCTATCCAATACTGCTTTGCTGCTATACCTGGGTCCACTATATCCCAAGGTGGGGATTATTCCACCTGAAATTCTCCAAACTAGAGCAGGTCGTTGCTCTAGTATATGTAAGTAGGATCATCCACTTTTTTTTTCACAATATTTTATATTTACGTACTATACCATGTGGTGTATTTTACTCTTGTTTTTCATGTAACGAATATTTACACCTATAAATTCACCAACGGTCTTGAACCTCAAGAAATCCATAGACGGGGATTATTCCGTCCAGGCTCTTAACACCGAGCTGATATAGCTCCTCAAAGTGTGAGTGTGAATATAACACCTTTGTTCTTGTGGAATTATATCGTTCATACATACTGTACCATTATTTGTATTTTTGTTTCTCTTTTTTTTAAGTTACTCTGCTGGCCAGTATTTCTACAAAACGTATGTACATTTTCTGATTTTTAGCGCTGTTCACCTTTCTATTTTATCTGTCTATTTATCACAAGGTAGAGGAACACCTTGTTGGTGAACTGCTGCTCACCCCTGAGAAGAGAGCGCTTATTATTCTTTTGCATTAAAATTATAGACTGATCATTTCTTTGTCATTGGACAAACGGTCAAAATCAGCAGGGTATCAAATACTTTTTTCCCCTCACTGTAACAGAAACTTTCAATGTCCCTAACAAACAATTTCAATGAAAAAAACAGAGCGAGCACTTTTTAGGTCCACGCTCTATCTCGAGTGATAGGAAATGGCTGACGGCAGGCCGGGCTTAAGGTCGTGCTCCCGCTCTCTCTTAATAATAAAATCTCTGCTGTTTCTGACCTTCTGGGAACAGCAGGTAGCGGCGGCCATCTTGGTTTTGGCGAATATCGGCGGAACCCCAATTTTGTTCTCGCGGAACGGTTCCGAGGAACACCAATTGGGAACTGCTGTTATAGGGAAAAAATTCAGGGCGAGGAGTCTTGTGCCCCAACATATTAACACTTCACAAGCCACCACTGGTGAGGATCGGGCCATAAAATGTAAACACTGTTAAAAAACAAAAAACAAAAGTGAGTCATGGCTGTTAGAGCACTCTTAATTGGTTGTGCTAGCACTAGGTCATATTGTACATTTCTTATGCTTTGCAATACCGCTTACAGTATCAGAGGCCTATAAAAGGGCTTTCCCCGCTTTCGGAGCTCATTCTGAGGTGAGCCTTATGATGGCTTTTCTTTTTTGTTTTGTGGTGTGGATTTTAATTTAATGGCGTGTTTTTATTTTGCGATAAGGCCTTTAATTATTTTTATTAGTGGCATCGGGAATTATGGATTTTTATTTGGCCTTTTTGGGGGCTGAAGACACAAGACGTCTGATGGAAAGTATAATATTTGTTTTAGATTCTTTTTGGAAACCTCCTCACTATTATTAGAGTGAGGGAGGAAAGATAGGGACTTTATTTTAGGGGGTGACTAGGAGACTGTGGATGAGGGGGTGAGGGGGTGGATAATGACATGCCCACTCACTCCCCCACTTTATGTAAAGTGATTTTGTACTATAAAATGTATATTTTACTAAACAGAGACTGTGCATCTAATGAAAAAAAAAAAAAAAAAAGAGCATAATGTGTTTGAATCATCGTCCTGTACATGAGCCTCAGGCAGAAAGCCAAGACAGTGGAGTGAACGAAATCATGGCTCTTCCAGGAAACCAAACTGAAAGTGAAATACATTGAAACAAAGAGGACATTTAGCACTGAAAGTGGCCATTCCTGCTGCATGTTTATATTCCACAAATAGATACTGCATTACTTACATGTTAAATGATACAAACAATCAGTAACATATGATTATTTAACCCCTTAAGGACACATGACATGTGTGACATGTCATGATTCCCTTTTATTCCAGAAGTTTGGTCCTCAAGGGGTTAAGAGGGAACGTGATCGTATTTCTTTTATTGTCATGTTGCTCAGCAATCTTGAAGTCAAAATATATATCTAAAAAAGTTTTCAAAAACTTTCAAATGCAAGAACTTTTATTGTAATATGCTATTAGGGGCCCAACCTGCCGACTGAGCACCTTAATTCAATGTGTAAAAGGCACCTTAAATTCAGAAAAAATGAATAAATATATATATATTTATTAAAAAAACAAAAAAAACAAAGGTAACATCTTTCAGTGCAAGTTTTTCCCCCCTTATTTATAATGTATTCATTAAAATGAGGTATGGTCAGTTAATGATAGATTTGGATAAATTTCCCAACTTATGGAAATGTGCGTGTATATTTAACCCCTTAAGGACCAAACTTCTGGAATAAAAGGGAATCATGACATGTCACACATGTCACGTGTCCTTAAGGGGTTAAAATATGTCAGCACTTAATATGTTAAACCAATCGATAAAATTGTTAATAACGCCCAGTATATCTACATCTTCAGAGAAGTGACAAAGGGGGAAAAGAAATGGAAGAAAGGTTAAAAATGGCTATAAAATATGTGTCTCTTCACTAAAACACCCACTTTCTGTCAGTTCGATTTTCTTAATTTTTCTTTAATGAAATCTATTAAAGGGACAGTCTCAGCACATTACCTCAAAGTGCTCGGAGCGGACTCTCTTGTCAATGAGTGACTTATAGTGCCAACGGTTAAAAAAAAAAAAATCAAGTCACTGCTGCTACAAGACAGTAAGGCAGGGCTGTCAAACAAGCAGATAAGAATGTTTAGTTCTGGGTTGTCGTATATTAAGTTTGTCTTTGCTGTTCATATAGTGTGCTCGTGTTGCACACACAATTATGAAGGCTCTCTCTCCTCCCTGGAGAAAGCCAAGCTGCCCATGCATGGTCCGCAGCACGCCCGATAGAAATTCACAGCCCAGTTCACTAAATAGCAAATCAGTCCTAATACAAACTGATAGCAGCTGTGATAGGACTGACATACGTTTATAATGCAGTTCCAATCATCCTATGATATGGTAGGTAAGAAATTATGTACTTATCCTATAATGCACTGCTGAACAGGAGATTATAAGAAATGGCCAAGTCCTATAATTCTGAGTGAGTCTTTACTCAATGGAGCATCTCATTCTGCTGTAGCAGGAGTCTGCCTGTAGCTGTGCAACCGAAGTACAATTTGCAATCACAGGGAGGAGCGGTAGCGGAGGAAAAAGCAGCGACATGGGACATGTTGCTGCCTCTGGTAAGTAACTGAAAGGGTTTTCACCCTTTCAGCAATCGGGGATTGGGGGGTGGGAGGGAGAGGGGACCTGCAGTGCCAGGAAAACTGATTGTTTTCCTGGCACTGGAGTTTCCCTTTAAGTGTATTTTTAGATTCGCTAACCTTTTTAAAGAAACAACACTATTTACAAGAGAGATGACGGAGGGCTTAGAGTTATGGATCCATTTTCTCATAATTACTCCTCTTTTCTCTACGCTGAGTGTCAAGAGCAGAGGAAAAAGCGTAGAACAATGATTGACAGGGGCTATGATGGAGGCGTCCAGTTGCAGGTAGTGATGTCCCGAACGGTTCGCCGCGGACTCAACAGCATCCATTTTACATTCATTGTGAAGCTGCATTCTTAGTGAGCTGTCCAGGAGGTGGGAGGGTCTGGGAGGGAGGGTCTGCTGCTGATTGGCTGGAATGTGTCTGCTGACTGTGAGGTACAGGGTCAAAGTTTACTCAATGATGAGTTCGCGGCGAACCGTTCGGGACATCACTAGTTGCAGGATAAAGAGGCGTGAATTTCTATATTTAATATTTCCCAGCTCAAAAAGCTCAGTATAAGGGTGTGTAGACCTTTCATACCCATATATATTGTCTCCCAGAAATAAACAATAATAATAGTAAAGATCCAGGGAAGTGACAGTTTCCATTTAAAACAAGATTATTTCAACATTTAATGTATGCAACGTGTGATCTGAATATCTTTTCTAACCGTTGTATTTATACTATTACAGTGATAAAAGCTTGTTCTATTTGCTTTCCTGTAAGCAATGTTTAACTTTTTAGCATCTTCACAAACTTTTATAGAATTTCATGCATTTTAGTACTGACCTTTCAACCGCTCTCATCAATTTGCATTGTGTAAGAACATAGCTATTAAAATCTAATTAGGTGGATAATCCCTGTAAATATAGTAAAATGATCTTGTTATATGTTTTGGCGTGGGTAACAATGGAATTCCCCTTGGATATCTGGCATCTTAGGGGGTTTTCCACAAGCAGACTGTTAATGCCAGATTGTTTTATCCCAGGCTCAACACACTTGAGACTAAGAGTTCAGCAAATATTTCCTCCACAAAATGAAAGTGAACTATTATATATCTATCATTGAGGGAAGAATTATGCAGTGATTGTATTTGAATACATCTGCTGGCAAGCATTGACTACAAATATTTCACAATATGATTGTATGCACAAGGCCTAGACTTCAAGGTGTTTCTCACCACCTCAAATAAGTTTGACGTCTTTCTTTCTCAATGTGTTATTCGATCTAACAGCCTTCATCAGGAAGTTTTGAAAAGTTTGGCTGCGATATATCTGAAAAGTTTGGCTGCGATATAGCTGAAAAGTTTGGCTGCGATATAGCTGACCCTCTTCACTAGTTGGTCACATTAGCATGTTCTAAAAAACAGAAATATATCACTATATGCTCAAAAACAACATATTAGAACCCATTTAGAAAGTGTTTCCACTACTAAACACTCAAAGTACTGAAAAAAACCCACAAAAAAAACAAAAAGGGAAATAAAACGTGTGTAAATTACACCAAAGTGAATACATACAAAAGCATTAAAGCTGGGTATGAATACATTCAATATACAAAGGGGTGGGTGGGGGTAGTAGAGAACTCACTAGACGAATGATAATGCAGGCCTGTATCTCTCGCAGGAAGGGCAATATCTGGGATGTGTGCTTGCAGTCTTCAGAATAACTCTTCTTAGCCACTCAAAGGATAAGAGAATAAAGTAGATAGTGCAGATGGTATAAAACTTACAAATGTATTGGTACAGTAATACATTTACAAGAAGTCAGATGGTATGGCAGCATATCCATGAATTAAGATGAAATCCCAATTTACCACCATAAATGCCCTTAAGACTAGTTGAAACACAAAAGTCAATAAAGAAAACAATACTATGCGTTTCATCTGTGGGACTTTGTCACGGATCCCAGATCGCACACATCCAAGATATTACCCTTCCTGTGAGGGAGACAGGCCTGCATCATTTGTCTATTTGAGTTCTCCACTAACCCGATCCACCTGTTTGATCGATTGTACTCTACTATATAAACTTTCTTTTCCAGATATTGATCTGTCATTTTGTATATTAAACATAATTATACATAGGTTATATGCTTTTGTATGTATTCACTTTGGTGTAATTTACACAATTTTTTATTTCCCTTGTAAATGTAGTTTTCCTTCTTCACTGATGTTTGCAGGCTAGTTTTTCTCCTGAGAGGTCAGCTTACAATTTGTATAAAGTGTTCACATCACCGGTGGCTCCCAGAGTGATAAACACTGTGGGAATCTTCTTAGAGAGCACTATTCTATAATAGGGCAGCTGCAATAGACTGGTGACAGATTGCTGTGCTGTGAAGGTAAGGCCTGGAAGGGACAGTCAGTGTAATCTAACCCTGCATGTCACAGATTCAGCCTGGAACCCATTCTGCATTTAGCACTGTGCAAACTGCTGGGGAGAGGAGTCGATATCTTAAGCTCTGACTCCCAGCTGGTTGTTGCAGTACACGCAACAACCAGCTGGGACCACCAAACTCTGGAGTCAGAGATTTCAAACTCGCTCATCAAGGCACAATTTCTCCTTTCATAATGCGAAAAAGCAAGTGGAAATTCTGAACCCCAGTCTAGGAGATTCTAATCGAGAGAATTACTTGAGATATGGAGCAATCTGAATTGCTTACCCTGGTGCTGCCTTGTGAGCCGCTTCCACTGCATTGCGCACATCTTTCCGATTACCGTCAGCCACATAGGCAAGGACTTCACCATTTGGTCCACATATGGGGCGCGAGTACATACCATCTGGGCGTTTTTGTGCTCCACCATAATACAGTTTGTAAGTCCTGTCAACGCTGAAGAAGAAAAACATATAGATTTAATAAGCGATCCCAAGTGAAAAAAAAAATAAACTCATGGCTAGACAATTTATTTATTGTATACTTCAGGGGTCTCCCACTACCAGCACCAGGCCATTTCTGGCACCCTAACTATTTTCTCGTAGCCAACGGCCATCCTTTTTGTTTGACTGCAACAGTCTTGGAATAGAGAGGTATATCTGAGTTACAGGACTTCTCTTTAACCTGTATTGGAAGGTCTAAATCAGCGCTCTTATTTAATCTGTATGGAAGTGTGTAGCTGAGTGTGTCTAGCTGTGTGTATTTGTGTCACAGCATGTGTATGTTCATGTGCACAAGCATTTGGATGTGTAGATCTATGTGCCCATAAGAGAAGAAGACTTGGCCAGTAGCCTGTGGGTAAGCAGGGACTCTGGAGAACTTCAGACCCAGTTGCCAAAGCTGGACTGTGGTGTTTGAGGACCTCTTCCACCGGACTAAGCCGCAGTGATTTTAGCTTAGGAAATCTTATCTCCTGCAAAGCAGACACTATAGCCTTTCCCCTAACAGACAAGTCAATGAAGGTAGTAAAATGGCATTTTATTACAGAGCCCACAGCTAATTATACACCACAATGTTGATACTCCCAGCAGGGGATCTTTCATGCAAAATTAATGTACAGGACAGATGTCCCTATCTGGGGCCACTTTTCCTGGGGGCTTAATCACATTATCCCGAGCCAACTCAATTGGATCTCTGCTGTGCTCCCACAGTCCTCAAGGCACAGCACTCAAAATTACCACCAGAGTACTATTTCCGTTGATCGCACCCCACACAATATATATATATCCCTGGAAAGCTCATTACCAAGCGCCCTCCCTGTCCAAACAGAACCCTGATCAGAGAATCCGTGCCAAAGTTATAGCATGTTAAAGTTTTAGTCTTGGCTATTCTCCGATCTGGTAACCACATGTGGCAGCAAACACACTATTTACTGTTTAGTGTATTCCAAACAGTTACCTTATGTTTACTCAAATACCATATTAGGGATCTCTCAATAGGGATTTCCCTTACTTTTGATTCATTTATAATTTTAAGGGTTATGCCCTGGGTGGCCCACACTAACCAACCCTTATTCGTAATACTTTCCGTACAAGGATCAATCTATCAATCTTTTACAATATTTTTCATGTAGCGGCATAGTCTCTGTTTCCAAAACGGGTTCCCGAACCTCTGGGGAAGGAAGCACACTTAGGACCATAGTCCATAGCTGGGCTTCAAGTCTCTCATTTCAAAGTCCATCAAGATTATTCACTAAACCTTGGCTATTTTGTCCTAAATTATGTAATTTACTTTGAACTACCCAAACTTTACGCTATGCAGAATAAACATGTTGAAATTACTACAGTGGTTTAACACCGTGAACCAGTTTCATTATTTATTTTAATTCACAGACAATTTTTTTCCAAGCAAACTGAAATCTCAAATCTAGTATTCGTATGCTGTATAACAGAAGAAAACATCTGCAAGAATTAGTGAAAATTTGACAGCAGAAGAGAGTGCAATACAAGTGCGTGAAATATATCGAAAAAAAATTAGCTTGTTTGCCAACTGTTTTTTATTGAATATTTTCAAAGTTATTATGATACAACGTCTCCAAAAGAACTTGTAGGAAATTAAAAGAAGGAATCCTAGAACACCAAAACAACATCAGAAAATTCTGCAATAAACATATACTATCGATACACTGCAATAGTTGCAGAAGGTTTAATTGGCAAGATTTCTATTTTATGGGCATTGAACATATCAATCCTCATTGGAGAGGGGGTAACAGAATTAAAAGACATTCACAAAGGGAAACCTTCCGGATAAATCAGTAAAAAAACATTACAACCTTGTTGACTTAACTTGGATACAGTTGTTTTTGAGAGGATTAGCACATTTGCATGTTAATGTAAACAGTGCACTTTTTTTTTTTTTTAGAACTAAAGGTCTTTATTTTTAGAAATAAAGATTTTTTTTATACATTTTCCTTGAAATAAAGGTCTATATATATATATATTCTTTATTTTCATATATTGTACAAAAACATCACAAAACATGATAGGTTTATACATCATAGCATACAATAATACATTTAGATATTCTTATTCATATTCCATTTCTTTAATCAGCATCTAAATATATAAGCATAGCCTACAACAAGGACATTAACTCACTTAGACACAAAACAAACACTAGTTTAAAAAAATACAGATCAGGAGTTATTTATTATATTTATCTAATAGAGTTATCTGTTGTACGTTTTGCAAGGTAAACAAATAGAATCATACTTTCAAATTATTTTCAATCATCGATAAAAAATCTCTTGTATTTTATATTGCTATGGATTTACATACACGAACATTTGTTTCCATAAGTTTATGAGCTATTGCTGTATGTTTTAATAAGGTATTAATTAAAAAGTTTTTGATTCTCAAACGTGAATATTTCTTTATTTGTTATTTTGAAATAATATTGGAGAATTAATCTATTTGACCTTGATGAGTGATATCTGCAAGAGTAATATATATCTTTTCTGTGGCATTTTCAGAATTAGGAAGAATAGTTTTTGTCCCATTATATATATCATACAAATTATTTGATGGGAACAGTGAAATAGACTGCATGCATTTAAAAAGTTCTGTTTCTCTCTACATCCATTGTGGTTCTAAAATGTTATCTGTACACATAGATTTTATTAAAGACACGGAGGCTCATATTATGCATAACTCTTTCTTTATTTCCTCAGCAGCAAAGAAAGAGAAATATAAATATTATCAAAACTGAAGAAAAAACGGTATAGGCACAACAGGTAGCCAATCACAGGATATAGGAAGTAGCTATATAAGTCCTGTGTCTCCCACAATCCCCCTCTTTCTTTGCTGCTTCCTCAGACAGATAAGTGTTTTTTCTGCTCTCTCTATCTTATATTGTGGTTGCATTTTATTATATTACATTGTTTATTTTACAGTGTGTTTATTTGGTATGCTTAGCATACTATTCTTTTCCTTGCGGCTGGTGTTTCCCTTGGGCCCGCAGGTGTTCACTGCCCCGTCCGGGTGGTCCCTTTTTTCCTCACCCCTCCCCCCCCCTTCTGCACGGGACCCGGCGTTGCTGTCTGCCACGGCCGCCCTCTCCTCACGACCGCGGTAGTGTGCGCGCTCTTTTCCCCGCTCACGAGCCGGCACGGCGGGTCGGGTGCACGAGCCCCTTCCCCCGCCGAGTGCTTGCCGCGTGTGCCTTCCCTCTCGTGCGGAGGCCATTTTGGGGCGGTCCTTGTTCCTCCCAGTGCTGCCGTGCGGCCGGTCACCTCGTTGCCCTGCTCCCTGGGAACACCAGCCGGACTGTGTCAGTAATTGTTGTTTGTTGTGGGTTACTCAACCCTCCCATCTCCCTCTCCAGATAGATTTCTTTGGTATCTAGTCTTATTTAGTTTTATTTAGTTTTAATTAATTTTTAGTCAGTTTGTTGCTGCCTGTCCTACATTAGCACTAGTATGCAGGATAGGGGTGATGGGCCTGTTGGTCCCCCAGGGGACTTCCAATTGGACAGTGCTGATGGTGCCATGGCCTCCCAGGAGTTTCAAGCCATGTTATAGGCCACTATGGCTTCCTCCATACAAAAGGCTATTACCTCAGCCATGGGAGCTGTCTTTTCTACCTTTTCCCAATCCCTGCACTCTCTAGTTTTGCCTGCTCTGGCCACCCCCGCCCCTTCCCCTGCTCATACCGTGCCTGGAGCCCGTAAGGCAAGGGCCAAATCTAAACATGTCGGCTCCCACTCCTCGATGCAGGTTCTACCTGCCATGACTGACACGCTAGAGGCGGTCTCAGCGCGCATCCCACGCGCAAAAGAGCCCCTGGCCGGGCTAAAAAGGCTAGACTGTGGAAAAGGGCTAGAGCCCCTGATGGTGGGTCGGATACCGACCGGAGTGTGGAGGATGAGTCCGACGTTATGGAGTACGACTCCTTTGACAATGATGACTCTGGCGAGGATTTGCCCCTTACGGGCGTGAACCCCTCGCGGTCCTCCGCCAAGGCCCGGGGCCCCTCACTTGGCCCCTCTGGGGTTGACACCTCGATCCTTGACCCGCAAGGTAACCCCCTATTTGATCCAGACGACCTACGTCACCCCCGGTCCGCCGAGTGGGTTCCCCCGGATCATATTGCCCAATACGTGGCTAAGCGCATCCGCACGCCACTTTCTAGGGAAGGCCGCAATAAACTGCGCACCGAGTGCCCACGCCCGTCCCTCCCGGGCGCTGCTTGCAAGACCCCGGACATTGACCCACAAATTGCACAGTTCCTGAATAAGTCAGGCTGGAAACCCAAGAAGGGCCTTGACCACTCCCTAAAAAGCTGCCAGGACAAGATCCTGGATACCCTGGGGCCCCTTTCTAAGCTCTACGAGCTCCTTGATGCTGCCAGAACCGGGGATTCCATTCTGGATGTGGATGTGGCCATTGGTTAGGTCCAACGGGCCATATGCTTACTGGGGAACGCCAATACGGCCATGTCTACAGAGACGTAAGGCGATACTCTTAAAGATCGACCCTAAATTGGCCGCTATGACCGTGGCGGAGCCTGATCCGACTGATGAGGGTCTGCTGTTTGGCACCTCCTTTGTTAAGGATATGGGTTCTTATGTCAAGACCTTCACAGCAATTGACAAAGCGCAAGCGAACATGAAGCGTGTGTTCGCGCCCAAGGTTTTCGGAGGGGCCGGGCGTAGTAGGAACCGTCCGCCCGGCCGTGGTTTCCGAGGCGCATTCCGCGCAACCAGAGGTTCCTTTTTTCCCTCGAGAGGATTTCAGGACCAGAGGACCCCTCCCTTCTTCCCGGCCAGAGGTCGGACCTGGGGCTCCAGATACCCCCGCGGTGGTACCCCCGGAAGACGTCCTTACGGTGAGTACCCTTTCTTTCCCTCACACTCAAGTTCAGGTGGCGGGGAGGCTGGCCTTGTTTTGTCAAAAGTGGGCAAAGATGACCTCAGATGCTTGGGTTATGCAATGTGTAAGGGGCTTTCGTCTGGAGTTTTTTTCCATGCCTGTCCAGTTTTATTCCCCCAGAAAACTGTCTCTCCCTCCGGAGCAGGACGAGATGATTTCCACGGAGGTCTTGGAGATGTTGTCCAAGGGCGCTATAGAGGAATTGCCGTTCGCCACCCCAGGCTTTACGAGCAATTTGTTTCTGGTGCCCAAGAAAGGGGGCGGGGTTCGCCCTGTAATAAATCTTCGCCCACTCAACGCCTTTCTACGCTACCAACACTTCCAGATGGAAGGTATACATTGCCTCAGAGACCTTCTACGCCAGTCAGACTGGTTGGCCAAGCTGGACCTGAAGGACGCCTACTTTACGGTCCCCATCGCTTTGGAGTTCAGGGATTATCTCCACTTCACCTGGCACGGGCGTCGCTGGCGCTTCACCTGCCTGCCTTTCGGTCTCTCCTCGGCCCCTTGGTGCTTCACCAAGCTCATGAAGCCCATAGTAGCATTCCTCCGAACCCGGGGGGTTCGCCTCATTATCTACCTGGACGATATCCTGATTTTATCCCAGTCACGAGAGGATCTCCTCACACACCTAGGATGGACGACCGGCCTTCTGCAGAAATTGGGATTTCTGATCAATTGGAGCAAATCGGTCCTGATCCCTGCCCAGTCCATAGAGTTTCTGGGTTTTCAGGTGGATTCCATCCGGCAGTTTCTGTTCCTTCCGAATGCCAAGGTGAAAGCCATCCAGAAGGAAATTCGGAGGGCCCTCCGTGTCCCAGACTTGTCAGTCAGACAGCTGGCGAGGATTATCGGCCTTCTCGCGGCCTCTATTCAAGCGATCTTCCCGGGCCCGCTGCACTACCGGGCGCTCCAACGGCTCAAAGGATTGCACCTTCGCTCAGGTCATTCCTACGAATCTCGGATAATGCTAGACGCGGAGTCCAGGGACGAGCTAGTGTGGTGGTTGGCGCACATGGAGGCATGGAACGGAAGAGCCATCTTCGGTTCCGCCCCGGATGTGGTGATAGAGTCCGATGCCAGCTTACACGGCTGGGGCGCTCGTTGTGGCGACGTTTCCACAGGTGGCAGGTGGTCCGACACAGAGAAGTCGTTGCACATCAACTGCTTGGAACTCCTGGCAGGTACCTTCGCGATCCGCAGTCTTGCCCCAGGGAGGGCGAATTGCTGCGTTCTCCTCAAAATGGACAACGTATCGGCAGTTCGTTACATAAATCACCTAGGGGGTACGAAGTCCAAAATGTTGGCAGTTCTGGCGAAAGATTTCTGGCAGTTCTGCCTCTACAACAACGTCTCGGTGACGGCGGAACACATCCCAGGTCTGAACAAGTCGGGGGCGGATTGGAATTCCAGACACTTAAGAGACTCTGGGGACTGGCGTCTACACGCCTCAGTGTTCCAGAGCCTGAACAGGTTGTGGGGCCGGTTCCAGTTGGACCTACAGCGAGTGCAGAATTATTAGGCAAGTTGTATTTTTGAGGATTAATTTTATTATTGAACAACAACCATGTTCTCAATGAACTCAAAAAACTCATTAATATCAAAGCTGAATATTTTTGGAAGTAGTTTTTAGTTTGTTTTTAGTTATAGCTATGTTAGGGGGATATCTGTGTGTGCAGGTGACTATTACTGTGCATAATTATTAGGCAACTTAACAAAAAACAAATATATACCCATTTCAATTATTTATTATTACCAGTGAAACCAATATAACATCTCAACATTCACAAATATACATTTCTGACATTCAAAAACAAAACAAAAACAAATCAGTGACCAATATAGCCACCTTTCTTTGCAAGGACACTCAAAAGCCTGCCATCCATGGATTCTGTCAGTGTTTTGATCTGTTCACCATCAACATTGCGTGCAGCAGCAACCACAGCCTCCCAGACACTGTTCAGAGAGGTGTACTGTTTTCCCTCCTTGTAAATCTCACATTTGATGATGGACCACAGGTTCTCAATGGGGTTCAGATCAGGTGAACAAGGAGGCCATGTCATTAGATTTTCTTCTTTTATACCCTTTCTTGCCAGCCACGCTGTGGAGTACTTGGACGCGTGTGATGGAGCATTGTCCTGCATGAAAATCATGTTTTTCTTGAAGGATGCAGACTTCTTCCTGTACCACTGCTTGAAGAAGGTGTCTTCCAGGAACTGGCAGTAGGACTGGGAGTTGAGCTTGACTCCATCCTCAACCCGAAAAGGCCCCACAAGCTCATCTTTGATGATACCAGCCCAAACCAGTACTCCACCTCCACCTTGCTGGCGTCTGAGTCGGACTGGAGCTCTCTGCCCTTTACCAATCCAGCCACGGGCCCATCCATCTGGCCCATCAAGACTCACTCTCATTTCATCAGTCCATAAAACCTTAGAAAAATCAGTCTTGAGATATTTCTTGGCCCAGTCTTGACGTTTCAGCTTGTGTGTCTTGTTCAGTGGTGGTCGTCTTTCAGCCTTTCTTACCTTGGCCATGTCTCTGAGTATTGCACACCTTGTGCTTTTGGGCACTCCAGTGATGTTGCAGCTCTGAAATATGGCCAAACTGGTGGCAAGTGGCATCGTGGCAGCTGCACGCTTGACTTTTCTCAGTTCATGGGCAGTTATTTTGCGCCTTGGTTTTTCCACACGCTTCTTGCGACCCTGTTGACTATTTTGAATGAAACGCTTGATTGTTCGATGATCACGCTTCAGAAGCTTTGCAATTTTAAGAGTGCTGCATCCCTCTGCAAGATATCTCACTATTTTTGACTTTTCTGAGCCTGTCAAGTCCTTCTTTTGACCCATTTTGCCAAAGGAAAGGAAGTTGCCTAATAATTATGCACACCTGATATAGGGTGTTGATGTCATTAGACCACACCCCTTCTCATTACAGAGATGCACATCACCTAATATGCTTAATTGGTAGTAGGCTTTCGAGCCTATACAGCTTGGAGTAAGACAACATGCATAAAGAGGATGATGTGGTCAAAATACTCATTTGCCTAATAATTCTGCACTCCCTGTATTCGCATCACGCCTGAACACTCAGCTACCGAGGTTCTACAGTTGGAGGCCGGACCTGGCTGCAGTGGCGACGGATGCCTTTCTTCAAGAATGGCCACCAGGTCTGGTGTACGCTTTTCCCCCATTCAACATGATCGCACGCACGATTTCGAAATTGGTCCGCCACGATTGTCGGATGGCGTTAATCACCCCTCTATGGAGGTCTCGACCATGGCTCCCTCGCCTGATGGAATTGTCCATAGACTACCCTCGATTGGTTCCGATATTCCAAGATCTCCTTCTGGACCTTCCGAAACTTCTACTTCAGACCAATTGAGCACATCTCGTGTGGTGGCGCAGCTTTGAACTTGCATAATATGAGCCTCCGTGTCTTTAATAAAATTCCCAGATTTTACTAGTAACATGACGTAAAGTCATGATTTTATTAAAGACACGGAGGCGAGTATTATTCCCTCCCGCCCTCCCGGCGTGGATTTGGGATAGGAGATGCTTGGTGGCTCTACAGGTATGTTTCCATTGGGTCTGTATTTTATATCAGTTTAATTTTACGTCTTTTTGTATGGTTTTTTGTACTTTTGTGTCGTTTACTAATTCTGATATTTTATATTTCAGAACTCAGTTTTGCCTGTGACTCCCCGAGGTTATGTTTGGTAAGTCTGCAGTTGTGAGTTAAGAAATTACCATATTTCTCTATCTTTTTTAGCTTGAAGTTATCGCATCGTTTCCTGTTACCCTGTTTCGATCAAGTGGGACATCGTTCATCTTACCTGGTCTTCGGTTCGCAAGAAAGAGGGGGATTGTGGGAGACACAGGACTTATATAGCTACTTCCTATATCCTGTGATTGGCTACCTGTTGTGCCTATACCGTTTTTTCTTCAGTTTTGATAATATTTATATTTCTCTTTCTTTGCTGCTGAGGAAATAAAGAAAGAGTTATGCATAATACTCGCCTCCGTGTCTTTAATAAAATCATGACTTTACGTCATGTTACTAGTAAAATCTGGGAATTGCATTCTATAGAATAATTTTTTTTTATTTATTTTTTTTAAGTCCCTGAGGAAGTCCTTCATTCGGACGAAACGTGTAGGACGCCTAGTGGTGATTCTGATCAACTACATCCACTGTTTTTAATACATATATGTGAATAAATTATTTTACTACACACTCAATTTTGCACAACAATGTTATCTCTTTTTTTGAGTATATGTGCTCCAGCCAACACATGGTGATCTGAACATATTGTGGTGACTATGAAGGCTATTCGGAAGACTATGTACAAGGCTTTATTACCTCATTGAAAGGGTGAGTAGCCATTTGGGATTAGAATGTGTGTGGCACATTGTCCACAGTTATATGCAATGTCTTCTTCTTTTATATTGGTTTAGCAGATACTCTCCAAATTTTGTATATATATTTCATGGAAGACAGGAGGAAGTCTTCGGTCTACCCTTGGAAGCTTCACCTTATACAGGAAAGTTTGTCTGCTAATATTTCATTTGCACTAATTGCACTTTGGTTTGTGAACTCTCTGTGTCTGTCCAATCACAGACTGCCTAATACAGCTCAATGAGAGGTATTTGGAAAGTAGGTGCTCTGAGCCATTGCTGCCTCCTGGGTTTAGCTCTATTGAGCTAACCAAACCAGTTAGCAACATTACCTGTAGTCTGCTTGAAAGTCAAGGCTGTGTAACCAGGTTAATTTATAAAAGTGTAAATTTCTATTGAAATCTGCACTTTTTGTAAAATGAAGAAATAAAAAAGACATCACACATAAAGCATTCCAGAAAGCTTAAAGGACCACTATAGGCACCCGGACCACTTCAGCTTAATGAAGTGGTCTGAGTGCTAGGTCCCCCTAGTTTTAACCCTGCAGCTGAAAACATAGGAGTTTCTCTGAAATTACATTGAGGGTTAATCCAGCCTCTAGTGACTGCCTCCCTGAGACTCGGGAGCCGACGTCGGCGAGGGAGGAGAGGTCACCAGCGCCGAGGGAGCCCGGCGCTGGATTAAGGTAAGAGGCTGAAGGGGTTTTAATCCCTTCAACCCAGCGGGAGGGGGCTACCTAATAACCCCATAGTGCCAGGAAAACGGGTTTGTTTTCCTTGCACTATAGTGCTCTTTTAAGTGTTTTAAAAGTCTGAAGTGTCCCTTTAAGACCTTGATTTTAGAAGCGTTATCCTCTATTTCTTTCAGAGAACTTTTTTTTGGCATTTAATTCTGACTGTAATTTGGAATTTGAGTTTGTGGCTTTGTTTCACCTTAATGTTCAGGTTGTCCTGACCTTATCCTTCAAAAACTCTGTCTCGGATGAAGAAGTTAGTTGGCAGATGTTGGATTTAGGACAGTGTGCTATTCATTCTTCCACAAGTTATTTGTAATGGGCAGGATGCTCCTTTCCTCCATGTAGATGCACTGTGATGGCTATGTTTTGGCCTATTAGGCCAGTGCTGTTCTTGATTGAGTGTGTGTACAGTGATGTAGTGGATGTAGTTTTTGTATATACTAGATGAAATGTGTTTAGTGGATGCAGTGTCTGTGCATAGTGAATGCAGAGTGTTTCAATTTGTGGTGGGTGTAGTGTGTGTACTGTGAATACAGGATGTTTGTGTAGTGGATGCTGTGTGTACAGTTAATGCAGAGTGTGTGTTGGTGTGTAATGAATGCAGAGTGTGTGTTAGTATGTAATGAATGCAGAGTGTGTGTTATTGTGTAATGAATGCAGAGTGTGTGTTAGTGTGTAGCAGATGCAGAGTGTGTGTGTGTTAGTGTAGTGAATGCAGAGTGTTAGTGTGTAGCGGATGCAGAGTGTGTTAGTGTGTAGCAGATGCAGAGTGTGTGTTAGTGTGTAGCGGATGCAGAGTGTGAGTGTTAGTGTGTAGCGAATGCAGAGTGTGTGTCAGTACAGTGGATGCAGTGAGTGTGTTAGTGTGTAGTGTATGCAATGTGTGTGTGTGTTGTGTCAGTATATGCACTGTGTGTGTTGTGTTAGTGTATGTAGTGTGTCTTGTGGTGTATGCAGTGTGTTGTGTTAGTGTATGCAGTGTGTGTGTCTTGTGTTAGTGTATGCAGAGTGTGTGTTGTGTTGGTGTATGCAGAGTGTGTGTTGTGTTGGTGTATGCAGAGTGTGTGTTGTGTTGGTGTATGCAGAGTGTGTGTTGTGTTGGTGTATGCAGTGTGTGTTGTGTTAGTGTATGCGCTGTGTGTGTGTGTGTTGTGTTAGTGTATGCAGTGTGTGGTGTTAGTGTATGCAGTGTGTGTGTGTGTTGCGTTAGTGTATGCAGTGTGTGTGTTGTGTTAGTGTATGTTGTGTTGTATGCAGTGTGTGTGTGTTGTGTTAGTGTATGCAGTGTAAATGTGCAATCTGGGGGGGAGGGGGAGGAAGGGTCATTTTTCACATTAATTTTTTATTAAATTTAATTAGATGTAATTCCCCCCTCCCTGTGTCCAGGGAGGGGGTTGATTCCATGATCCCTTGTGGTCCCCCCGGCTCCCTGTTACCTCAGAGGGGGCTCAGGCAGCACACTGCTTCTCCTCTTCTCTTCTAATAACTCTCGCGAGACCCGCTGAGCGTTGCCATGGTAACCGGGTCTCGCGAGAGTTATTAGAAGAGAGGAGAAGCAGTGTGCTGCCTGGGCCTCCTCTGCGGTAACAGGGAGCCCGCGGCTGCACACATAGATAGCGATATTCTCTATCTATGTGTGCAGAAAGAACCGTCATGGTTGTCACCCCCTGATGGGTAATAGAGAATTGTTGGCTATTGTACTAGCTCTGAAAGAATGGTGTCATCTTTTGGTAGGTTCCAAGGATCCCCTCCTGACAGTGGCGTACAGATCAGGGTCGCGGCTGCGACCGGGCCCGGCCCACCAGGGGGCCCGGCCGCCCCTGCAACCCGGTATGTACCCACAGAGCCAGCCTCTTCCCCAGGGCCCCCCGAGGCTGGCCCTGCTGACACCCGGCAGGCGGGTGGCCGGTCGGGCAGACGGGCGCGCGAGGGAACACTCAGCGCTTCCTCTTCAGCTGCCTCGCGCACCGCACTGATACCAGAGCCGGAAGATGACGTCATCTTCCGGCGCCGACATCCCTACGCGGCGTGCGAGGGAGCTGAAGAGGAAGCACTGAGTGTTCCCTCGCGCGCCCGCCTGGCCACCCGCCCAGGAGCCCAGCAGCACCACTGGACTCCAGGGAATCCCCCCAGCACTCCAAAAGGTAAGGAGGCTGGGAGGATTACATAAAAAAAAACAAAAAAAAAAACATGGGTTAGTGTGAGAGTGTGTGTGAGTGTTAGAGTGTGAGTGTGTTAGAGTGAGTGTGTGTGTCTGCTAGTGAGTGTTAGTGTGAGTGTTAGAGTGAGTGTTAGAGTGTGTGTCTGCTAGTGAGGGTCAGTGAGTGTGTGTGTGTGTTAGGGAGTCTGTTTGATGTCTGTTAGTGAGTGTGTATTTGTCAATGAGAGTATGTTTTGTAAGTGAGTGTGTATGTATGTCTGTCGCTGAGTGTGTCTCTGTCAGTAAATGTGTGTCTGTTAGCTAGTGTGTATGCGTCTGTAAGTGAGAGTGTGTGTGTGTCTTCAGCACTTACCTTTCTCCAGCGCCGGACTCCCTTGGCGCTGGGGATCCCTCAGCCTCTCAGCTCCGAATGCGACCGCGCACGCATTCAAACCGCCCATAGGAAAGCATTACTCAATGCTTTCCTATGGACGTTCAGTGTGCTCCTCTAGCGGCTGTCAGTGAGACAGCCACTAGAGGCTGGATTAACCTTCAGTGAAACATAGCAGTTTCTCTGAAACTGCTATGTTTTCAGCTGCAGGGTTAAAAATAGAGGGACCTGACACCCAGACAACTTCATTGAGCTGATATGATCTGGGTGTCTGTAGTGGTCCTTTAAGTGTGTGTGCATCTGCATGCACTGGCGTACATACCGCGGTCGCAAGGGTCACAGCCCTGTAACCCCTGCGACCAGGGGCCCACCGCCATGTGTTGCGGTCCGGCCTGCGCGCGGGGGGTAGGGGGGGCCCCACGGATCAATTTTCTCACCAGGGCCCCATGGGTCATGTGTACGCCACTGCCTCCTGATCATAACTTATCACAAAAACTTGGCATACATTGGAGATTCTAACCTGTCTTCTAGACAAGCTAGATGGTCATTGTTCTTGTCATGCTTTAACTTTATCATCACGTACAGACCAGGTCCTAAGAACATTAAGGCTGATGCCCTATATAAGGAATTTGACAGAACAAGAGACCTTCCCTATTGTTTTACCTGAGTGTATCATAGCCTCTACTGTCCTTTCCTTGTCTTCTCCTCTTCTTTGTGCTATCATGGCGGCTCAGTCTCAGGCAACCTTTAAGATAGATTGTTTATTCCGTTGCTAAAAAGAGAGGAGGTACTAAGAGTGTTCCACGATAATGTGACGGCTGGACATCCCGGTATCAATAAAACTGTATCCGCTGTCTCCAGATCATTTTGGTGGCCTTCTCTTAGAAAAGATCAGAGAGTATGTGGAGGCTTGTACTGTTTATGCGGTTTCTAAGGTTCCCCATAAACTACCATGTGGGTTATTAAAACCATTTCCTATACCCAGTGTTCCATGGTCTCATTTGTCAATGGACTTCATTGTGGAACACCCGGTTTCTAAAGGCTATACCACCATCCTTTTGGTGGTTGATCGCTTTTCAAAAAATACTTCAAATGCATCTTAAAGGGCCAACCAGTCATTGGAACTATATTTGCAATGTTTTATTAATGGCACTCAGGAAAATTGGTCTGACTTGCTACCTTGGGCTGAATTTGCCAGGAAAATTGCTACCCATGACTCATCTGGACATAATCCATTTTTTTGTCAACAACGGTAGTGATCGTACTGTTCTTCATGCAGTGTTCTCCGACACTGCTATTCCTGCTCTGGATAAAAATCTTGCATGTTCATGTGAGACTTGGACTAAGCGCCACACGGCTCTTGGAACTGCTAAAGCTCGTTTCAAATTTCATGCTGATAAGAGGAGTGGTGTCAACCCTGTTTACCAAGTGGGTGATCGGGTATGGCTCTCCTGGCGAAATATCAGACTCAAGGTTCCTAGCATTTGACAGTTCGCGATCTCTGTTTTGCGTATTTCGTGGGAAAAACCCAGTGAACGGGACTGCTAGGAGACCTGAAGGAGCTGAATTTGGCAGAAGATTTGAACGAAGGCTGGAACCGGAAGTGCAGGTATACAGGAGACAGATTAACTGAATGGTACTGCAAAAGTAAGCAGGGGATGTGGGTTTTTATAGGAACGCTAACTCCTCCCACAAATACAGGCCTTTGGCCTTTAAACTTATGTGTATTTGCGCTCATCATAAAGATTTATTGCTAGTCTTAAAACCAGTTGGAGAGAGAATAGCCTTTCAGAAAGGTTGATGGCAAAATGTGTCTGATGATGATTGGGGGGGCAGAGCTAGCACTCAGAGAGATTGCTCATATGATTGCTGCTCTCCTAGCTGGCATCAAATATAGCCCCACAAAGCCTCTTACAGCTCGACAAACTGTCGGTAAGAGTACCCCACCGATGGTGAGAAAAACTAAGAAGCCACGACTGGATCGGCCACGGTTCTAAGCAGACATAGGTGACTTGCTGCAGACATAACATGGCAGCCGACTTTGAGGACTAAACGGATAACATGGAGGATGTCCGCCTACACAGAAATGAAATTCTAGGGTATAAAAGACCTCCAAAGCCTCCATAGCTGACCACTTGCTCCTCTCACACGGTCACCATGGAGATACTCACCAATCTCATCACAGATCTCCGCCAAACGCTCTACGCCGAGATAGCTCAGGTGACGGAAGACGTCAGGGGATTCAATGCCCGTCTCACAGCAGTGGAGCAGATCAAACTCACAACACAGGTCAAAGAGCACCAGAAGCAATGGTGTCCTGAGTGCTGTTCACACTACTCTCACCCACCTGATGGAGTATCTCCAGCTGAATTGTGTCACTTTATCCACAGGCTACATGCAGCACTCCTACCTCCCAGATAAGCTAAGGGAATACCGGCTTGACGGAATGTTCTGCCTGCCCAAGCGATCAATGCCCTCAGGTGACCTCCTGGTTAAATTCCAGAACGGGCAAGACAAAGCAGCCTTCATGAAAGCCACTAAGGGGAAGAATCCCTATCTATTCGAAGACATGGACTTGTCATTCTATTCTAAACCTCTCTCGTACTACCCTGCTCTAGAGGAAGTGCCTTTGGCCACGGCCAGTGACACTAACAGCTAAGGGAGTGAAATATTGCTGGGGACCGTCACATATACTCATTCAGCACCAAGACACTGAACCTAAGGTGACAGACATCGCCGAGATAGACACTGTCCTAGCAGCCTTGCTGCTCCATCTACCTCCACAACCTGGAACCCAGCCAATATAGTCCAGTTCCTCCCCGCTTCCCATGGAGTAACCGGGGATGAAGCCCACCTGAAATGCCTGCCTTTATGTTGTTTCACTTTTTATACTTTTCTCTGTGTTGAGTTTTGTCCTCAGTTAACGGTTTAAATATATGACACTAATCTGTTTTAGCTGATCCTCATATTGGGGACATGACCACTAAACCTAAGGCCAAACATGGCCGAGACCAGGAATATCCCAGATACTCTAGCTCCAATTTTCACAATACCCCCCCAGCTCCTCTCATGTAAATCAATACTGTGCATATCATCAAGGGGCATTTTTTTTTTCCACACTAGGCTGCGCATCAGATCACTCTGCTCAATTACACTGCTCACTGTAGAAGTTGCTATGTTCCAATCCTCTCCTAACATATAAACACAGGAGTCCCAACATAGTGTGTATACCTCAACATAGTGTGCCAGATTTATTCTACTAATAATAACATATTAGTCTTGGCTCTGCTCTTTTACGGCAGGGACAGACGAACAACTTACGTCTGTGCTTCTGTCATGCATATTCTGCAGTCTAACAGATTCTGTCTAGTAGCCAATTCTACATTATCCTGTTTTTTTGTATATTCACTCTTGTTTATATTCATATATAAAATGTGCAGTTCTCTCGAAAGACAGGACAAAGTCTGAAATTATAATGCTTGTTACCACTGTTGTGGCTATATAGGCTTGATTTTATGCACAACAAAAATAAAGAATGACAAAAAAATGTGTCTGATGATATGATTAATGCATGAATAAATGATAAGGAAATTCACAAACAGGGTGCCTTCTCTTGTAGACCTAACATGTGGTATTTATTTAACTAAACAATATATTATATCCCACAGAACACAACAACTCTGTACACTTGTAAGTGGAACTTACACTGTAAGTGAAACAATTGGAATGGTTTTGTAAGCGTGCTTGACGTTGTATAAATGATGTGTTTATCAAGCATAGAAATGGTGCGCAAAAGTTGTTATACTTAGTATTCATCATTCCTCAATGCAATTTTCTGAATATAACCTTTAAAAACAATTGTAAAAATCATACAGATCATCTGTACAATAATATTTAATAAAGGTCATACGGATGGCAAGTCACAAAGAACGAGTTGGATTATGTGTATTATATCTAGATGGTTGTTGCATGTTTTGTATGGTTTATACACACATTTGGCACTTTATAATAATCAACAGTTTTGCATGTTTGCACTGTGTAATTACTGGAATGGATTAATCATTGTTTTCTAATAGGTTTCACTGTTTTGTTTTGTTTTTTTGCACTGGTAAAATTTAATTAGCCACATTTTTTCACTTTATTACATTTGTGTATGCATTTATCAAGCTCAAATGCATTATTTAGGGAATACACCCTAATCCCTCATTTGTGTAAGACCACAGGTACAGCAGATGTTTACCAAGCATCCTTTTCTAATCAATACTGCATTGAAAAGCTTTCTGGTTTGTGGTGAGACAAGTTGAAATTTGAATGAGAATTTTTCTTATACAAAAATATAAGGTCACTTTAAACACCGATCTTATATACATATATAAATACATATAAAAATATATGAGGGTTTTTTTTCTACTAGGTGGTAAAACTCTGTGACCATATATAACAAAGTACCAAATGTTGCACGCAAAAAAAAGGAACAGCAATAGGACATGCCATAACGTCCAGGAGTTATTGTTCTTCTTTACACTGAAGATAGTTCTTACTGGCTTTGGCTGTATGTTTGGAGTTGTTGCCCTGCTGCAGAATAAATGTAGCTGCCTGTACTTCTCAGCAATGGGGAGACCATTAATTCTTACCAAATGTCTGCAGACACTCATTCTTGTACAGCCTTTGGGTGAAAAAACAGCTTTCTGCTAAAGTCAAATATTTTAATTTTTACTCATCAGTCCAGAGCACCTACTGCCATTATTCTGTGCCCTGTTTCCTGTGTTTTGGTCCATAGTGGAGTTGTTTGGCCTTGCTGCCAAGTTGGAGGTAAGGCTGGACACAAGACTTCTCTGAAGATTACTTCAGACCAGACTTCTCTGGACAGTAGATGTGTGTACCAGGGTCCCACTGGTTTCTGCCAGTTCTCAGCTGGTGGCACTGCTGGACATCTTCTGATTGTGAAGAGAATAAGTAAACATGATGTGTCTTATCTGCTGCACTAAGTATCCATGGCTGACCACTTTGCTTACAGTCCTCAACATTGCCGTTTATTTGGGCTTTTTAAGAAGAGATTGGGAAGCACATCTAGAAACTCCTGCCTGGAAATTTCTGCCTCGGAGAGACCTTGCTGATGCAGTTTAACTTTGTTACGTCTTGTTGCTGAGCGCATTCCTGCAGTGCTGTATGAATTTTGGCACTAAACTGTCTTCAGTTTCAACTTCAACTTGACCTTGGCCTCAATTTAATTTGTTTTGCTGAGCATTCAAATTGTCAAAATCTGTTAGGAAAAAGATTTTCTTATGATGTATCTACAAAAAGTGCCATAAACTTTAATGTCTACTTCTGTAGATAAATCATTTGCAAAGTTTTTCTAACAGATTTATTGTACCTGTTTGGTATAATTGTTTAATGATAACAGTTTTACTATAAGTGTACCAAATTTTGATTTGATTTAGATTTTGCTTCTGTTCACTCACTTTGCATTTTGTTAACTCATAAAAATAAAACTATTCCTATTTTTTTAAAGTTATCATGGTTTGGTATAAAACAAAAGGCGAACCGGTGACAGATGAGAAAGAGGACAGAACGTATTAACGGTCCTTAGAAAAGCCGGGTTAAAGGCAAGGAGTAGGAGGTAAATAAAGAATTCCTGCAAGCAGGTAAAACAGAGCCATAAAACATGTCGCGGTCAGGGTTCAAGAAAGCAACAAAACAAAATCCTTGGTCAAGAGTACAAAAAGCAGAGTAGTCAAACAGGCCGAAGGTCGATACAAATTATGAACAGGAAAATCTATAAAGCACTCTCTAGCAGCTGAACATGTTAGACAACTGCCATAGTTTGCAACACAATACTCAGGTAAGGTATAACAGTTTAATGGGTTTATATTAAAAAAAATGATATTCTCAAATTTGACTGACAGTTGACCTGTGTGTATTGATGTGAGGTTAGGTACACAAGTCAATTTAGATAAACTGTGTTGGTAGTTTATATTGCAAAGGAAATCGTTATTGCATGGCCTTTCTCGCTATGCAATTTCACACCCATCCCAGGTAAGTTTACAATAGCCAAATACCACAGTAAAAATAGAAAATGAAAAGGCAAAAAAAAATAAAAAAAGGTATGTGTTTTACTCCTAGCAGTTAAATGCCAAAAATTGAAAATAAAGAATATTTTACCTGGGAATCTCAGTGTCCTCTTGTTTTATGACTGATGGACAGATTACATTTTGTCCAGGAATGGGGGGTACATCGACTCCATATGCGACCGCAAAGGTTTTAACGTTCACATCTCCTGGATTTGGATGCGGTCTGCTTTCCCAGTTTGGACGCACATATTCATACAGGCCCTTCAGATGAAAGACAAGAAGAAAAAAAACACAGATTAGAACGTGTGATTTGTTTGTGAATGCAAGCAGGTAGATTGGGTTTATAGGTGTGTGTATTAATATGGATTATTAGAACGTGTGTAAAGGGATATGGAAATGTCTTATACCAGAGTTCAGATTTATTAACTGCTGCTGTTTAATGTGTACATTTTACCTAAATAATACGTTTGCAGTTACAACCACAATGCTGTAAACAAAAAAGTGAAAACTACAAACATGGCAGCCATAGCAGGTACCCATACATGCTAAGCATTTTGGGATGTTTATGTTGATTATCAGGTGAATGCAAGTCTGCTTTCATCAACTGCAATAGCCAAGTAGGGAGGCGGCAGAAGTAGAACTGTTATCATATATATTTGAATGCAATTACTCTAGAACAATTACTACTTTTCATTTTAAATGAATACTCCAGACACCATAACCACTAAAGCGAGCTTTAGTAGTTATTGTGCCACAAGTACACTGGCACCCTAAGCCGTGAAACCGTTTTAGAACAGTTTGACTTCAGTGGTCTGTTCCTTCCTCCACTAGTTGCTACAGACAGCCAGAAGACTGCTTGGTAGCTTTCGTTAGCTCTCCTGAGTTATTCTTATGACTCTCAGCCAGCAGTTAAGCTCTGCACTATAAAATGTTTATGTTGTTACAGTTATTTTAAAGAGTCCACATATAGAATATACATAAAAGGAAAGAGATGTTTTTCAAAAAATGTGAAACTCTAAAACGAGCATCAGGCAATACCTAACAAGGACAGAGAGAAAGCGGGAAAACACGCAATATATATATATAATTGATTGAATAAATACAACCTGGGAGGTGAACCAGGATTGATACAGTGAAAATCGTGAAATCTGTAATAATGATAAATATCACATAGCGTAATACAGTTTCAACGAAAAAGATTATGTGTTATATAGGAGATGCACTCACAAACACAGGTGAAGATGAGGCTTCTCACCCCACCAGGGGTTAAAATGATAGGGAGTGCATCTCCTATATAACACAATCTTTTTCATTTAAACTGGATTACGCTATGTGATATTTATCATTATTACAGATTTCACTATTCACTGTCTCAATCCTGGTTCACCTCCCAGGTTGTATTTATTCAATCAATTATACATATACTGGGTGTTTTCCCGCTTTTTCTGTGTGTGTATATATATTTGGTGTTTGTGAGGTACACCAGGGTCACACCTAGTTTTCTGCATACCACTCAATTCCCTCTAGTTTGTACTTTTCCATTCCTTTGGCAGTGTGTGTATGTATATATGTATGTATATATATATATATATATATATATATATATATATATATATCCTTTTTTGTTCAATACCTAAGAAGGGGTTAATACTCAAATAAAACACTAAAAATACAAATTTGGAAAGTGTTCCCCCAGAGAAACGGGAAGCACCCAAAAAATGTATTGCCTATTTAAGAGAGAACTAAAAGGATTTTGAGATCTACCTTTAAGACATCCCCTTAGGGAGAAACAACAAAAAATATAAATGTGAAGGAATAAATACATACAAGCACAAATAGTTATAATGTGATAAGACTGAAGCGATCTCAATATAGCTAAAGTATAATAAAGAAAAAGATTATACAATAAGTGATTCGCTCAATGGCAAGTGGCTACAGATACAAGAATACTGTATCAGTTAGCCTAGAATGCATTAAAATGTTACACTGTAACTATATATATATATATATATATATATATATATATATATATAAATCATTCCTTAAAGGAACACTATAGGGTCAGGAACACAAACATTTATTCCTGACCCTATAGTGTTACCACCATCTAGCCCCCCTGGACCCCTCATGCCTCCATAAATATAGTAAAAATCTTACTGCATTCAAGCCAGAAGCTGTAACTCTGCATGCTGTTTGCCTAAAAAAACAAAAAAACAAACAAAAAGCAGTCTGCTGACATCATCAGAAGTGGTAGCCTGATCCAATCACAATGCTTCCCCATAGGATTGGCTGAGACTGACAAAGAGGCAGATCAGGGGCAGAGCCAGCATGATTCAAACACAGCCCTGGACAATCAGAATCTCCTCATAGAGATGAATTGAATCAATTTATCTCTATGAGGAAAGTTCAGTGTCTGCATGCAGAGGGAGGATAAACAGTGCTGCCCTGTTCTCTGCTGACAGCAGATCTGAGTGGATTGAGGAGTTTTATGCCTCAATCAACTCGGTAGTCCCTCTGGTTCACTCTGAGTGACTGCAACTGGAGGTGTTCCTAGCTTTCAATGTAAACACTGTATTTTCTCAGAAAATACAGTGTTTACATAAGAAAGGCTGCAGGGAGCTATAGTTCTCACCTGAACAACTTCACTAAGCTGAAGTTGTTCAGGTGACTATAGTGTCCCTTTAATCCCAATGCTTTGCACTTGCAAAATTAAATCATTGCAAAAAAAAATAATATCTGCTTGAGTAAAGAAATAGATTGCTTGTTATGGGATATAGCCTAATTATTGCACAGTAACGAACCTATAAAGAAGTCACTGCAGGCAACAGGGCTGATCACTTGAATGTTAATATGTAAATATTGGACACTTGCCAGACCCTTCTAGCTCAAACCAACTGTTATAGAACACTTGTAGGTGTAATCACTATAAAAAAAATAAAAAAAAATATCCATGCTAGTTTAGATATAAATAACTTGGCTTAAACAAACAGTTTAGGCACCATAACACCTTCATCTAAATGCAGAGGTTAAACCTTAACTGAAGAGGTTAAACTGTCGAGAACGGTTTAAACCCGAAGTTGCCTCCAGCACCAAGCTCAGCTCCCCCCAAGGCGGCATCCAGCTTCTAAAATTTCACTTTCAGGAAGCGCGGAATGGCGGGGCTGATTGGCTGAGAGCAGTCATCTGGCGCTCTCAGCCAATCAATGACTCTCAATGCACCAAACTGGCTTGCAAAAGGTACGTTTCTTTGCAAGCCAGCTTTGTGAATGGAAAGTCACTGACCTCTCTCAACCAATCAGAGGCGCCCCTGTCTGGCACCACTCTCCGCTTCCTGAAAGGGAAATTTCAGAAGCCGGAAAGAGCTTGGGGGAGCTGAAATCAGCATTGGAGGCAAACTAGGGGTTAAACCGTCCGAAAACGGTTTAATCCCCTTACGTAAGAGTGTATCTGGAGGCTTCCTGGCACCATAACAACAAGGACTCTCCCTCTGGGTGGGCAAATAAAATTCTACCAGTCAAGAATTTAAGACACACCTAAATAAATATAGATAACAGGACAGAAGAGGGAGAATTAACAGGACTAATTCGCTACAAAAGTACAGTAATTGTTCTTAAGAATATTATTAACATGCCAAAAAAAAAAAAATCACAGAATGATTCTAAGAAATAAAAGAAGTATATGAGAAATTCTCATTATTGTCCAAGGGGCTGAGGGTTTTAAGTTTGTAAATCCAGAAAAGATTCTCTTTTGAGAAGTAGCTGATCTAGGTTACCTTTCCTCTGATCTAACTTGACATGTTCAATTCCACAAAAATATAGACCCATAGTGAAGCCACCGTGTTGGGTCGAGACATGTCGTGAGATCGGAGTGTCCCGGAGTGTTTATTACAGTTCTCACATGTTCCATAATTCGTTACTTGAAAGGATGAATGGTCTTGTCTACATATTTTATCCCACATCTGCCAGGAAGTATGTAAATTCTCTTGTGTTACAATTTAAAAAAAAAAAAGGATCTAATGGGGGGCGGGGCCTGACAGCCAAGATGGCCAGACATGCTTTTTGAGAGCTCCAGCTCAGATAAACTAAAAATAGCCTCTTACAGCCTGAATCCGTGCAACCAATACTCAGTAATTAAGGAGGCTTAATGCGGAGACGATCAGGAGCAAAAAGATAAATTTATTTCTGCCAAAATCTCAGCAGTCTGGATATGAGGCCTAGCGTGAAAGGCAGCCTGGCACTCAGGGGAGGCGCTGATCCCCAGACACGAGGTCGGCCGGACGCGACAACACTTTTGAAGCCCCGCAACCCCCCCACCTTGGACCGGTGTGGGAGATCCCGGTCCCCGCTGGGGGAAAATACTCACCAGCAGCATAATCAAAAGCGGAGCATCGCACGTGGTGCCCAAGATGGCCCCCACGATGCAACCTCCACAGCCTCCAGAGTACCCTGATGTCCTGCAATGGAGACAGCGCTTTGAGGCCTAATTCGACAAAAATATGTCAAGCGAATACAAACCAGACCCCAACACCCGGCTCCACCTGCCACACTGGAGAACAAGGAGGAGACAACGACTCCCTGTCCCAGGTCTGAGCAGAAGGATCACCCAGTGATACAGCAGTCTTGTCGCCTATATGATATCAGAAGGCCCCCCGGCTGCATCCACAACGGTGACGGAACTACCGTCTGACTCACCAGGCATCCGAGCGTACTGCGGCACACTACCAAACACCCACCTTATTAACTCGATGCTGCCTCCCTGAACAGCGCACAGAAGGGAGCAGAGTCCCCGCTCACAAGCTGGCAACACCGACCACAAGCACTGATCCCTGGACTGTGTTATTTCTTCGTCGGTACGGAGCAGGAGCGCACAGGCACTTGGGGCTGGTGGCACCCTCACACGCAGAAAAGTGGAGAATCTCTAAGTCGTATAACACATTTACCTCTGAGGGGGATTGGCTGACCTTGGCATCAGGCTTGCCACACGAGACAACTGTGGCAGTACGGTCTCCAGCTGCACCGGTCATGATATTACAGTATCAGATGAGCATATTTCTATCAGCTTGTTGCCTTGTTTCTGTGTTATGTTTAGCCTTATATATTATTTGTGCGGGCACAGCCTCTCTGGGTGGTCCTTGAAGCCTAGCGACACTAATACCCAAAGTTTTTGCCTTGCCAGTTAAAGACCAGTATTGATTCTTCACACTGACAAATATTTTTCAACCACTATTCTACACTGTGATGATCATACTTTACACGTGTCATACCACAGTGTTTCTAATATTACTTGATAATTTCTCAGGTCTAGATACACACTTGTATCTAGCTAAATTGTCTCTGACCAATGATTAGACAATTAGACCCCCAGGTTTGGCGAGCTGTCACTAGTGGGCACTGGTTGAACAGCCTCAAACGACGGCTACAGATCGCCTAAGACACAGCTCACCCCCATTACTTAATTTGCCCAACCTACCACCCACGTATACCCACAGATTCCGGCAATAAGCCTCTCAGCCAGCCAACCTACAGATACAAGCTACGTACCATGTTATATTGCAATGTTTGTTACCAGCTTCGAGGGGGCTGCCTCCTGTTGCCGTAAACCTCAATACCCAGCGGTTACCAAGCTCTAGGATTAATATTAATTATAGTTCAGCCTGTTCTCTTCCCTTTACAGCTTAGAAATGTCAATGTCAGCCCACAAGTGATGTTCTCTATAAGCTTTATCCGCTCATCAACAACTGACATAACCTGTACGAGCATCTTTATTACTCAAAAAATAAAAAATAAATGCTTTGTTTAGCTTGCTTTTACCCTTACTATAAAATGTGGAGAATCTAATGTTGAAAGTGTCTTTGTTGTTACTTGAAGTAATGGTCTTAGAGCCTCATTTAATGTGTCTACATGCCAAACTTCTCCCACATGAGTAGGTACCGATGATTATAGGTCTTTTTTTTCTCTCAATGTGTTATTAATAAAAAGTGGCCAGAATCTCTATCAAACAGTCTACACATGTGATGCCAGCCTCCATCATAAGTGCTGCTACACAAAGAATCTGACTTGCGGCTTGATTCAGGTAACGAGAAGGTTCAGTTAGAAGGATTTCCCAAGTTGTTTCAAATGCTCTTTCAGATGCCTTTTTAAAGGACCACTATAGACACCCAGACCACTTCAGCTTAATGAAGTGGTCTGGGTGCCAGGTCGAGCTAGGGTTAACCCTTTTTTTTTTTTTTTTTATAAACATAGCAGTTTCAGAGAAACTGCTATGTTTATAAATAGGTTAATCCAGCCTCTAGTGGCTGTCTCTTGACAGCCGCTAGAGGCGCTTGCAAGCGTCCATAGGAAAGCATTATGAATGCTTTCCTATGAGACTGGCTGAATGCGTGTGCGGCTCCTGCCGCGCATGCGCATTCAGCCGAGGAGGAGGAGGAGAGGAGGAGGAGAGCTCTCCACCCGGCGCTGGAGAAAGGTAAGATTTTAACCCCCACAATGTAAAAGATTCCATCTAGGAGATATGGCAATGTTTTATTGTGAGTTTACACACACCTCTAGTGGCAGTTTTAGTGAATGAAATCTGTGCCCGTATTTAAAATAAACCAAAGCAAACCTAAACTATTTGCAGGATCTATGGAGTGTTAACAGAAAACCGTTGTGTGCACTTAGACATGATTGAGCTTATAGAGGCTATAAAGAATCCGCTCAGATACATTTTTAAAATGTTTTTGTTAAATATGAGTTTTATTTTGAATAAATCTCTTTTGAAGATCCGTATAAATGTCTTTATTTGAGTTGTTTAAAGAGCAAACTGCTAGCACAACGTATAGATGGAATTTTACACTCTTGTAAAGGAAGTTGTCTTTTACAAGAGTGTAAAATTCCATCTATACATTTTCCTGCTAGTGCTGGCTATATATACATATATATGTATTTTTTTATTTGTGTGTGTTCGGGGCATTAAAGCCATGAAAGCTTGTTAGAAATAGGTATGTAAATTCCTTATATGAGACATAAAGTAATTTGACAGAGTTGGTTGTGGTGTGCCAGGAACCGACGATGCGGTAGTTCTGTAATAAAAGAGGGCCCAGCCTAGATAATGATATGAGAAAAGGGAGTGCCTTGAACCCACTCCTGAATGGTCTTATCCACCAAGATCAGGCAGAGTTTTATTCCGGACTGCAACCGTTCAAAAATACCCAGAGGAGCTCATTTGACTTAATTTGGTGGGTTTCTAGCTCGAGAACACTATTTCTGGTTCAGTCTTTGGATGCAGAAAAGGCATTTGACAGAATACAATGGCCTTATCCTTTTAGTCTCCTGGAACACTAGAGATACGTAATGTAGTTAAAATGCACAGATACCTGGGGATACCAGAACGCCCTTTCTTTGTAGAATGCAATGCGCAGGTGATGCTTCTTGTCCCCAGGGACCCTTCTACAGAATACTAGGTCACAACCGGACCGAGGTTTTTTTCTTTGGAGGCAACAAGTATCATCATATGCAGATTATGTCATATTGACTGAAACAACCCATGAGGAAGCTCCCTCCACTATTTGGTGCTATGTCTCAATACAAATTTAACTTTCAACAAAATCTGTGCTATGCCAATCAGTATGCCAGCCCAGGACACGGTACAGTTTAGAGCAAGATTTGGGTTTCAGCTGCATCCTCATTCCATAACGTATCCATCTTGCAGCTGACCCCTCCATCATTTTCTACTCTCTATTAAGGCTAACCCGGATAAATGGGATTCCAAATAAATCTCCTGGATTTGCATGATACACTTTTTTCTCTTTTCAGGCTGTTGTCCCAATTAGATAAGACATAGAATTGCAGGAAAGCTCCTACACTGTCCTAAAACTGACATCAGGCTGGGTTTTATCATGTTTATTTGTATTACACAGTTAGATTCAGTACTCCAGCATTTCTTTTCTATGAAGCGCTGTTGGGCAGACCTTGAGTCAAGTTTTTTGTTTCTGACTTGCCACAATTTTATATGTGGCTTGAAAGACCACACAGAGCTTTTCTCTGGATGAGGTGTCTAGCTATTCTTAATTTTCTGGACCTGTGGATACAATAAAGCTCAAATATGGTTTTATCTTCTTCTCCTAATCCCATGTCCACTTTCGTAAAAGGGAGTTTTAGCATGAGATGGTTGCAAGAGGAACTGGGACCTGACTTCGCTCCTGCTAGCTACAACCTCAACACTTGTTAATGGGCAAAAGAGGATAATCTATGCCCATGTCTACATGGTCCTACGTGATTTCTTCAACACTTTATGGGCTGTGCAGAGCTGAGAGTATTCATTACTTCATTTCTTTTTATTTTCCTCTTTCTTTTCCCATTTTTTATATTTTCCCTGTTTTTGGTTGTCTTTTAACAAGCAATTTCCTGCACAATTCCTGCATATTTTTATTTTATGTGCCAGCAACCAATAGCTCTCATTTTTTAAGAAAATGTACTGCGATTGGTTTTTAACAAACAACAAAAACAACAACCGTAAAGTCCTCACCTCTTTACCTCCGTCACGACCAAATCCACTCTCTTTATATCCACCAAAGCCTGCTGCTGCATCAAACATATTGTGTCCATTAACCCATACTGTACCAGCTTTAAGGCTACAAGACAAAAAATATATATATTTAAAATAGGTGAACATTAGAAAGCATCAGTAGTAGACACACACAATATGATGTTATAGTACTAGGTATGTAGCTTTTTTTTGCATTTTATATATTGCTTCTACTTTTATAGTCTATACTATTGGACCTTATTGGGTATTTGTATGTTTTTTTCATCAACTTTAATGAACAATGAATTCGTCAGCAGAGTTTAATTTTAAGTGTAATCCTCCACCCTGAACTTATACAGACCCGACATGCTAAAGGTGAAAATTTCACAAACTTCTAAAAGAGTAGCTTTAATTTTGTTTTAAAGACTGTATTATCATAACAGTTGGCGAGAGTGGGTTGCAGTAAAAACCACCAGTGCGTTTTTTATTGTTTTTTGTTTTCTGTTTAAGAGGTGCCACAGGGGATAATATAACATAATAGAATGTAAGCTCATTGAGCAGGGCCCTCCACCTCTCCTGTTCCTGTACGTCGAGTTGTCTGTTTACAATTAAATGTCTGCTAGTCCCTTTGTACAGCGCTACTGAATCTGATGGCGCTATATAAATAATAAAATAATAATTTAAGTCAGAGTAAATCAAATAGACTCAGTAGATAAAATACTAAATATGAAAAGCTACAAACATAATCTTCTAATTACCTTAACTGTCCTCTATAACTCTTCTTCTAACCGATCCAATGCAAAGTTGTTCTGTGCCCCTAACCCCACCACAGCAACCTACACTTAGGTACTCTTACATAAATCCAAATACTAAACCGTATGCAGATACTATAATAATTGCACTTACTCAGGATGATCTATCTGTCCATTTTAAACTAGTGTATCTGTACTGGTTTGTTCCACATCAGAATTTAATTTAAATTGTAATCCTAATGCTAGAAGGGCCTAACCAAGAACCTAATCCTGCGTTCTTACGCAGACTTATTGACATAAACATACTATTATTTCCGGTCACAACAGGAATTGTGACCAACAGCAAATTACAATGTTTCCCTACATTCCATCCTTATAATTTCTAATATTTTTAAACTATCAACATATAAACTACCTGGCATGTCCTGATTGCTGGCATGCATTGAGCCATTAGACATATAGGTAGTTGGTTACCGCATGGACATTTATTTAGACATATAAATTAAATATTACACCAGAAGGATAAATCGGCAACTACAACATTGGGTTCATTCTCAGTAGTTACCTCAGAGCTACCTCCAGTGCTAAAGGTAAGTTCTCAGTCCAGAGACTTGCAGCCAATCCATATGGGGTATTATTTCCCAAAGCGATAGATTCTTTAGCTGTCCGAAAAGTCATTGCAACCAAAACTGGTCCAAAAATCTGAGTAGAAAACAAACACAGGATAGAATACTGCTAAATAATTATATAAAGATTTTCTTCTTTTACTGTAAATCAGAAATTGTAATCTTTCTGTTTCTATGGACTTCTTGCTGCAGATCAAAATAAAGTATCCTCTCTGTGTAAATACACAGTCTTGTCTCCTAAAAAAAATAATCTATCTGTAGGCCTATTGACAGTAGCGGTGCTATCTACTGACGAAAGTGTTTTATAGTAAGGGTAGGAAATGGTAGTGAGGGTAGGAAATGTAATCTTTGTATTTGCCATTGGTGTGTGATTGATGAAAACACTCTAAACATGATATAGCCTGCCTTATAGTTCTGACTCACTGCGCTACAGATGCTGACATACTGATTGGCATAGCTCAGATTCTTGTTACCTCCTCTCGGACACAGCCCGATGTAGTGTCAACACCAGTGATCAAGGTAGGTGGGTAGAACAAGCCTTTTTTAGGGATGGGGCCAGGTGCTTGAAAAACCTGTAAAGCAAAAATGAACAAGGCAATTTGTAAATGCATTTTAAAAGGACTTGATCCAATTTGTTACGGCCAAGCCATAACAGACTGCGGACAAGAAACAGCATCTTGTAGCAATTAAATATTTAACATCTAACTTCCATAGACACATTTAAGCTGGTCGGAGTGTGCAATTTGATAGTAAAGCCATTACAAATCCTGCAAGGCTTACCTGTGCTCCCTCTGCCCGTGCTTCTTTCACAAATTCAGTGATTGTTTTCTTCTGCGTTTCGTCCACTAGAGCACCAACATCTATGGCTTTATCCAAACTGTCACCCAACCTCAGATGTGAGAGTCTCTGCTTAAGCCTCTGAATCAAATCTTCGGCAATGGATTCTTGCATGAGAAGACGGGATCCAGCACTACAAACCTGCATGCAAAGCCAGATGTTATTTTGTTGTTTTATTTTGTCACTTAGTGTGAATTTCATGTTATGCATCAATATTTACGTATTCCAAAATATTATTAAAGCAAAACGAATATGAAAGCTTTAAGTAGGTGCAAAAGCTCAGAGAAACTCAACAGCTTGCCCTTTCGTTAGTCCCTGTTTGCATGTCGCACTGATCCCACCTATAATGGAAATCTAGATCCTACATACCGGCAAGTTTCCCCTGCACAACAGACACAGCAATGATCTTTCATCAGACTCTGTGATACAATATTAGATGGCAGAAGATCATATAAATTGTTTGACTAAACAGCTGGAGGACTGGAATTAGAGAGGGACCAAGATACTCACACCCGAGTCAGAGGTATACTTATAGAACACAAAAAAAAACGCAGACAGGTAAGCATTGATTGGTTGATTAATTGTTCACACTGTCCAATGAAGCCATTTTTAGCACCATGTTTAGTATTCAATTAACTTTACATCTTTTTAAGCACATGGCAAAGTGTAGCATTACTGAAACACTACATGAATACAACAATTTAAAATCTTGATTAAATTGTGCATCAATGGACATCTGCAATAAGGCATTAAAATACTGTGTGCTGGGAGTGTGGCCGACTAGTTAACCAGCCAGACGCGTAAATGTGGACCTCCATACCGAAGCAACACCAAACAAAGCCAAAGATGGTAACCTGACTCCACATCAGCGACCAAAAACACGCTCCCACACCAGAGACAGTAACGAGACGAAGGCATAAAAAAATGCCGCCTGCCAGATACATCAGGCTCTCGTTACAGCCCATAGTAAATGCTACTCACCTCCCCCCTTAGATACCTCCTGGAGAGGGGGCCAGATATAAAACACATCCAATTATGCAACCCCACGAGCACACATTGCATGGATACACCAAGAGTCACACAATGCTTGTTTAATATGTAGTTAGCATGTTTATCAATGTTTATTACTGTTTGCCCATCTTTATTTCACCATTAGATGGCTATATACCATGTTAACCTCCATACCGACAGTATCGCAGTGAATAACTGACACGCCGGTATGTTTATTTAATATACAGTGACTCAGATGTATTTTCTTTTTCTGAGCTGTAAAACTAATAAAATACAAATAAAATAAAAAATACTGTGTGCTACTATTTATATTAATATCCATGTTCTCACTTCAGATCAAATATTTACATGGGACTTATCCTCTTAAAGACACATGACGGAAATATTCCGTCATGATTCCCTTTTATTCCAGAAGTTGTGTCCTTAAGAGGTTAAACATCTTATTTTAGTGTGTAAATATTAACAGTCTTAACGGGGACATTTGTTACTGCCCAGTGACAGGGGTGTTTCTAAATATCTTAATGCAAACAGATTAAACTGAGCACTTTAATGGATTATTAATGTTTCAAACAACAGTTTCTCTGCTGGTAACTGGGAACTCAAGGTATGAGTTGATTTCCATGGCTCCACTCTGTCAGCTCAGTTTAGAATTAGTGGCCCCAGACTGACCGATGCCATTTGCAGAGCTCAAAGTGAGCGCTGTAAACTAGCATTTAAATAGAGACTTTAAATACCTGCTCACACCAGGGAGTCCCAGGTATCAATAGAACACTGTAGCTGAGAGATCAAGCTCAGGTTCAGTGATTCTCATTAATAATGTACTTGGGAGAGGAAAACCCTTAGGAGTAGGATGAAATTAAGGATTAAGATGTATTTTAGAATAACTATTAGGTTTATGTTTACAATTAGGCTTAGAATGAATAGTATTGGAATTATGTTTCATATTAGGGTCAGGATTAGTGTTCAGATTAGGATCAGGGTCAGCAAGGGAATCCCCCTGCGATTCTTTCCAACACTTGCTATGGGTAGGATTAAATAGTTAGGCATAGGATAAAGTTATGGATTAGGATTAGGATGCAGTTATGATTAGAGTTAACATTAAATTTGGGATTAGGATTTGGTTTAGAATTTGGGCTTGGTTTAGGATTAGGGATTGAGATTGGAACTGTTCCTTAGGAAAGGTATACATATGTGGTATGGATGTATTCATGAGATGTTGGAATACAGTGAAGAAAATTTTATTACAGTGGGACACAAAAGATTTAAATAAGCAGCAAAAATAAAAATGAATACCACAACCTTTATGCTGGGCCTTCTAGGACACCTGCTATTATATAAATATTTGTACCCTTCTGTAACGGATCCCCTATACTCCGACTGAGTATAGCCATTGGGATTTTCCCATTTCCCAAGCGAAGCAGTGAGAGCTCTTGGCTACCCAAACATCAGCTGAGACTTGATGAAGGGTACAACAGGATCTGTTTATTGAAGGCCAGATACACAGTATTTATGCACAAACCCCGGCCCTTTACTTCGCGCTGACCAATCAGGCGACAAGTCGCGAACTGGGTTTGCATGCAGCGACCAATCAGCAACCAGGGAGTGGAGGTGTTTCACCGGCCAATCAGGAGAAAGTGCACGAAACCAATTTGAATGGTAGCTTTTCTCCCATTGGTTGGCATGGTCTTCCAGGCAGCTGGTGGGGGCTCTGCGGCTGCGAAGCAGCCTGCTAGTTCCAGAGTGTCAGCTAGGGCTCTCTCCTCTTCCTAGTAGATGTCTCCACGTGGGTAGCACCAGGGAGAGCGCTCTATGGGATAGGAAAACAGGGAGCTGGGACTCTAGGGTGAACTGGTGGTGGGAATGAGTGGTATATAGTCTTGTAGGGGAACATGAGATGTTACCTGGGTGACACCGTCTATTACACGGCTACATGGGGGACACAGTTTGTTACACCTTGCAATTATATTGGTTTATATTATTTTTTTTCTTTATATATTTTCTTCTACATAGGACATAATTTAATCTACTATTGACAAACACCTATTTGTGGCCATGACTCACTAGTTACTGACATTCTTTTAAACCGACATAATAAAAAGTGAATTTTTAGACATTTAAACAGTACCCTATTGTCATCTCATTGGTCAGGGATTGTTTTCTATTTAAATTACTCAATACATGCCTACTGTTTCCAAAAGTGAACACCATGGGGACTCTCAAAAGCATTTTTATTTATTTTTTTAATTCTTTATTTGTGATGTGGCAGCATAACAATGAAGTCGCCAATTTTAAAGTGGCCACAGTTTTAGTTAGTATAGATTGACTTAACTTCCATCAGTAATAGAAAATGTTTTAGAACATGACACAGAAGGTATTTGTGCAGCTGTAGACATGGCAATAAAGCATTAGACCATGAGGCATCCGTACATTTCATTCATCCTTCCACGTGTCCCCACGTGCATTCTCTTTCACACTATTGCCCTCAGTCACACTTTGCTATATACAGTCACCAACCTGCCAGCCCATCTCTGCTACTTAAGTGATCCATATGGGTACCCTGTTTTGTCCGTAAGTCTGTGAGTCATTATATAGAAGGAGATGATTTATTGCATGTCTCTATGGCAAGTCTCTGATCTGCTCACCTGGAGCATGCTATGGTCACATTTCCCCATATGTTTAATCACTCGCACTTTCCATTCATTCCTCGTGACTCAGGATAGGGCCCTGTGATAAAGCTACTGGGCGCGAAGTGCCCGTCTTTGAGTGGCCAAATGTAAAATAGTAAATCGGCTTGCTTCTGGATATAATTTGAGAAAGGAAAAGAAAAGGAGCAACAACATGAGAAATAAAGATAAAACATTGTAAAAGTTGTACGTCTATAATGGGCTTTTATCTCGCAAAGGCCTCAACTAGTCCCTGTTGGTAAATGAGTGACCAGCACTCCCGTGCACGAACATTCTCCACCCCAGCGATACTCCCCTGCTCCTGGTTATCGCCAGCAGTGTTCGGGATCTTGCTACTCCTCTGTACCAGAGATAAGAGCTATGTTAGCTGAAGGTCTTGCGGGAATTTCTTGGGGTCCTCGTCTGTTGACAGCAAAAGGACTTTGTCCCCGTGTGGTACCATCAGAGTGCCTGACGCCCCTCATCGATATCTGATGCCCCGGTCCAGTAGCGGTCGAGTAATTGGCATGAACCTTCTCCGTTCCATCAGGGTCGTGAATGGCAAGTCGTCAACAACTTTGATGTGGTAATTATCCACGTTTGTGGTAGGGGTCTTTCTCGAATGGGCCACGATTGCCGCTTTAACCGAAACATCCCGGGTGACGGCAATAATGTCCCTGGGGGCATCTGCAGTGGCGGCCGTGGCTTTCCGAATTTTGAATGCAGCTGTAATTGCCCATGCTTCACCTTCTTTCTTCACCCCCATCGTCATCACTACTTTGTTAGTGAACTCCAGCAGGGCCTCTGGGCCCACTTCTTCATTGGCTCCGCGGATGCGCACATTTCTCTTACAGTGACATGCTTCCATCGTTGTTACAGTGTGGGTGAGTCATATGAGTTGTTCGGATAGTGATGCCACCTGGGATCGAGTTTCAGTAAGCAAAGAGTCTCTTTCCCCTTCCCAGGTCTCTACTATGTTGAGGCGCGTTGTAATACCGGTCATCTCAGAACACACGCTAGCATGATCAGACTTCCCACAAATCAAGCAATAGCTTTTTAATATCGCCCTTAGTGTAGGGTGAGTCGTCGGAGTCTGATTCTTCTGACCAGCACACTGCGGTGATGGTTTGTATGGTCGAAGGGCCCTCTTCCTCTAGAGATGCTTCTTATTCACTAGAACTCTGGGGCCTACCAGGTGCCATTTTAGGCTGTGATGGCTGTTGTGGCCTTTCAAAGGATTGCCTGATATCAGGCAGGTAGGAGCCCTCCGGGTGGTTTAATCTTTTATTTTTTTGCCCCATCTCTCTGTCAGGGGTATAAGCGTTGGTATTAACCTGGTTTATAGGCCTTAGTGCTGCAATATCATCACAAATTGGTGTATTAATTAGTGTGCTGAGCCAGAGCTCCTCACCAACACGTCTTGTTAGCTGATCTGCTGGCCACTCTCCCTCACAAGAAATATTAAAAGCTTTATTGAAGTGCAATTCTTTTAAACAGTTTGTGATATTAAGTTTTATTTTTCTATTTTTACTTGCACGTATCTTTGCTGCTTATTTTTTTTTTTTTTTTAAATCTCATGAGTCCCACTGTAAAAATAGTATCTCAGCATCTCCTGAGTACAATAATACCCCATATATAACTTTGCAAAATAACAATCTTAATCCTATTCCTATTTTAATGTAAACAAAATTATAATCCCAAATCTCTAACCCCAAATCATACCCTGATTCAATGTCTAACCTTTATCCTAATCTTAAACCAAACCCTAGCAATAGTATTAGAAGGAACCCCTCTGCTGATGTCAGCAAAGAAATTCCCTTGCTGGCCCGAATCCTCATCTGAACCCCAATCCAGTAATGAATTCCCAACCTAATCATATAAAAATAATACTTATACTAAACAATCTTAATCCATAACCTGAATCTAATCCCCAAATTGTTTTCCAATACCAATATCAGTACTGATTTTAGTAAAGTGAATTCTAAGCTAAAACACAGTGGTATATTGCTGCCATCTACTGGATATTTTCAGTATAACAGGCAGATAGATACTTGTTAAACTGAAAATAGTATTGTGATCGGTAATGGGCAACTAGCAAAGCACATAATCGATTAAAATTCCATTGGGGCATGGAGGTCTCACCAACTGCACAGAGAGAATTGTTGTGGCTGAGTCTTTCTCAATTAATTATAAGGGCTGTATGCACTTTTAGCACTGCATAAAGCTCATCAATCAGCCTAGGGCCACTAAAAACTGCATTTCAAAACAACATTTAGTTGCCAATTTACAATGCTTACTGAGCACAGCAAACAGTGGAGCAGTCAGTCTGGGGCCACTAATTCTGGCCATAGTTATCCGATGGGAGCCCCAGGTATTGTTTCCAGTTACCAGCTGGGAATAAGTCCCTGCTGGTAAAATACCACATGATGGAATTATGTTGTCATGGGTCCTTAAGGAAAGCACGTCCAGGACAGAATAATTCCATCATGCATCGTTAAGGGGTAAGCATCAATTTGTTTTGGTGCTTAGAATGTCTCTTTAAAGAGTGCTACTGTTTGTTTGTTTTTAAACCATAATTTAATTTCATCTACCTGTCCTTGATTGAACCAGATGGCATCTACCAGTCCTTCTACAGCACCGTCTAGATCTGCTGTGTCAAACACAATGAAGGGTGACTTCCCACCAAGCTCTAGTGACAACTTCTTACCGGTCCCAGCTGTAGCTTTACGCAGAGTACGACCCACCTATAGAATAGAAACGAAAAGAGAACATTGAACATTAGAAGATGAAAACAATTTGGGAGAAAAGCACACAACTGTATTTAACCGCTTAAGGACCAAACTTCTGGAATAAAAGGGAATCATGACATGTCACACAAGGGGTTAAAGGCAACACTGTTCAAATGAGCCTTTTCCATAGGTCTATTTCATATTTATACCAACACACTCAACTGTCCTTGAGATTGCCTCCATGAGAGCAAATATTTGTGTATTTAATTAAACGTAGATCAATAGACAAACATGAAAATGGAGGTACACATAAAAATGCCTAATGTGTTAGTGTGAAATATCACTGTAGTACCTCAGATTGGGAATTTAAACATGTTTCAGTTCAGTTATGAGTGAAAGGATTCCAAAGTATATGTGATCTAAATAATAAAAGTTGGATAAAATCTGATCTATGGCAAGGGTGCCATGCTATGTATAAAGTAGAACTGGAAACAGTAAAACATAATTAGGCTTATTTAATATTTATTCAACGTGCTGTGCTTGTCGCGACACTACTATTTATCCTACCCACTGCGTGGAAAAAGTCTAAATAAAAAAATTGTGATTTGTCAGCTAACATGCTGAATAAAACTAACATAGCTAATGTAGTAAAACATCCACATCGGCAACCATGTTTAGTAGAGCCAGACTGCTGGTGCCTCAGGGACACCTGATGTTGGCTAAACAGTTTGAGCAAGAAGTGCTGTACAATGGCACAACCTAGTTACACTGTAACCACAACTACAACAAGTAGTGATTATGGCGGCTCCTTTAGACTGCTCCTTTAAAACGTGAAATTACCTTATCAGTTATTCAAGGTTTTTGGTTTAGTGAATTATTAGTTGTATTGACAACAGTTGCCATTAGGGACAGATACAAAAGAGCTAACTTATGTAAAAACTCCCTATACGTCACTAACACCATAGCAACAAAATATCTCAAACACCCAAAAATGTTAATCTCAAACAATCCAATATGTATATATAACAGATACACAATCTGTGTGGTTTTTTTTTACCTCCGTGGAACCAGTGAATGCTACTTTGTCAACATTGGGATGGACGGCAAGCTTTTCACCGAATGCCCCGTTGCCAGTGACTACATTGAAAACCCCTGGAGGTAGCCCGGCCTCGGCACAGATCTCTGCCAGAAGAAGTGCTGTCAGCCGTGTGTAAGTGGCTGGCTTTAATACAACAGTGTTACCTGAAGACAAAAAAAGTGAGGTTTGCTTTGAACTCCATGCTTTAATCACGTTGATTTTTATACGGTCAGTAATTAAGCTTGGTTAAATGGTAAGCCTGTAACAAGTTACAATTCAGGGACCCTTTTAGTAAAGGGGCTCTCTCAACTAACTGAGCCTAACTACCAAATGGGAGTCATTCCAACAGTTTTCCTAGGGTTATAGAAACTCTGCATTACGCTCATCTCAACTTCTGCCACTGAGCATGTATTCTTTTAATTTTCTATAATTCACGACCAACTTCATAACATTTTACACTCACTGCAATTAGGCTATTACCCTAATTTGCGTATCACCTGTGCATTAGTTACCTCAACAGTTTAATAATATGAAAAGATGTAGTAATCATATGACAGGCATTTTATAGTTATATAGTGTTCAGGACTGCAGTATCACCTTTTCGACTTTATTTTTCTTTTGTGTACTTACTTTTTAGCATTCTAAAGGGGCATTTGTACACAAACCCTTTATTTTATGTAACCCACTCCCTGTTGTCATTATGTGTGTGATTATCTGTGACCTGTTCTCTAAACAAGCGTTGGATTGAGGAAGTCCGGGAAACACACGGACGAAACGCGTAGGGTTGAGCTGTAGCAGAGAGTTTATTTTATTTTATTGTTTCTTTATTATTTTGTTTGGTTTAGAATACATTTTTGGAATTTAAACCAGGAATCCAGCCAGGGACAACATTTTTTTCTGAGATTTGATGTGCCTTGATCACACTGCAATTTTGTAAGTGTAACCCATTAACCCCTTAAGGACACATGACATGTGTGACATGTCATGATTCCCTTTTATTCCAGAAGTTTGGTCCTTAAGAGGTTAAAGTATGAAGTCCTTTATATTCGGTCAACACTTATTATATTTTTTCCCACTCTCTCCTACATGCACTTTATGGTGCCTGAGGATATTCAGTCATCTTATATCATGTGATGCACCTACAATCAATCATATGCTTGTGAGTGCAATTTAAAGCGCACTGTTTAAAGGTGTATTAACTACACTACTCAATGAGATTTTATTTCCTTCCATTGTAGATGTTTTCTGTGTTTATAAACTGCATTTAAAAAACATGATATATAAAAAATATATATGCCATTAATAATAAAATGAATGTGCAAAATGAGTATGAAAAAATATTAGTTTTTTTTTACATAAAAAATGGTTAAGAATCACATGAAAGTCATAAAATTGACATCAACATTTAAACCGGGATCTCCCAATAAGAACAGGGGAAAAGAACAAGATAAAAAGCAGCAACCCAAAAAAGGGAATCCCTCAAGACCCTTAACCCCTTCAGGACAGAGTCAATAGTACACGTTCTGATCAAAACAAAACGTAACCAAAAACTGGAATTTGCGCTATATGTCTGTTCAACCGTAATTCACCTCTTTCATATTATATGCACCCACACTTATTATATATCATTTTGTTCAGGAGAAACAGGGCTTTCATTTCATATCAAATATTTATGTATGAAACATAATTTATTATGAAAAAATAAAAAAAAACTGTGAGAAATTTTACATTTTTAAAAAAATGTGTAGTTCCGCCTCACATTTTGACTGTAAATGTCATAATACTGTTGGTTTTTACTGCAAAAAAAAAAAAGCACATATTTGGATTTAGCAAAGTCTCACGAGTACAACAGTACCCCCCATTAACAGTTTTTACAGTGTTTTGAAAAGTTAAAGGGTCAAATATAGCACATTCTATTTTTTAGTTTTTTCACATTGAAATTTGCCAGATTAGTAATGTTACCTTTGAGACCGTGTGGTAGCCCAGGAATGAGATTTACCCCCATGATGGCATACCATTTTCAAAAGTAGACTACCCAAGGTATTGCAAGTGGGGTATGTCCAGTCTTTTGTAGTAGCCACTTAGTCACAAACACTGGCCAAAGTTAGCATTCATATTTGTTATTGTGTGAAAAAAGCAAAAAACTAATATTTGGCCAGTGTTTGTAACTAAGTGGCTACTAAAAATGACTGGACATACCCCGTTTCCCATTGGGTTGTCTACTTTTGCAAATGGTATGTCATCATGGGGGTAATTCTTATTCCTGGGCTACCATACGGTCTCAAAAGGCAACATAACCAATCTGGCAAAATTTTATGTGAAAAAAATGAAATGCAAGCCTTATATTTGACTCTTGTACTTGGGGGGTACTGTTTTACTCAGGAGACTTTGCTGAACAGATATTAGTGTTTCAAAATGGTAACTTGTATTACAACAATAATATCGTCAGTAAAAGTGCCGTTCATGTGTAAAAAATGCAAAAAACTTAACTTTTACAAAAAATATCAACAAAAGTGAAGTTTTTCCCCCGCTGGCCTCATTTGCCGGGGGAGGGCTGCCTGGGCTGTCAGGCAGCCCTCCAGAAGAGGCTCGCGGCGGAGGTAAGTAGTTGGTGGCTCCTGGGGATGAAAGCCGTTACAGTGTTCTATGCCGCCGCAGCGGCTTTAAAGCCCATTTAATGCGGGACGGCATAGAACACCGTACCGGCATTAAGGGGTTAATGAAACAAGCTAAAAGATGTGAAGGGGGTAAGGGCTGCGCTAAGGGCTAATAGCAGTAGTCTATAACAATGGAAACCAGACCAAATGGATAAACAACAACAAGTAGGCATATGTAGATAATAAAAAAACGATAGAGAGTAAAAAGTCTCACTTAAGACAACAGAATAAAATAGGGGTTGATCCATCTGGATAATAAAATATAAAATGTAAAAGTCAATAAAAAGTCATGTAAAAGTCTCATTGATATATCTGGATAGGGTAGGGGTACAATCCTCAGGAGTTGATCCGTCCGGATGGTTAAAATATCCGTATATGTGGAGAGACAAAGGGAAAACACGGCAAACAGCCGATAGTGTGATATAGTTAAGATCCAATAGTAAAATAAATAAAAGGAAGATAATACACTCACATTTGTGAGAGCTCTAACCAGCTCCGGGGTGAATATAGTGGTATAATCCCCGCTAGAGGATATAGTGGAGAGGTGCGTCCGTCAACCTGGTCTGGCTATTCAGTGCTCCAGGATATATATATAAAAAAAAAACAGCAATAGTGCTTTCAATATATAAGGGATGAGTAATAAAATATATATAAAATATACTCACAAGTATAGAGCAGAAGGTACTGCTCTATTGACACAGCGTTGGTGGAATGATCCCCACCTAGGATTGCTTGAGTTCAGGATACAATAAAATGTCTTAAGTTTATATATCCATTGGGTTTCACGTTGACACACCTTTTTCACTATATCTCCCTTTCTACTTTCATGTTGAACTATGTCAATCCCAAAACATAAAAATTGCTTAAAGAGAAGATCAAAGAGAGCACAGTTTCTACAGTGTCTAGGTACACTGTGTTTTACATTTTTTTCCGTAATGGCCCGTTGATGTTCCAAGATGCGTTTCCTAAGGGTTCTGATTGTACGTCCCACATATTGCGCCCCACTGGGACATAAAAAACCCCCACATTTTTAGTGGAACAATTTATAAAGTGCTTAATTTTGTAGGTCTGTTTGGTTGCAAAAGCTTCTAAATTCCTTAATTGAACTGGGAAGATGTTTACATATCTTGCAGTGCCCACATTTGAAAGCCATTGGGTTTAGGAAAGAAAGTAGAGTTTTGTTTATCAACGGATGGTAGAAGGCTGGGTGCTAAATGAGATTTCAAATTCCTGGCTTTATTTTAAATGACTTTAGGTCTAGGAGGTAAGATTCCCTTTAAAACATCATCATGCAATAAAACTGGCTAACATTTATTAAGTGCTTTTTCTATTAATTTGGATTTGCTATTAAATTGTGTGTTAAAAGACAAACTAAAATCTATTTTATCTCTATTTGGTCTGTTAACCCAGGCTTCACGTTTTTTCCTACACAGTCGTACAAGGTCTCTAGTATTATTCAAGCCTTTTGGGGTAATGCCGGTCGGAGAATCTTCTTTCCAAAAATTCAGTTTGGGATTCAAAGTCCTCGCCCCTGGCACAGTTGCGACTTATGAGCATGAACTGACCTTTAGGTATATTTGTTAACCACTGATGAAGTGGCAACTTTTAAAATCAATAAAACTATTCTTATCAGTAGGTTTAAAAAAGGTCCTATAGCAAATTTTGTATTGTTCAATAAAAATAAAAATTAATGTGCAAAAAAATTAATGTTATTGATTTGGATATCCGGGTTAAATTTCAGACCCTGATCATTATTTATATACATTAAAAATTTAGACAATTCAGACTGCACCATCCCAAATAATAATGACGTCATCTATAAAACGTTTCTAGAGCACCAGGTTTGACGTCCAGCTATGCTCGGCCCACATCGTATCATTCTCCCATGTGTCCATAAAGAGATTGGCATAGCTGGGCGCAAACCTGGTGCCCATGGCGTTACCACAAATCTGAAGGTAAAACCTATTCTCAAATAAAAAATAATTGTTAGTAAGAATAAAATTGATGCAATCCAATATAAAGTTGTTCTGTTTTTCATCCATACTTTGATCATGTTCTAATACCTTCCTAATGGCCAGCAGACCTTTTTGGTGGTCAATGGCAGTGTATAAAGACGACACATCGGCCGTAGCCCATATGTAACTGTTCTTCCATTGTATGTCCTTAAAATGATGCTGAGGATGTCATGTGTCTTTAATAAAAGATTTTAATCAACATATTGCAATACCAATACCAACGCCACTTGCAATAGGTCTGCCTGGTGGTTTTATTAGGGATTTATGGACCTTGGCCAGTCTAGGATGAGGATTAAATACATATTTGAATTCATTTTGACTTAGGATATCCTGATCCTTCCCATCATTTAATAAATGAAGAAGTTTAGTGGTATATTCTACAGTGGGATCATTGGGTAACAAGCAATACGTGGAGTTGTCTCCAAGGAGTCTCATGGCCTCTGTTATGTAGTTTCCATGATCCAATATAACCACTGCACCGGCTTTATCGGCCTCCTTGAAGACAACATCACGTCTATCGCATAATCTTTTAAAAGCTGATCGTTCCCTATTGTTCAAGTTGTTATTGGGACATATCTTTGATTCAAAAGCCTCAAATTCTTTAAGAAGCATATTGCTGAAGACCTGTAGATATTCTCCTCTATCGTGAACTGGGTAGAACTTGGATTTAGGTTTAAAATTGGTGTGAAAAAATGGATCCCTATCAAGTCCAATGCCATGACAGGAATAGGTATTTTTAAAAGGTATCTTTTCATAGTTAATTTCCGCAAGTATTTTTGAGCATCCATGAATAAATTAAAACCATCCGGGTTAGTGCTGTGTGCAAATTTTAATCCTTTGGCTAAAATATTCAATTCCTGTGTGTCAAAATGGGCCTGGGATAAATTTATAATATCTCCCTGCATGGTCTCACAGATCTTTGTTGTTCTTGGGATCTGGCATCTCTCCCTCCTCATCCACCTCTGGTTGATCCATTCCTCTTCTCCTTTTGAGTGGGGACTAGAGTGCCAGAAAGCGGTTGGAGTGACGGAGAGACTCCTTGATCTGATTTGGTCTGGGGGGCGTGGAGCGATGATTGGTGTTCCTCTGGTCTAAAAAAATCCCTATTGCGTTGTTGGGGGATATCCATCCCTCTCACGAATAGGGGAAGGGGATCGATAATTTCTACTCCTTACATTTGTATAATTCCTGTTATATTTATTTCTCTTGGACTGAAAGCCTGGTGTAAATGAAGTTTTGGGTTTTATTCCTATTGGAATAATGGAATGGTCTATTGGTGTGGCCTGCTCTTTGTGAAATATGTCTTTTGGCTTGATTGTTATATCCCTGGTATCCAACATATTGTTTAACAGGTTTAATTAGAAAAATGCCTTTCAATTCTTGTTCTCTCTTTAATTTGTAATCATCCTTATCCCTAATTTAGAATTTTTATTTTCTATTAATGTATCTTCCAATTCTTTGATATTTTGTTTAATTTCACCATTCTTAATGTCTATCTCATCAGTAGTGAAGTGTGAATGAATGCTGAATGAAGCAGCCATTCACTTTGCGCATGTGTGACTACTTAGATGCCGCTGTACATGCGAGCAGCCATTTTTTGGGTGTCCATTAGTGGAGCTGATACCGGCAAACGATATTTATGTTGATTAAATGTTAATTGTTCATTTTTATGCGCATTTTATTATTGTGTTCTTCCCCCACACGATGGCCAGTCCGGATAATGAATACAATGGTTAGTCACTGGATTACATATCCAGAAGACATAACCTAATGGCTACCAAATTGGTCTCCATATACGATCTCATTGGCCATGTTTTTGGTCGGAATTTGTTTTTACACACACCTGATATGGTTCAACCCACTTGGGGAACCCAAGTGCACACAAATTGGTGGGGTTTATAAGTCTGAATGGTGTGGTCTACATCTAAGCTCTTCCTTGAAAACGTCCTGAGGACGAAACCGGTCGGATGCATACGGAGCCTCCATAACACTCTCTTCACTCTATTTGGGACATCCGTGTCCAGAACTCACTCATTTATTACCCCTAGGGACCTTGGTGCATTCAGGAGCTGATTCAGAACATCTTGGAGTCCCTTTGTGGCAGGTCTTTTAACCTATTGATGTGCCTTTCTGGCCACTGTTAGTAGAGGACCACTTGTGATGATTAAATGCTGGAATATCATTTCCTAACTGGAGTACTACCAGTATATTTCGGTAGACTGATAACCAGTGTATGTATATTATCTCATTGGTGATCCTCACACATGTAATTGCAGCACACCACACCACACCTTTTGCCTTTTGTGTTTATTACCTTTTTTTGGAGTTAACTAGTGTGTTGATAACAACTAGGAGACTTACTATACTTTGTGTGCTTTTACATATTAATAAAGAGATGTGTAGACTTAACACACCACAAGGTGGTAGTGTTTAAAATAAAATTGGATTAAACATGTAGCTTGTGTTCATACCAACATGAGCAAGAGTTCCATGGGGGAAGGAGATGGAGAGAAATCTCTATCATATTAAAGAACTTTTAAAATTACAATTAAACAGTCAAACCAAACAATAAAAAAAAGTTTTTAAAAATGTAAAAAATAAAATTAGAATTTTTTTTTTAATGGAATAACCCTGACATGATTTTCCCTATTAAAAAAAAAAAATTAGAGAAGTAAAGATATAAACTTATTTGCATGGGTGTGATCGGCCGAGCACCTAACCAGACATCTCTGGAGTTCTGCTGAGACTACGCAATACAGCAGAAAAACGTAACCAGCGGATAGAAAACTTACCGTACCCCTAAATGACACAATGGGGCACAAATACAGAAAGCAAAAATGCCCGGAAGGTCCCCAGATATCAGGCTCTCTTTCAAGAGGCCCGCGCCACGACTAGCACCCAAGATAGCATCCAAGGCCCAGAGCGAGTCGGAAACCTCGGAGGAATCCCAGAAGGATCTCTAACCACCAAGGGAGACATTAAGAGGCTCCTGAGAGAGGTCTGGAAAGGGGTGATTAATCAGAAAGTTAAAGCAGTGGAGGTGAGGGAGGCTTCCAGGGATGGCCAACTGCAGGAAGCAAAGTACCAGATAAAAGGGCTCACACAGTAAATCCAACAACTGAACCATGCAGTAGCCTAACTGGACTACCGACCCAGACACCGGAACGTCTGCCTCCGAGGAATTCCAGAGGAGTTAGGAGGAGAAGAGCTAATGCAATTTGCACAGAGGCTGATCTCCTCAGTGGGCATCAATCTGGCTCCTAACTTGTTTTGATGGCTCCTAGATTCCAAGCAAGTTTGTAAAGCCCTGTATCCAAAGAAATTAAAATCAAGCCCTAAGTTATAAAAATGCAGAGTCCTATTGAAATCTGAACTTTTATAAATTGAAAAGGAAAACAAGACACACACTAAACACATAAAGCATGTATATTATGTGTTTGCCATTATTAGGCATATTTACTATGGAGTGTTAAGATTGAAGCATGATCAAATAAGAATTACAGGTGAATACCAAGAAGTCCGTTCATTAACAGTGACAGTTTTTGGTTCAACACCTATATATGTTTTCTTCTAAATACATATTCTTTCTTTATAGAAACATTTCTGATTAGACAATAATTATATAAAATAAAAAAACAAACACTCTTCTAGGATGTTTCATATATAATAAATCTGTCAAGTAAAAAAACAAACAAACAAAAAAACATTTTGTGAGCAACTAATAGGAAACAATAACATTCAGTATATAAACAGCTAAAAAAAACTAGAAGTAATTTATTACCCATTGCAAGAGCTGGACATATTTTCCAAGTAAGTAACATGAGAGGAAAATTCCACGGAACAATCGCAGCAACAACACCTAGTGCAGGAAACAAACACGTATTTTAATTTTATTTAATGCAGGAGTTTACAGAACTACAAACATCCAAATTAAGGTCATGTTATGTTTTAATCTATAAGACAGGCATCTTTAGTTGTAGAAACCTAAAAGTGCCTTTTTACACTAAGAACTAGGAAAGGTCATGAAAAAACCTGGATGCCAGCTCACCAAAAAATATTGTGAGCATCTAATTGTCACAGTATTTGGATGAAAAAACTGAGTGGGCAGTCAGACCCAGTAAGGATTGGTGCATGATACAAGTGTATATCTGCACTCTAGGGGTATCAAGTGTAGTGTGATATGACTTCCATGTAAGTGAGAGTTGCGATATGGCACATGCACGTGATAGAGGGAAATGAGAAGCGACTAGTACAGGTTGCGTATCATATGGCACAGATTTTGGTTTTATTGACAGGCTCCAAGAACCAGATAGAAGTTGCCATTACCTCTATGACTCACTTACCCTGGAACCTTTAAAATATTGTGGAGTTGGGCATAGACATCAAAAATAAACATATAAGAATTACCTAAAAATGTTAGATTACATTTCAGCCCACTGCAATTACTTTCAACCCTTAAAGACTCACCAAGAGGCTTCCAACCATTCATTTCTGTGTCTCTGAGCTGTGCCCACCCAGCGTGATGATAAAAATGGCGAACAACAAGTGGCACATCACAGTCACGGGATTCTCTTATAGGCTTCCCATTGTCCATGCTCTCCACCACGCTAAGCAAACGCTGGTGTTTCTGTACAGTGCGGGCAATGCTGAGGAATAAATCGTAAATCAATGTCATCTTTAGATTTCATCTATTATGTGAATAACAATCCCGCCATAAACATTGAGAAAAATATTTGAATGTCAGTGGAAAAGCTTTACAAACGTATTACTACTAATAATAAAAAAATAAATAGATAAAAATAGAAAAAATAAAAACACCTCATTTACTTTTTCTTGAAAATGATAGCCAATTGTCCAAAAAAAAAAAAAAATACAAATAAATAAAATTTAAGAAACTAAATTGCTTATGTCCCCTGTTGCAGCACATCTAACATTGATGTCACAGGCTTATGCCACCTTAATTATATATTATAATATATAGATGTTTGTTGACTGGTTTTACAATGATTACCCTAAGTAATTGTAGTTTACAAACATCTTTACAGTTGAGCTTAGCAATCATTATGCTATAGAAATCAGGGGTAGACTGTGACATGCCATAGATTAGCTGTTTCCTTCTTGAGTATTTCTTTAAAAAATATTGATTGAGCGAGAATGAAAAGTAATATCTCAGAAATCTGAGTAACTACAACAAGCACCTGTTTCGTACTGGACCATTAGCAGGCAATCAAACAGAGGTACAGAGTTGCTCGATTCCTATGTGCCTAGGTTTTTGTACTACTACACACCACTACTACACACCAAAAAACAGTTTGTAGTCCTGGGTTACTCGGTATAACACACTGGCATAGTGATCATGCTAATTAATTTGTTTTACTGTTCCGATCCTTTTTTTTTTTATTTTGCGGATCCCTTTATACAGTTACAAATTTTACAGTTTCAAAATTAGGGTACGTGAATAAAAATCAGTTGGAATGCTATGTTTTACTGCAGGTACGGTCAAGAGGTAAACCACAAACTATTGTAGAACTACAACTCTCATGATGCTTTGTCACCTTTGTTGAAGAGATATTTTAAATTTGCAGCTCAATTTAGAAGTGTCTACTAGTGCACTTAATGCTTGACAGTTTATATTATTGCAAAGAATAGGGATAAGCAATAACTGCAACTCACATACAGATATAAGGAAAGAGTATCCTTTCCAATTGGGCTTACATTTAAAAAGACAATATCTAGTGCCATCAACAATTATCTTTTAAAGTATAGGACTCAACCTTGTAATGCAACAATAGCCGACGAGCTACAGTTTGACACCTGCTAGTTTATATTTGGTGATTGCCAGATAATGAATGTCACGGATTGCTTCTGGGAGAAATATCAGACCTGTAAAGGTAACGAGCACGAACGTGGCAGGGCAGCTTGCTCCAAGTCTCAAAAGCTTTTCGCGCAGCACTGACAGCAACCTCCACGTCTTCCTCATTTCCTTGAACGGTACTGGCCAGAGACTCTCCTAATGAACCGAAAAGAACACAGATCAATAATAGCAAGGCACATTAAGGCGGTTTCTTTGTCTGAGAACTACAGAAACTCCCTGAACTGATGGCACTTTAACTTATCCCTCCGGGAAAACCACTAAGTTGGCACTAATACTGCGACTGGGCTTCTAATTAACCTTTGATCAAGTAGAGTTATTGCCCTGTTAAAGGTTTCTAAATAAATGGCACATTAACTACAATGTCAAAACGGCAACAATAAAAACAGGTAAAGTAAAGGGAATCTTTTGAAGCTACATGTCAATAAATGAATGAAGGTTTCTAATGACATGTAGACGGTGTTCAAATGGATAAATTCATTGCTTTCAGGCTCATGTTGGTCAGCCAATATCTTCATGGGATTTATTCACTAAGTAGTAAGTCGAGGGAAGTTGACAAACATTTTCAACTTTCCTTTTTTTTCATAGCAGTGAATTTCCCATTTTTATTTTAAGTTTGGCCTAAAATTTGTCCGTTCACAACGTAGCAAATAACCGTGCATAAATACTGAAAAATGTAAATGCCATTTACTTTTCCATTATCGCTTTGACTGCCTCTGCCGTTGTCTACAATAAAAATTAACTAACAGGAAACATAAACCATGTATGTGTATGTAAACAGAGGCATTTTACTTTTAAAGGAATCCTCTCTTCCCTATGTGCATATTTATGTTTTAACATAATTAAAGGGATTCTCCAGTGCCAGGAAAACATATTAGTTTTCCTGGCACTGCAGGACCCTGTAGTGCTCCCTTCCCTCCCACCCTCCATCCCAAGTGTTAAAGGGTTAAAACCCCTTCAGTGACTTATCGGAGTCCAGCGCCGATGTCCCTCGGTGCTGGGTCAGGCTCTGCCTACTCTCCTCCCCCGCCAATGTCAGCCAGCGGGGGAGACCTAATGTGCATGTGCGGCAATGGCCCAAGCATTATTCAATGTTTTCCAATGGGGATTTCGGCGACGCTGGAGGTCCTCACATAGTGTGTGGACGTCCAGCATCGTATAACACACTTTTCGTGTTCTAAGAACACGGAAGTACCTCTAGTGGCTGTTTTATAGACAGGCACTAGAGGAAGCCTTAACCCTGCAAGGTAATTATTGCAGTTTATGAAAACTGCAATAAATACACTTGCAGAGTTAAAGGTAGTGGGAGTTGGCACCCAGACCACTCCAATGGGCAGAAGTGGTCTGGGTGCCTGGAGTATCCCTTTAAGTAATTTTATGAATTACAATTTGAGGGGCCTGGCTGACAACCCATGCAGAAAGTCCAGATAATTTGAAAGCCGTATATTTAAAGGGACACTATAGTCACAAGAACAACAGCTTAGTATTTTTGTTCTGGTGTAGAATCATTCCCTTCAGGCATTTTGCTGTAAACACTGTCTTTCCAGAGAAAATGCAGTGTTTACATTACAGCCTAGTGACACCTCCACTGGCCACTCCTCAGATGGCTGCTAAAGCTGCTTCCTTGGGCAGTGCTGCAGAGTAAGCAGCATTGCCATTCAGTGTCTCCAACCTCTGCATGCAGACACTGAACTTTCCTCATAGATATGAATTGATTCAATTAATCTCTATGAGAATATGTTGATTGGCCAGGGCTGTGTTTGACTTGTGCTGGCTCTGCCACTGATCTGCCTCCTTAACAGTCTCGACCAATCCTATGGGGAAGAATTGTGATTGGCTCATGCCCACCACTTTGGATGATGTCACCAGACAGAGGCAGACAGGGGCAGAGGAAGCAGCTTCAGAATACAAGTAAGGTTTTACTATATTTAGGGAGGCAAGGGGAGGTTAGACAATGGTTTTAACACTATAGGGTCAGGAATACATGTTTGCGTACCTGACCCTATAGTGCTCCTTTAACCCCAAGGATTCCAAAATACTGTAAAACGTGTACAAGGGGGGTACTGTTGTGTTTAGACTATGCTGAACACAAAAAGCAGTAAATGTATCACAACAATAGTATCATGAATGAAAGTGTAATTTGTGTATGGAAAAAAATGCAAAAAACAAATATAAACGCTAATTTTGGCCTGGGTTTGTGGCTACAAAAAAAGACTGGACATACCACATTTGCAAATAGTATGCCATGATGCAGGTAATTCTCATTCTTGGGCTGCCATACGGTCTCAAAGGCAACATAACCAATCTGGCAAATTCTGACAAAAAAACACGCTCTTCGCACATAAAGCATTGTGCCTTTTTGGTTTGGAGTGTCCCATGATGAATAACCCTGTTAATATTCTGGTTCCTTCCCACCCATGCACACTGGCTGAATATGGATTTAACAAAAATAAATAAATAAAAGTCCATGCGTTTGGTGACTCTCATTTGCTATAACCTCCTCCCTTTCTTTTTTTCCCTTTCTGTACCTCCTTCCCCTTTACTGTAAAACCCAATAAAATTTACATATGAAAATAAATAAATAAAAGTTTTCCACAACCACCTATAGGAAACAGCCTTCCTTGCCACGTGTTTATGTTCTACTTCTATAACATTGCTTCTTAATATTGCTTTACATATAACTATTGTGTTCTATCCCAGTAACTCAAGACTCGGAGAAAACCACTTTCCCCTTGCAGGCCTAACTGGGCCAACGACCTGACAGTCAGGACATTTACCTATTTTATCAAGGTACCGACATTCCTCTGGCACATCATGTGAACATTGCCCTCTTACTGGCATCATAGCACAATCTCATGAACATACTCCCGAGAGATCCATATTATTTGGGAGTTTTTTCCAGGGCCAACACCAAAAACTGGTAGAAATGATCTATTCCTGCCAGGTTTATTTTTCCAGTGTAATCTGTACCTGCTTGATTCTTCATGTGCACATAGCTGCATCATGGTACACTTGCATGTTTCAATCAGCCTAGTCATGCTGCAGTGAGTGACACATCCATGTGCGCAGGAATGGAATTTGAATTCATTGCTGCACTATGCTGATCACAATATTGTGCAAGTACAGAATTAAATGCACGGTTGTATTTATATATATTGTTCTTGTATCCTTTTTTTGGTCTTGTGGGTAGGCATCCCAGGTTGTGTCTTCTTTTAACAGGCTGCTAAGCACCCAGCATTGTTGGGTGCCATTATTACGTCATGCTTATCCTGTTCCAGTCATGGTACACACAACGTCATATTAACCCCTTATGGACCAAACTTCTGGAACAAAAGGGAATCGTGTCATGTGTCCTTAAGGGGTTAAGCTATGAAGAAAACAATTTAGCTACACATTGTGCTAGCTGCAATGCTAGCCCATGTACAGAGTTTAAATAAACATTTTCTTTTTTTAATAATTAGCCTCTACCCACCGGTTTATCAATATCATTCAATGGATTGTCTAAGTCAAACAAGACTCCAAATTTTTTATGTATTATAGACATTCAAAAAAAGAAATAAAGGGGAGTGTGGCCTGGATGCAGAGAAAGATGGCTGCATAGGGAAGGAGCGCTGGCGGACACCACTAACTACCAGATCTGAGAAGGTAAATAGGGAAATCTAAAAAGCCCTTCTCTGCTATAATGGGAGAAGCACTGCACCATGCTCATTCCTTTGCCACATACATCTGGATACAGGGCAACAAACATAGAAATAACAGTTTTGTTTTTTAACTCCTCAGGCCTCTATGTCCACATTTTGCACAATAATTACATAATTTAAACGCAGCAAAATTCAGTGAATAGATATGATGACACAGGAAATGGTTAACATGGTATCTGAACGATATGCAAGATGTATCTATTTATATGCTCATTAAAAAGGCACCAGTACAATGCAAGTCATGGAGAATGTGACATGACTGATGTAAAGGTGTTATGATCTACAGACAGGGATTGTTAAATGCTTACCAGTTGCAGGGTTCTTGGTAGTATAAGTTTGCCTTCCTTCAGGTTGTAGCCACTTGCCATCTACAAAATGCCCAAAGCTGCGATTATGAGAGTCGAGCCATGCCTAGAATAAACAAAGAAAAAACAAGAATTAACATCATCTGCTAAAAAGAAAAAGCTTTTTACGTACCGGTTTGCAATAAAACTAAATACAAAAATAAATCTGTAAAACTAAAATGTTTCCATAGCAACTACATTTCTTTGTCTAATGGTAAAAAATGAAAGGTATGCAATACCACAATGGAACTGTCTGTTCAGCTATTTTATACCAGCTATCATTTACATGATTTTTTTTATTATCATTTATAGAGCTCCAACATATTCTGCAACGCTTGACATTTATAGAAAATGGATATTATAGCCAAGAATGCCCTGATCAAACGTGCTCACAATCTATATTGGCAATACAGAATACAGCAGGCAAGTGGAAGAAAAATGAAAATTAACTGTCAACTAACATCCTGCATGAGCCATAAACTATTAAAGAAAACAGTGTATCAAAACAGCACATACATATACCATTCACACAGAGTACCTGGTAATTAATTAAAGCATCATAGCATTATAATACATTGAATCAAAATAAGAGAAGGTTAATTCATTAAAGTGATACAATAGTCACCAGAACAACTGCAGCTTAATGTACTTGTTCTGTTGCCTATAACCTGTTCCTGCAGGTATTTTAATGTAAACACTGCCTTTTCAGAGCCAGGGGAGGTATGGCTAAATAAACAGAAACAAAAGTGATTTCCCAACTAAATGGCAGAGAATTGAGCAGTAAAACTTTAGAGGCATGATATATACACTACAACTGCTTCATCAAGCTAAAGTTGTTTGGCGACTATATTGGCCCTTTAATTGCTGCACTACGCTGGTCACACTATAAGAGAAAAGGCAGAGTTTACATTGCTGCCTAGTAACACCTCCAGTGCCAGTCACTCACACGGCTACTAGAGGGACTTCCTGGGTCAGTAACGTTCAGCACCACACTCTGCATGGAGGTGCTGAACTTTCCCCATAGAGCTGCACTGACTCAATGCATTTCTATGAGGAGATGTTGATTGGCGCAGAGCAGAGTTTTGCAACACATGCATGATAGCCTCCCAATGCTTTCCTAAGGGCAGTGGGAAAGCATTGGATTGGCTGAGATCATCAAATTGGATGATCTTAGCCAAGGGGACGGAGCCAGCCGCGACCGAACCTGTGCGGCGCTGAAAAAAGATCTGTGAATCACCTTTTTAACCGGAGGTAAGGTGGGCTGGGGGCCTGAATAGGTCTTTTAGAATTATAGTGTCAGGAATACACATTTGTATTCCTCACACTATAGTGTTCCTTTAAATAGTGATCTGTATATTGAATTTCAACATTTAGGCCAAAATAGCAGATATGGAAAAATTCTCTAATTATTATTATTATTATTTTTGGCATTTATATAGTGCCAACATATTCCACAGCGCTCTACAATATTATAGGAAGAGAAATTTAAAAATAAATGAGACAGGAACAGTAGATTGAGGAGGACCCTGATCAAAAGAGCTTACAGTCACTAATTAATTATTTTAGCCAGAACTTTGCAATGTGGTTTTTAGTTCACTACAGTGGCTATTTAGTGAATAAACCACTAAAAGGACACAGTAGTCACTATAACTATTTCATTTGTGAGAATTGGTTATAGTGCCTGGAGTTCTCTGGCGCTGTCCCTCCATTCAGTGATAAACTATTTTCGAGCACTTAAAAAAAAAAAAAAATCAAGATCCCTTGCTACCCACAGCCCATAAGAGGCGTGGCTAAAGCAAAAATAAAACACTTCCTTGTAGTCACACTAATTCATACCGACAAATGGTGCTCTGCAAGGCTACAAGCAGCCTGCTGACACTCTCAGCCAATCACAGTTGTCCATTATTGCTCAGGCTAATACTATCTCACTATCCACAGCAGCATAGAGGGAATGGGCTGCTGGCGACTACTTAGCAGTAAAAGATAAAACCATTAACAGCTGTTTAACGCTAAATAAAAGGACAGTGCCAGGGGCTTCCAGATACTATAATCACTTCAATGAGATGAAGCATATACAGCGCCTGCTGTTTTCCTTTAAGTAACAAAACTATACATTACTCAAAGATATTGATAAATTAAAGGGACTCTCCAATGCCAGGAAAACATTTTTCTTGGCACTGCAGGACCTTACAGTGCTCCTCTCCCTCCTACACCCCATCCCAAGTTGCTGAAAACCCCTCCATTGACTTACTGGAGTCCAGCGCCGATGTCCCTCGGTGCTGGGTCAGGCTCTGCCTACTCTCCTCCCTTCCTGGCCGCGCATTAGACCTCCCCATAGGAAAGCATTATTCAATGCTTTCCTATGGGAATTTCAGTTACGCTGGAGTGGTCTGGGTGACTGGAGTGTCCCTTTAACTGGTTACTATTTTGGGAGGTAATAAATAAAGAATTACATGTAGAATAATTAATTTCCAAAACGTATATGAGCACTATAACCAGTACCAGAAGATGTAGAGTGGTATTATTTACTAAATATCAAACAGTAATAAACCGGAAACTAAAATGCAAAATGTAGGTTAGAAGGTGAGCCATCATTACGTTGGAAGATATTCTACTGCAAACCACCTGCCTAGAACAATGATTAAAGGACCACTCAACTCTTCCAACTCACCCCCCAAAAAACCCTCACAGTTTAGTAGATATACCCCCAATGAATACATATATGCGTATTTTTATGCATGTATTCATTGGGAGTATCGTCTAAAATAGATTACAAAAGCTGCAGTTCTTATGACTGCAGCCTTATTCAGCCCCTCCCCTCCTTTTTCCCAGAAGAGACTTTCAGTCTCTTCACAGGGAAATAACTCATTGAGAAGCCAGTGACTTAGCCCCCACGTGCACGTGGGCTCGTTCGTGCACACTCACACACAGTGACGTGCATGCGCGCCCGCCGCTTGTGCACTTCTGAAGCTGGTCTGAGGTCTGTTAGGGAGCGCTCAAGTAGAGCGTGCCTGCCACTTCCATTAGCAAGTAGAAAGGAATCCTTCTTGGCCGTTTGATTGACAGCCAGGGGGAGTTCCCCATTTCATTTATAAAAGCGCTGATTTCTCATAGAAATCAGCGCTTTTATAAACTGGGGTTAAATGAGGGTACTAATTACCCATAAAGCACTTGTCTCCCTGTTATTAAAGGACCACTCCACAAGATGGATGTTCTAGGATAGAGGTGTGTGGAGTTCTAGGTTTAATTGTATTTTTCACACATCTCAAAAATATACAGTGTTTGTTAATAATTGGGGAAACATTATATCAACAATCCAGTGAAGTTACGGTTTCACTTTAAAGCTGTGAATATAGTTGTGATATTTTTCTGTAAATTACAATTCTGCTTTCAGTTTACTACAATGCATTGTTTAGTGAATAAGCCCCAGCGAGTGAATTGTTGAGGACAAAAAAAAATAAGTTAAAAAAGAAAACCATAGGGCATAGCAAGGATTAACCTTAAATGTTTATTCAAGAAGCTACGAACCTTCACAAATTAAAACCAAATAATGACTATAGAGGAAATTAAATGGATAATTTTTTTCAACACCAGCATTTCTTTTGCCTGTTTTATCATTCAGATTTAATTCACAAAAATTAGGAGCTTAGTAAATAACCCTTTAAGTCCTACAGCAGTGTTATTTTTTATTATTGCTATTTATATTGCGTCAACATATTCCACAGCTCTTTACATTATTATAAAGTAGAAATGTAACAATAAATGAGACAATTACAAAATATCAGTTACAATAATAGTAGTAATGGCGGTCAAACAGAAGATAAATAGTGTTCGGTATAAACAAAAACAGATTGCAAAATTAATATTATTTCAACTAAAGTAGGTCTCGTTCTTTAAAAATATCACAATACTAATTGCTGAAAAGCAAAAAGGGACACATGCAATAGTTTCCTGACGATTATTAACAACCTCGTCCTTTAAGGAAAAAAAAAAAAAAACACAAAAGGTTGCGTTGAGGTACGGCTTCCGCAGGGACCCAGTTAAAATGTAATGTGAATGGCAAACTATAAAGAAACCTTTGTACATTATTGAGCCCAGCACATTACTGTACAGGAGGTGGAGGCCCTGTAACAGCTCTTTAACCAATCACAGCTCACCCAGCTCCTCGCTGTTCTAATGTACATCACACAGTTAGAAAAGGAAACAATACGTAGCAGTGGCTGTGAAGCTGCTGGTTTTGAAATATATCTAAATTGCAGCTGGAAGATACAGGCTGTGGCAAACGTGATCTTGCCACGGGCTCCTTGCCAGCGTCCTGCCAAAAGACTATGGGCCCTGTAAATGCCATGGGAAAAGACTTGGTTCGTGAGATTTTCTTATCAGTTCGGGAACCGAATCAACTCCCGAACTAAAGACCACCCGGGAGCTTGTTAAACATTATTGACACATTGTAACGATTCTGCCAGGAGTGTTCTAACTGTTCGTCTGAGTGGCCGTCGTTCGTAAACCCGAACACGTGGTGGCGGCAATCTTGTTCGCGCAAACGCAGGCAGCGGTGTTTGGCCGTCGAGTGCACGGAACTAAAATCAGACACTCGACCTCGCGAATACCGCTGAACTTCCATCCTGTCTGCGTTCGGTACTTTAGATCCTAAAGTATTCGGTGGAATCGTTCATCTGAATGAGGTGAACAAGCTCCACGTTATACTTAGGGATTATGTTCGGTATTTTGGTCGCATGGAACTCCCGAACGGGACCAGCCGCAACCCCTGAATTCATGGAACTGTTTTGGGCATAAGACCATGTGTGCGGCCGGTTAGAACTTTACCCCGGTGACGATTCAGCTGTGTTCTTGGGGTCGGAGCATTTTTCGGAAATGTTGGGCGCTCAGATACATGCTATCCAGGGATGTATAGACTGTGGGGGTTCCTATGTGGGAAATGTGTATTTTTATGTGTTTTTAATATTTTGTATTTTATGCTGAGTCAAAATGACACTGTATTTTATGGCACGTGGTGGGTGTGTTTCAGAGTGTGTCACTGTGCTCAGATTTTGTATAAGTGGGCCATTTGGCTGGATTAAACAGATGACCCCCAGCATTAAGTCTCGACTAATGTCTGTGTGGAAAGCTATACCTGCTATAATCACTTGCTATACAAGCTATACTCTCTTGGAGGAGAGGTCTTCCCACTGAGAGCTGGATCCAGGTGTTTGGTCCAGGATGGGAAGGGAAAATGAGACCCCAGCCAAGCTGCGGCGGCTAAGTGGGCTACAGTGGTTATGGTGTCTGGTGCGGTGCTTATGGTACTCAGTGAGTTGTAAGAAGCATGATTGGCGGAGGTACCCAGTCGGGGTGCCCGGTGGTCCACCACACAGGCCAACACATCTGCTTTATTATTGCAACCCACATCCCCATTGCAGAAACATGAAAATGTATAAGGACCCCCAATAATGTTTTACTTTTTATCGATGCACACGGGTTGATTATATAGGGAAGATGTTCCATTTATTAGCCACTATTGCAGGGTATGGGACGAGGAACAAGCTTGGTACATGTTTGCCTCACTTCACTCCCCATAGGAGGTATACCAGTAGGTTAATTAAAACACTACACATGTCAGAAACTGACACCCCAATTTTTTTAAATGAATAAGGAAAAAAATCAAATGCAAAAAGTAAACAAAAAACAAACAACTTCCTAAAGCTACTGCACATGTACAGTTAGTAACAGACAGACCACTTGCTGACCAGGAGTCTCCACCAGTCAGAAGCCTTTCATTCTGATCTATGGGGTCTTATCGTATCCAATAACCACTGAACACCAGCACATTATAGGATAAGTAGTATATACCCCAGCTGCAGTTCCACTCATGAAACAGGATGAATGGGACTGATCTGTAAACTGATACCAGCAATACTGTGGCTGCAATCAGTTTACACACACTGTCTCACAGTTCTGTGGAGGAAAGAGGGATCCTTCCAATTTGCTAGACTGTGTGGAAAAGAAAATTTAGCATAGTATTATCAATGTGGCTGAGGAGGGAGGGGCAGTCTCTACATGGCGGGAAGAATCTCACGTTTTGTCAAACCACTGCTAAACAGTTTTAAGACTTACTCAAACCACTGTGACCCCTTCTGCTTTGAGAAGAGGTCATGGTCATAATCTGTATGCGCAGAGTTTCTGCTTGAAATTCTGCACTTTCAGACATATTTGCACATTTGTGCTGGAGACCATTACAAACTTGGCACATATGACTTCTGCAGCCCGGACTACCTTAGTCAATTCTGTGCACAAATCTGCTAGCGGCAGAGGTAGCTAGCTTCTCCCTTTGCAGGTAGCGCGCCTGCAATAGAAAGCCTTGATCTCCCCTCCCTCCATAAACTGAGCACTTTTTTTGGAAAAAGTCCACTTTAACCATTGTATATGAAAACTGCTACACGTACTCCATTGTTCCATAAGTGAATCCAGGCATTCCACTCGTAATAGATGCAATCATTTATGCAGAAACCTCAAAGAGGAAGCCACATTCTTGTATACTAAGCGTCATTGAGGACAGGAAAAGACACAATAACCTGTTTGATGGACAACAAATTGAAAAGGCACAACTGTCATATATACTGAAATATGAAAACAGTGACACAATTTACAAAACCAAAGTCATTTCCTAGATCAACGTTTACAACCTGCTGGGTCAATGACAATATCTTGAGTCATTTTAAAATTTTAATCAGGCCCTTTGAATTGAAGAATGGGTCACTGAGATAAAACAATGAACATTATTTGGGTCCTCATCATAAGAGGGATAAGAACTATAGGTCTAAATCAGGGGTAGGTAATCTTCAAGACTCCAGATGTTACGGACTACATCTCCTATAATACTCTTACAGACATAATGCTGACAAAGCATCAGGGGAGATGGTAGTTCAAAAGATCTGGATTGCCAAAGGTTGCCTACTCCTGGTCTAAATAATGCTGTAGTTAAAGGGGCTCTATAAGCACCATGGTGACAGGAGTACATTAGCTTTGTCAAAATATTAAGAGTCAGACTGGTTTCAAAGGGTTTGACACTTACCCGGGTCCTTTGCGTGCATGCAATCCAGCCACTCTTCATAGAGTACCTGTACCTAGTTATGTATCGGTGAAATCAGTTTAGCTTGTCTTCAGACAGAATTCATTGGCTAAGAGTGTCAGTTGATGCTCCTCAGCCATTGGATTCTGAAACTGAACAAACGTATTTTTGCTAATGTGGAAGGAAAACTTCAGCTTTGACAATCCCTGTGAAGAAGCTTCCAGTGGACCACAACATGTGTCAACCTGAAATTTGAATCCTAATATTAAGATGGTGTCAGTGGACTCCTGGCACCATACCCACTAGAGTGCACTGTAGATGTAATAATGCTTAGGTTTTAACTTTAAAGGGAGTGGTTATAGTACAAAGACTCTATGATTGATGTCCCTCTGCAACCAAATGCACATCCCCTCACATTGGGATATTAAATATTTGGATATTTCAACTTCCTCATACGAATAAGTGGAATTTGGCCTGGTCAAATTGGCATTAACCATTTGTCGTGGATAAATGGAATCCCCAAAAGCGTTATTCACCTAATAAGGAGCAGATGGGATTTAACCAGGGAATTAAACACTCAGATCAAAATAAGTGAAATGGAAATGTCACTAGAGCATTTATCCAGTTCAATTATTTTCGCTTCAAATGAGCAATTCCATGGTAAATGCCCATTTTGGGAAAAAGACCTCGAAATTATTCTTTGATCTGTACATAGCCTGCAATAAACTGCATGAGTTAATTCAATCAACACTGAAATGTTGCAAAAAGAATACAATATTGCTAAGTTTGAACCAAAACATAAAAGTTGTGACTTAATTCACTAGAATTTGGTGTTTTGTCAATAAACTCTATAGTATTTGGTGTGAAACCAGTGCACTATTTATGAACAGTGGGATCTGGAATTTTTACAGGATAAACCTGTCATCCCCTGCCCTGGCTACAGTCATAAGGAAAGCACAGCGCTGTTAAAATACTGCTGAAAAGTGTTTTTTTTTTTTTTTTTTAAAGTAACGCAGAAAAGAACTTTCAATCAATCAAAAGTAACTGCACTTATGGTTTAGTGGTGTTTAAGGTAAATGAACGTATATAACTGGGTGACTTAGTGGGTACCTGATTCCAGGATGCTTTTGACTGTAACTCCTATCAATTTCAACCAGAGTTTGTCTCAACCTGAATAACCACCAAACTAGGACCAAACCCTAATTCTAACCACCATGTATCATGCAGCACCATAGACTTGTCCTCAGTTTTAATTAGTAAATGCCAAATATCTGCAGTGCTGTTCAGCAGAATGTTGTCAACTCTGTAACGTTCTTCAATGTGACTTCCAAAATACAACTGAAGTAAGTGATGGTGGTGTAACAGACCAGTGCCAGAGATGGTCCAATCAGAAGGCTAGACAAATGACTTTAAAAGGACCACTCTAGGCACCCAGACCACTTCAGCTTAATGAAGTGGTCTGGGTGCCAGGTCCAGCTGCTATGTTTATAAATGGGTTAATCCAGCCCTCAAATCCTCTAGTGGCTGTCTCATTGACAGCCACTAGAGGCGCTTGCGTGATTCTCACTGTGAAAATCACAGTGAGAACACGCAAGCGTCCATAGGAAAGCATTGTAAATGCTTTCCTATGAGACCGGCTGAATGCGCGCACAGCTCTTGCCGCGCGTGCGCATTCAGCAGAAAGGGTAAAGGTAAGTTTTAACCCCTTTCCTCTCCCCAGAGCCCGGGGGAGGGGGACCCTGAGGGTTTCCTTGCACTATAGTGGTCCTTTAATCCAATTATATTTTAACAGTACTCAGTATAACGCTATAACTTCTCTCAGTAAAGTAATAATAAGGAACTCTGCATCCTAACAATTCATTCTTTACTTTAACATAATAAAAAGTTACACAGATGAACTGGACTAAAGCTGGGGATATATAAAACTTTTTTTTTTTTTTAACAGCAACCCAACTACAAGTTACAAATTCTACAACCAAATAATAGGGTAGCAACATGTCTAGTATATTATTAAAAATAAGCACAGTTTAACCCCTTAAGGACACATGACATGTGTGACATGTCATGATTCCCTTTTATTCCAGAAGCTTGGTCCTTAAGAAATACATGTATAACAGGCATGACATGCTGCATGTCCCCTTTAACCCCTTAAGGACCAAACTTCTGGAATAAAAGGGAATCATGACATGTCACACATGTCATGTGTCCTTAAGGGGTTAAAGCATGTGTCACCACCTAATAGAGGATGAACTTAGTTTGATATTAGTAAATGGCTACTAATCACCTGTGCAACGTTGGCAGCCTCAGGAGCTGGCCCATACTGCATGCTGGTGAAGATATCTCTCACTGTGGGCTTGTCAGACCCTGTACATGCAGCCATCACTGCAGAGAGGAATTGGTATCAATCAACCAGCAGCTCTCTGACACCAGGGGGCGTGCCAACCTGACGGATGTGTTCACCTCACTTCCGGTGCAAGAAAAAGTGTCACCCGGAAGTGTGCGTTCCAACAAGCACTGTGCGTTCCACCTACCCGGAAGTGGCTCCATGTGCTGAGTGCTGCTGCTGGTTACTGTTGCTTGGGTGAGAGATGCTGTTATTTTCATTGTTGGATTTGTACCGTGACGGGTGTTTGTTGGACCCTCCTGATATTAAATAAGACTGCCGAGGCAACTGGGAGTGAGGTGAATCATGTAATGTTTGGTTTGGCTTGGCTGTATTTATAAAGAGGGATTATAAGGCAATAAGTGCAAAACTTGGAGCAGTTATCAGGGGGATAGCGTTGGTTTCTGCGGGGATTGTGGTACTTTCGGCGTTATTCACTAAACTGAATTAAAGGGACACTCTATGCACCATAACCTTAAAGGACCACTATAGTGCCAGGAAAACAAACTTGTTCTCCTGGCACTATAGTGCCCTGAGGGTGTCCCCACCCTCAGTGACCCACTCCCGCCAGGCTCTGGGGGGAGGAAGGGGTTAAACTTACCTCTTTCTCCAGCGCCGGGCGGGGAACTCTCCTCTTCGGCTGAATGCGCATGCGCGGCAAGAGCTGCGCGCGCATTCAGCCAGTCCATAGGAAAGCATTCACAATGCTTTCCTATGGACGCTGGCGTCACAGTGAGAAGCGCGGAAGCCCTCTAGCGTCTGTCAATGAGACAGCCACTAGAGGCTGGATTAACCCATTTATAAACATAGCAGTTTCTCTGAAACTGCTATGTTTATAGAAAAAAGGGTTAAACCTAGTTGGACCAGGCACCCAGACCACCTCATTAAGCTGAAGTGGTCTGGGTGCCTATAGTGGTCCTTTAACAGCACAGTGTAGCAGTCATTTGCCTAGGGTTTCTGGGCTAAGTTTACATGTTTTATGTAAGACCGTTTAATTTACTCCAATTTGCAGTTTAGTGAATAACTACGTTAGCACTGCCCCCACATCACTTACCACTTATATTATCCATCAGGAATTATTCAGAAAATACTGAATTCTGGCAAAATTAAAACCAAGCTGCTTGATATAGGCAACAACAACAGCTGCTTTGGAGAAATTCTTCAGCTCCACAATAGCCGTAACATAACGAGTTTAGTTAATGCAATTACGTTTTCTGCTACATACAATTCAGTATTTAATTATGCTAAGCAGAATGTAAGAGGTACAACACTGTATGTTGTCAGGAAAAGCGGAGTAAATGTTTTCTCTAAACACATTTTATACAAATTGTCTGAAATATATATTGGCAAATAATACAGATATGTCGTTAGGACAGCTTATCATCTTCCTGGGTAAATTTCTTTACAGCAATCCTTCTGCACATCGTGTCATAACTAGTGCTTCCGCAATCTGGTTCATTCTGTCCCTTTTTAATTCTACAGTTATCCAGAGTACTTGGTTCCATCATCGAGATATCAGTGTCAACCTCTACTCTCTGTCATGTCTTTCTCCTAGATTGTCAGCTCCTTTAAGCAGGATCTGTTGGGTAGACATTACTTTGTTTCAGTTATCTGCTTTATATATACTGTTTGTAAAATTGTAAAGCTTTATTTTTGTTGATGTGAAACCTAAAATATAATATATCTTTGATAGTAAAGCATCGATACCTAGACTATTTACTTGTGAAGATGGAGACAGACAAATCTTTACTGTCAGCAGAACGCAACGCTGAGATGGAAGAAGCTTTATATGAACAGATGTTATTGAAGGTACGTTACTGGGGTTGTATTAGGAAAAGACAGATCAGTGTATGTTTACTGTTCTATTATGAGCTTGGTAGATTCTTGTGTCATCATCAAATAAATGGGCTATCAGGCTGAATGTTACCCTTCCTTTTTAATCCATTATGTACATAATTCATTAAAATATTTAAAAATAATTATATGACACCATAATCACTACAACTCGCAGTGGAGCTCTGGCGCCTTCCCCAACATATGGGATTTACTTTGAATGATTTGATTTATTTCCTGTAGTTCACAGGGCACTGTTTTTCTGAAACAGGGCTGTCTGATCGCTCTAAGCCTGTGAGCTAATGGAAGTTCCTGGTGAGGAACTTCCAGCCTTTGAGAGATGGTAGTAAAGGTGAGAGAACAGTACAGGGGGACCCTGAAACCAAACCATTCTAAAAAGGTTGACTCCATACAATTGGAGGGGGGAGTATGTGACATCCCTTAGAGGTGTCTTTACAGCTCAATGTAAAAGCTGCTTCTTCTTTTTAGAAAAGGCTATGTTTCCTTGCTGAAACTAAAGTGACTGTCTCTTTGCCCCAGAACCACTACATTAAACTAAAATGTTTCTGGTGCTTAGTGTCCCTTTAACTCATCACTCTGTATTGGATATTTTCTCTTTCACCTTTATTGTAATATCTATCGTTATCTGCAGCTGCACTGATAATGAAGAAATTACACATCCACATTGGTAAATCCTTACAACGTATCTTCTGTATTGATTGGATGGGAGCACTTTTGATGGATTTGCCTAGCGTTGTTAGCTTATGGTTGTTATCCAAGTTTGAAAGAATGCTTTATTGAAAATATAGAAATATCATTTCTGAATTATCCGTGCGAGATTTACTTATAGATAGCTGCCTATAGGCATCTGATTATAAGGGATGCCTAGCCTGACTACAAATTTCCTTTCACTGCTTCATAAATGTTTTTAACAAGCACATATAAAATAATTGTTGATGTGAGTATAGTTTCACATATATAAATGATGTGTAAGCATTGCACATTAATAATCAATTGAGAGTGTAAACAATTAACAAAGGTAAAGGTTTTCATTAGTTGTTAGCAGTGCCAGAGAGAGTTAAATAATGAAAATTGCATACTGAGAGTAATGTTTTTTGACAGCACATAGTGAATTATGGGGTTGACACATAGAATGCACTATTTCCCTTAATGGGCACTGTGTGACACTCTCATCCTATCATTTTCCACTGGAGAAAACCTTTCCTATACACCAGCGGAGGAAGGAAGTTGGAGGCAGCAATGTCAGACACCGCGTGACCAACTTTGGAATTAAACGGTTGCAAAAAAACACAACACAACTTTTGCTCCCAAAGCACATTCAATGTGGGGTTTTAAGAAGAAAAAAACTAAACTAAATTAGTAGAGCATACGCTCTTTACGGACTAGCCCATTTCTTTTAGCAAAGTATAAAATTTTGTCCTTAACAGGTTAAATTGTAAATATATGGTATGTAAATGTTGGCTTAACAGTTGATTAAAATTATATTTTATGGTTACTCTTTTAGGCTAAAGAAGAAATACAGAGCAGGTTGCCAAATCTTTCTGAATCTAAACAAATCCGGCCACAGCCAGGTACCTATTCATTTTACAGTATCATTAATCGAATTGAACATTTAGCTTTACCGTGCTGGGGTAATGGAAGGTGCCAAAATACAGCAAGAAATAAACGTGAACTACCTATACTCTTTGCATAGCTTTTGGTATGTATTTGCATTCACCGTATGGATTTCAGTACTTGCATTAACTTTAGTGCAAACGCTCTTGACATTAACGGAAAATTGTCATGGTTCTATTGTTATCAAAATTACCTATGGTTTAGGCTTACTCTTTGTTTTGGTAACCACTTTAACCATGTTTGATCAGAGAAACCACTAATCTGCTAAAACGATTTATGCCAGAGTGCATTTTTGATATGCCTGGTGCTTGCACGTGTTATTTGGTTGTATATTCTGTGCTCCTGACCAAATACAACTTAAAGATGGCTATTAGATGCAATGAAAGATATATCTACTTATTTGTATGCCTTATCTTTTATAAATTTGCGAATAATGATAAATGGTTACCGCGTTCATTCAATGTGCTTACATAAATAATTTTAGTGTGTGGGAGACTTCATTCACTTTCTGATCTCCTTCATCATTTCAGTATGGTTGCAGCACATAACTGCTGTTCAGTATTGCATGGTTAATGCAAATGTTCATTACAGCCATAGCTGACCAACAACATTGGCCAACAGGAGAGCCCCAGATTTGTCAAGCTGTTTGAAAATGATTTCACACACAAATTATATACACCGTAACCACTTCAGTGAGCTGCAGTTGTCATGATGCTTAGAATGCCGCTTTAAGAGATATGCATGAAAGCTCACTCCTGAATGCAGTATCCTGCTGATATAGAACCTTTTTCTTTTTAATATTCCATCATAAAATGAACACAGATATACATAATATCATCTGACATACATAATTTCTTTGTGTAGCTTCTTAAACATGGTTTCGTAGGATAAATATAAAAACAAGTTCATTGTGATGTTTGATTTTCGCAGCATTGATTCATACAGTATGAAGGTACAGTATATTCTGCACCACTGTTAACCACAGAGGGTGGAAATCTCATTTTCCTGAGTGATTGTATATCTGTAATGGGTTAACTGAATGGTTTCTGCAGCCTAACATCATTTAGTGTGTGTGCGGTAGCTTTGCCTTCTTAGTTTCTCCTTATTTCATTGTTTTTCTTTTTGGTTATTCTTTGAAATTACACATTCATGATAAAACATGAATGTAACGCAAGCAACCCACCAGATACCATGCAAAACTGAGCTAAACTGCCATACATGCAGTCCATTAAAGGTTCCTACACTATAGAAATAATTTGATGATTTCATTGTCTGTAGTAGAACAAAAAAGTACTTAATGAATTATAAACATTTTATTTTTCATTATTTATATGTCAAGTGTTTTTTTTCTGTTTTCTTATAGTGGCATGCTCAACATTGCATCTTCGGTATTCCAACAATATAAATCTACTTACTTTCAAAGCTACGGTTGTCATATAAAAGACTACGGGCTCTATGTAGCTTGTAGCCAAAAAAGCTTTAATAAATATAGCCCATCCAATCCTAACTCCTGGCAGCTTATTTTATATAGGATAAAACCTCTTCTAATGCTAACATTCTTTTTATGATACTCTTGAACTTTCTAACTCGAGGATGTTTGCCAGTATACACTACATATTTTTTCCTGTGCAAATGTCTGCCATAACACTGACAGCAAGAGAGCTTTGTCATGTCCCTGTCTGAGTCCTTGTCACCAGCAGAGTGGTTCTAAACGCCCTCATCTTGTCACATTGACTACACAGGGGAACACTGCTTATGATCTGTATCTATTATCTGTTTCATGTATTTTTCTTCTCAGGGTATAAACGTGCAATAGAGATTTCAGATGTATTTATTTATTAAGCCATCTATCTGTCCACAAGGGTTAGATTTGTATTCATGATGGGCCCTGCCTAGCATGGGTCATGCATAACATTTTCAAACACCACTGAAAAAAAAAAATATCATCTAAGTTTACTGCTCAGTGAGAACACTGGAGAGAAATCTGCACCTTCTAAAATTGACTCATAAGATGAGATCATAAGCTCTTCGCACCTGTGGGAAATCTAGCAAATCTAGTTTATTTATATATATATTTTAAATGTGGCTGTAGTGGTGTTTTTTCATTTATCTTTTTTTATTATTTTTTTTCCTTCTTTATTGATACTGACCAGGCTTCTGCATTAAGACCCGAACATCAAAAAACACAAAGATCTTTATCAACATCTGCAAATCAAGTCACATCCCTGCAGCTCCAGACATTAGCGAGGCGGAGCTGGTTGCTATCTTAGAGTCAGAAGACCCATCTGGTTATCGAGTTCCTATGAGCATCGGAGAACCGCATGTAGAAGTGGATAACAGTATGTTACACTGAATTGTTTAAATGGGCCAGTAACGTTCATAGATTTAAATGGTCATTTACTGCTTTCCTTTTTGCAAGCTCTTTCCATGCTGTGAAATGCGTGGAAGATCATACTTCGTTATTTCTGGTGTGTCTCTAAAGGTAACAGGGGACACTTATTATAATACTGCCAGTGGGCCTGAAAAAAAAAAAGGTTTACACAGTATATCATTTTGGCTGACATCGTATTGTTGTCCTAATTCTGGTCAGTTGAAGGGCAACCCTTTTGGCTGATTTTAGTTCATAAAATGGTTACAGGGAATGATCAGTTGTCTAAATTTCAATGTTTTGATTGGCATGTTAATCGCAGCATTGATTATTGACTTATAGCTTTGTAATATAATCACTTTGGGACCAACAAAATACTTGGACTGTTATATCAAGAGATTTGTCTGACTCTGGTTTTGTTCCAAAGCTAGAGAATATTGTTCTTTTCTTATCATATCCACGTAGCTTTCCTCGGCATGATGCTCACACTGTCGTGGTGTGCTTCTGTCTTCCCTCCCTCTGACCCTTGCGCAATGCCTCACTAGCAGGGTTTGAGGAAGCATTATGCGCACTAACTAACTGTGTTGCTCCGCGCTGAAACTTTGTTTCAAGTTACACGTGCGGTCAGCAGATGGAGATGTGGTCAGCGCTTCCAATCTCATTCAGGCCGCACGTCGATGTCCAACAAGCTGCATTTTGTATGCACCTGCTCTATGCAATTACTACTTTCCTTTTAAGTTTTTAAATGGTAAAGTCAAGCCTTCTGTGCCTATTGTAGACTACCTCAATCCCCTTTTTAAGAATCACTGGTAGGGTTATTCACTAAAGTCCAAATCATACCAAATTTAAATCCGAAACTTGGTCTGAAGTAGCTTAATATTAGGAATTCAGATTTAATTTGATACAATTCAAAGTTTATTGAATAACCCATTAAGGGATCACTTCGTTCATTAAGGTTGTCTGACTGTTCGTTCTCAAAAGTATTTGCATTTTCTCTACCCTGCTTGAAAATTCTGTAGATGGTACTGTATTGCGTTGATTTGATGAGACTTATCTACAGTAGAGCTACACAAGCTTTTCAATACTCATCGGCAGGATAAAAGTAAACTTTTGCTGGGATAAAGAGAGGACAACTGTGTTTCACTTTCCTTGTTTGTTTGTCATTGCAGGTGGGAGCGGATGCACTGCCTACGACATTGTGATAAATAATTCCTTCTTTGACAAGATTAAGGTACAACCAACTTCGTGGCCACCAGGCAGGAGATAATGAGATATATATGTCAGAAGTACTATTCCTTCTCGAGTTTTAATACTGCACAAGCGTATTCAGGCACAGCATTTTTACTAACTTCCTTCTTTCCTTGCTCTTTACTCCATTCACCAGGATAATGAGCTGTTCAGGGAATTCTTCGTCACAGTAGCAATGGAAGGACTTGAAAACAAGTACGAGATGGAACTCTCTAGAGGTACAATATACTGTAAGATGTTTGTGATTTGATCAAATGGTAAATTGAGCAGAGGTGATTGGTATCATAACTGAGTTTATGGAGCATAAAAATAGCCAGAATTAATAGAAATGATAGGTCATTAAGAGGGACAGAAGCAACTCAGTTCTGGTAAAATATTTGACTGCTCAAAATATTATTAGGAAAAGTAAATTGCAATAACGTTGTTTTTTTTTTTTTCTATTTTGTTTTATGTCCTCAATGATTCAATAGGAACCAGGTCACAGGACCTATAGGCACATCCATGTCTGTTTGTTTGTGTCATAGGAATGCAGGTAAATACTCTTGCAGTCCTTATTACACATTGGTTGAGGGTTATGAACTTATCTGGGACTATGTCCATAATGATTGCATGAACATTTTGGGGTCCCTAATTATCTGCATTATGACAGTTGAGCATCCCAGGTGTATATGACCCAAAATATAGTACCACAAGTCAGTAGTTCACAATACTGTTGATGTGCCTCGAGGACTGGTTTTGGGACCACCGCTCTAAAAATTATAGACTACAGTCAAAGCTTTATTTTGATTTGTGTCCACATTTTTTAAATTAATTTAAACAAAGTGTGTGTGTGTGTGTGTGTGCTCATAAAATCAAATACCTTGTTACCGTGTTAAAAGTTCTTTCCTTTAAAAAATTGTGTCATTGGTACCATTCAAGCAGTATCTAATTATTGTCACATTAAAAATGTATTGAATCATCATATAAAGGCATTTTAGAACAAAAACAAAGACCCCCATGTTCTTGTTTGACAGTTTATAAACATGTACCCCGTGTTTTTCTAAAACACGATATTTGTACCCTTGGTGCTTTATGCATAGATCACCAGGTTAAAGTGGAACTAGTGAGATTTATCTACAAGCCGAGTGTGCTGTATCTTTTATTTTTTAAATTATGACTAGTTTGTGTATTTAATGTATATGCCCTTTCTGGAATGGCACTTGTATAGTCTTTGTCTGTATTTGCCCTATTGCACATGAGCCATGGCGGAGACCTCATGGGGCAGCAAACCTGTACTGAACACAAAACTGTGGTGTAGGTAAGTTTTTTTTTTTTTTTTTTTTTTTTAACCTCCACTGCATTATTCACCTCAGTAAACGCTTCCATATCCGCTACTGGAGTGTGGAAACGTTTAGAGAAGTGACAGTTCCCTTTAACCCCTTAAGGACACATGAATTGTGTGACATGTCATGATTCCCTTTTATTCCAGAAGTTTGGTCCTTAAGGGGTTAAGCCATATAAACCTTTATATGGGAATTATAAATTGACAAATAACAGATTGCGCTAAATAAACAATATTTTTAAAGATGATGAGTCACTGTGGAACAGCTGGTCTCATGTTTGTTACACGTGTTTAATAGCTCAGCTTCTTGTATTTTTCTGCCTTTCTTTCTTTTTTGTGCTATTTTATTTTAAAAACACAGACCACTCCAGGTCAGTCATAAGTAAACAGCAATGTGGAGGAGGTTGGAGACAGATAGTGTGGCCTTTGGCTAAGCAGAGCAATAACAATTAAGCAGCAATATCCTGAATTGAGCAAGTTAAACCAGACTCTGAGGTCAGGCCCAGAGTCAAATACTTAAAGGGTTACTTCAACCACCTTGACCACCACAGCTTTGCTTTCCCAGCCATCCCTTTCTGTGCTGCCTCCCACCACCCTCTATTGCTGTTAATTGATTTTTTTTAATCTCTTCCCCTCTCTGGCTCAGGATATGCACATGCACTCTGAGCCGGTAAAATAGGCTAATCATATGATTCTCTATGAGAAGCATTTGATACGACCTTGCGATGCCCTTGGGGATGTTGGATGGAGACGTAGATTTAGGTAAATGTCATTCCCAACAGGGCATGCTAAATTTAAAATCACGTTTAAGTAAAAAGAGTTAGAGTAACCCTTTTTGAAGTCTAACTGTAGAGTAAGGCAGGCAGGAAGCTAAGTAGAACCAACAGCTTCCAGTCAGGGTCACCATAAAATTGCAGTTAGAATTAGGTAATTTTCATGAAATCAGGCACTAATTTGTGAGATTACTGTCAAACAATGAAATCTGTAGGCAGACAAGCATACTTAAAGAGACATAATCACTGGTAAGTCAGTGCTTCTTTCCAGTTGACTATGCTTGCTAACATATCCGTACACAGGGCGTACTTCCCCGTATTCCTCTGGTAAACCATGAGTTGCAAAGCTTTAACAACCACAAGATGGCATTAGTGTGGGAATAAAACTCATACTCATGTTGCATTAAAGAGACACACTAAGGTCAGAACCAACTTTAGTTCAATATAGCAGTTTGTGTGTATAGATCAGGCCTATGCTGTCTTACTGCACTATTCTCAAGTACCTTGTTTACACAGCCCTAGCCACAGCTCAGCCACGCAGCCTGAGCCTACCTGCACATTTCCTGAGAAAGAGTTCACTTTTAGCTTCTATATAGCACAATGCAATTTTATTTAAAAATTCTTCTCTCCTGATCTACTACTGCGTAGAGTGTGCAGCAGCCCTCTGTGTTTGAGTAATGTTCAATTAACATAGCAGGAGATAAGAACTTTTTTCGACCGAGGGGGGACTACTGTAGGTACTATATGAAACCAAATTTAGATGAAGTTGTTATAGTGAATACATTTTTCCCTTACGTTAGTTTGGTAAAACCAATATGGGGTGTTTGTGGTTTTATTTTTTACTATACCTTATAGTGACTCCCTTCTCCTAAGCATGTGCTTAGATGAACAATTCGATTTTAAATGGTACAAAGTGCTTTCATGCATTTAATAGCGAATGTTTTATGAAGCAGGTCAGTAATGGGGTATTTTATGAACACTTACAGAGTGGAGAATGCTGAAGAATCGGAAATTCATGGGATCTATTTTTGATCAGAACATCAGAACAAAATCCAAGCCTATCATCCAGGAAATTGATCCAAGGTACATATGAAATGCTTTACATCGTGTGATGTTTCCTCAGAGTCCAGCAACAACTCTGTCGGATCACTGGGGTGGCTGCTATTTATCACTGTACCGCTATGATATCTTCATGCTGTTGGGAGGCAAGGGATTCTCATACTGCTGGATATCTTATTTTCCTGATGGTGAAATGTATTGTTAGAGTGTTCTAAAGCAGTGCCTATAGGTTCTCCTCCATGAAACAAAGATTTTCATTACTATTAATGGAATGAAAAAAACTATATTTGCTTTATTTAATGTAGCCTTTTAGGTATTGCAGTCACATTACTTGACTTAATATGTAAATATTGGCTAGGGACCAGAACTTGAAAAGTAATGTGCTCTTAAAGGAACTATCTCACATTCAAATTAAATATGTTATTTTTTAATGTTCATGTTCCTTGATCTCCTAAGATTCAGGGCCGTATTTTTTTTTTTTTTCTTAAATTTTAAATACTATGGGAAAAAAAGCTGTAAAGGAACACTACAGAGTTTTAAATAAAAACCTTTAAAACACTAGATTGTTTAAAAACAAACACCATTTATATTATTGTGTCCCTCCCCCAGTGCCCTAAAAGACAGTTACCTTGCCTGTAATCCAAAAACAAGGGAGTCCTTTGCTGCAGTGCCCCTTTAGAAGATCCTCACTACTGATGCTTTTCTGGCCAATCCAGTGCTTCTAAGAGAATCATTGGGACATAGGGTACATGCGCTGCAGTGTTTCACGCTGCACCTTCAGTAGCACAAAGCAGTGAAGCACCAAGTTAGAACATGCAGTTATTTGATCTTCATGAGGCATCCTCTGGTAAGTTCTAGCATTCAGTCATGGAATATCGTGTTTATGTTGCGATGCTTGGGATGCGATTTGATTGCTAAACTTAGAGTATGTTAAATGTAGAGCAATGCAAAGCTAAGAGGTAGATCCTCAGAAACTGTAAAACATTAGAGATTTTTCCTTTTTCAGTGTGTCTCGGAATCCCCAGACCAAGCCGCTGATTTCAGAGATTCAAAGGTAAGTGTATCTTTTTGTTTGTTTATATACAGATTTATAACAGCTAATTTTATGATTATTTAACAAAAATAAAAATAGCAGGAGATACAAACATCTGAATTAACCACATTGTGCTGTAAGATGTGAAATGGAAACCATTTTTTTTAAGGGCAGGGCTCACAATTTCCACTGGTCATTGACAAACTGATGAGTGTTGTATGGACCTTCAGACTTGCAGTGGAAAGTAACTTTTAAAGCTTAGCTAGTGACGTAAGATTGGAATATTTAAGCTCTGATGATAGGGATACGTTAACATTATGTCACATAACATAAACCCTCGGAAGTGACAGTTCCCCTTTAAAATATGTAAAAAAAAATAAAAATAAGTGTTCTCCAGAGCACCATATTGATATCAGAGAGGACAAAGAGAAAAAGATTGACTGCCCATAGCTCCTTCTAGTAACCAGTAATGGTAGTGTTGTTTTTCACCTTATGTGCAAGGAGAATTGATAATTTAAGTGAGGGGTGCACAGTATTCATGTCAAGGAATTTGGGGTTCCCATCTTGTTGGACGCCTTGTGCCCCTTCAACCTTTTTTTGTAATATTATTGATATTTTTGGTTATTGATATCTTTGTTGGTTTAGATACAGCCATTGTTATTCTCCAGTGCAGTTCAGACAGATGAGTCAGGCAAGCCACGATTACCAAGGCTTAAGAACTGATGGCCATGGCCATTAAGTAGAAAAGAGAAGTGTTGAGCATGTTTAGACTGACTCTCAACTTTGCTGAAGGACAATGAATGGATTTTTATTTTATTTTTTGTATCCTGTTGGACTTTAGAAATGGACAATGTAGAAGTGTTTCGAACTGATAACCATTTGTTATTGCATGAGTTCAATAAAAAAGAAATCCCAACATTTTTTTCTTCCTTGGTTATTAATAAATGTAATTGCTTAAGTCCTTAAAATCTTAGAAGATACAAATCTGGAACTTAAATATGCAATGGCTGAGAGGATTTACTCTGCAGATGTTTTCTAACTGCAAATATGGGAATGCATTTTTAAAACATATGTCATTCGAAAACTAACTGTCACTATGTTGTACCTGTGAGGTTCATGGAATTGTCTTTTTTTCTTATGTTTTTGACATATATTTAAAGTTTTATATCCAAACATAAACCGTGATTATCCGAATGGTTTTAATACCAATAGGGGGGCACATTTTTATGGGCAAATGCAAATATTACAAGTTTTAGAATGAAATGTTGTATTTCTTAAACTGTGTACTTTGTCTTTAAGAGATATTGAAAACTGACAAGGTGTTAGAAATGGAACATATTGTTTTTCATAACTGTTTATTTAAGCAATAACCTCAGTTCCTAATATGTTTGCGCCATTTTGTCCCAGACGAATTACAATAACAATAATGCATAAACAAGCTTCAAGGCTATGCTACGACTCTTACAGTACACAATATACTGTGGTAACCTTAGTAGATAAGGATGTCCAGACTTTAAGATGCCATCTTGAACTAAGTCAGGAAAATTTCCATGACGTGTACACCCTTTAGTTATGGCTTTGTATGTTTGCCAAGTTAAGGGAGGTCCTAAAATGAATAAAGTAAAAGAAGTGTTACTTTTTTATATATGAACTACGGTAACCCTAAAATGGAGACACCTAAGGTATAAATAGGTGTACTTTAAAAAGTTAAGGGACAGAGGAGAGACCTGGAGACAGACGTTGCTCCATCTTAAAATGACAGAGAGACTGACATGATGACATGTTCAGAAGGGTATGTTAACCTATTAATGATATTTGCAAGCATTTAGTTTAATCTTACAAACTCTGCTATAATGGATTTTAAATGTCTATATTTATATTTTTATATAATAAATATCAAAAAGACAAAGCTATTGCTTCCAAGACAATCCTTATTTTATTTTGTAGTCTCAATTATTTATATATGTTAAATAGAGGATCTCTTACTAACTATATATAATTATGGCTAAGATATCTGTATGGTTAGCCCTACTAAGTTCTATGCTTTAAGACATAAGGGAACCACCTGCGGTTAGAACATGACTTCTAACAGATGAAATGAGATTTGATGTTCTTTTTATACTGTACCACCAACCAATGATTCTGAGATTAATGTTAATTTATAATATTTTATGGGGTATATGTTACAGTTCATCAGTCGTTCCCGAGTATACAATTGTGGCAGAACCGTCTCAAGGGCATCCAAGCTTTCTTGTGGCAGAAATCTCTTTACCCAAAGTAGTAAGTACTTCCATATTCCAGAATATGTACAGTGCTATTGCTTTTGAGTTTTAAGTCATAATTTCTTTCTTTTTTATTATAGCCAAGTGTGTGTGTTTTTTTTTTGTGTGTCCATACTATCTTTTTATAACCGATTAGTCTTCCTTAGTCATATACATTTGTGCCTCATTTTTTTTACTCCTTAATTCCTTTCATATTATCAACATGATTTACATTTCCGAACAGCTTGGGTATAATGTGAATATTGAAGGATCAACTAAGGAGACCTTTTTACATCTTTACTCAATTCATTGAAGGTAGACTTAGTCTATGGCAAAAGACACGGGGTATTATTTATGAAGCACCTAACTAGTCATTTGAAAAATTTGCTAATGTTACTAACATGTGACGGTAACTTAGTTGGGGAGTTTCTCACAGTCATCTATTTTTTTATTTTTTATAAATCAATATGGTACACTGTGGTATCTACATGTCAGCCTTATTTTGTGAGAGCCCCATTCTAATTTTTTGCATTTATGCAGAGAGACTGTAAATTTCAACCACATCTCCCTTTCCGCACATTCATCGTAAAAAATCGTCCGGCGATTGTCCATATTGCTGTTCTGTCATTCATTATTGCTCTAGCTACGTATGGAGCTTTCAGGCAATTATTGATCATCTCAGCAAATAGTGAATCTTATTGAAGACTCCTACTTGACTAATAGGTGAATACGTAACTTTTCCACTCACATACACATATAAAAGAGATGTACACGCTCACATTTTTCACTTGGTGTTACAATAATGTGATGTTGACGTTATATGTACAACAACAAAACAATTATCTACTTTTTGTTATTGGAAATGTTTTGAAGCCTGTTTAGCCTGGACTACGCTAGTACTGTTTGTTAAAAGCCTTGAATGGTTGATCCATATAAGATTTCACAATCTTCAATATTATTTCTCTCTTCAGTCATCGGTTCGATCTCTTGTTCTTGACCTTGGAGAAGATCGAATAGTATTATTGGCAAGGCCTGATCTGTACCATTTGGACATCTTCATCCCTTACAACATTATCCAAGAAGAGAGTGGAGCCCAGTTTAATAAAAGCACAAAGGTAAAATTTAAATCAATTACAAAGTACCAGAACTACAGACTTAAATGGATGATTACAGGGTTATTTACGAAAGTGAAAATTAAACTGAATTTCAAAGTTAAGGTAAAATAACCAAACTGGAAACATTCTCATAGTCAGCAATGCTTTAATTTCTGCTACTTCAGAAATTCACTTTCAATCCTATGTGTTTAGAGTAGTTGCACACTGAATGTGCAGGGTTTGGTGTAGATTCATTGTTATGCCATTATTGCAAATGTTATGTAAATTAGACAAAAATGCTGCACTTTGTTCTGGTAAAAGGGAAACTGTCCCTTATCTGGAAATTACGCCAGTGTATAAACCCATTGAAAATGACTTGTAACTTGTGTTAACCTTTTCTATATCTGTTTTGCTATATATGTATAAGGTTCAAGAATGCAGGACACCAGTTGAGTGGGTGAATAATAACATTATGTATTACATAGATTAAAAGTATCAATGATTGATAGGAAGGAAAAGGCCTTATGCAAGTCTGAGTTTTAAAAGACCACTTCTAGCAAACCTGAACAGTGCTCAGATCACCTACAGCTGGAAGGAAAAGGCCTTATGCATGTCTGAGTTTCTGCAAGGTAGACTATGGAGGAAACTATCTACCTTTAATACTGGACACTATAATTGTATTGAATTTTAACCACTTGCATATTTTTAAACTAACGCTGGACGCGGCTAAGGTACTGGTTCATGCTGTTGTTCTCTTTAGCCTTGACTATTGCAATCCCCTTCTCACCGGTCTTACATGTTCCCAGCTTGCACCGCTGCAGTCTATAATGAATGCGGCTGCGAGGCTTATTTTCCTGTCCGGTCGCACCTCCCACGCCTCCACGCTCTGTCAGTCCCTGCATTGGCTTCCAGTTAGATAAAGGGCCCAATTCAAAATTCTTGCGCTTGCTTACAAATCCCTACATAATGCTGCTCCAACATACCTATCCTCCCTCATACACAAGTATGTCCCGTCGAGACCCCTGCGCTCAGCCCAAGACCTCCTATCCTCTGCCCGGATCCCCACCTCTGATGCTCGCCTTCAAGACTTCTCCAGGGCTGCACCTATTCTGTGGAACTCCCTTCCCTCCTCAATCAGACTTTCACCCAGCCTCCACTCCTTCAAAAAATCTTTGAGAACTCACTTCTTCATTAAAGCGTATCAATTAAACTGTCAGCAGGTTTCTCATCCCCCACCCCATGACTCCGTTCCTGCACCTGTCAAAAATGACCTACCAAGCACTCAATAAACCCCTCTATAACAAACTATTTAATTCCCCTACTTTAACCCTTTGTGTCACTATACCCCACTCCCTCTAGCATGTAAGCTCATCGAGCAGGGTCCTCAACCCCCTCTGTTCCTGTACGTCAGTGGTCTGATCTCAATTATGTGTCTGTTAGTCCACCCATTGTACAGCGCTACGGAATTTGTTGGCGCTATATAAATAATAATAATAATAGGCAGTCAAAATTGAGGATTAGAGGTAAATAGAGTGGTATGGATTTCCACAGTTAATTTTTAAACACATAAATACTTATTTGTTAAATATAATCTATTACATAGTAAAATTTATTAAAAATCCTCAAAATGGTGGTGTCCTTTACATAATTTATTTGCCATTTATGAAGAAGAAAAAGCTTATCATTGCTTTAAAAAAAAAAAAAAAAAAATTGAAAACAAAAAGTTGAGTCTTTCACTCTAAATCCTGCCAATCCAAAAATAAATGCTTGCCTTTCGATTTCAAAACACAAAAACCCAATATGTCTATTTTTATTATATGATATTTCTGTTACAGGTTCTTACAATTACAATGCCAGTCCAGCCATCCTGATGAGTGCACTGCTAGAAGATTTGAATACCAGTCCTTCATCAACATACTGATCCAGTGGATCCGAAAATGCATATGTTTTACATGTTTTGTGTTTGTGTTCATTCTAAAATGCTGCTTACTCCTGAAGTAGAAAAGACTCGATCTAAGGGATTTTGAGACTTAAGCCTATTTAGTAAATCTGGTTTGGATGTCATTGTAGTACTGTGATTATTATATGTGGTTAAAGGTCATTTGGGAGGTTTACACTAAGGGCATTGTTTATAGGTGGGAGCTCGCCATGCCCCAAAGCAGAGGTAGGCCACCTTTGGCACTCCAGATATTGTGGACTTCATCTCCCATAATGCTCTTACAGCTACAAGGCTGGCAAAGCAACAGAGGAGATGTAATCCCAACATCTGGAGTGCAGAAGGTTGCCTACCCCTGCTTTACAGGGTAATTATCGTTTGTTTGTTTTTTGTGTGAATATTTTATTGGTTTTCAACAAGTAAAATAAAGTAAACAAAATGAGACTCACAGGTCTCTATTATGAGCAGCATTTCGGTCATGCAAGACCTGATAAGAGGTTCAGTTTAGAGTAAAATAGGATGCGCAGGGGAAGATTGGGCCATACAGTTGTTTAATTTGTAAGACAGTCTTTATCAGAAAGTTTAAAGAATGAGGGTCTTACTGTTTTTTTTTTTAAGTTTGTTGATTGCTATTATTGACAATCCTCTTATGGCAGTATGTTACACAAGGAAAAAGCAATATAAAAGCAAGAGCACAAAGGAATGAATTAGGACGTGTTAGTGACACTTGCTAATTGCATTAGGAGCAGATATTGAAAGGGACATGCATCACTTTGATACAACTGTTTCATTCAAAAGCTTTAGCTTTGAATGAGAACATTGCCTCACTCTGCAGGCTGAAAATGCATTTAAATATGATTATTTTCTCTACTGCTGCTGCACATTGATGCCCTGTTTCTGTCAGACCTCTATGATCCTTCTTTCAGTTATTATTTTTTACACTATCCTTTCATCTTCCAGTTACCAGTATCTACTAAGAGTACTCATGAAGTATTTTATTATTTTCCAGTTTAGCCTTACTATTTATTTTATATTTATGAACAATGACCACCGATACTATGTTAATTTTCTAGTTCTTTAAACGTTATAAAAAAACTTACTTTATGAGATATCTATATATGAGCAGTGAATATGCTTACTAAGCCTGGTTTTATCTCGCTCTTATTTAGTACTGTGTTAGACATTAAGTAAAATATTAATTGTGATATACACTGCCTGACCAAAAACAAAGTCGCCAACTGGATTGAACTAAGCAAATAGGTAAAAGCCTCCTATTGGATAGTTACTGCATGGGCGATTATCTTTCAGCTGGTAACAACTTATTTAACCCCAACTGATGCAATGAGTAGCTTCTCATTTCTTAAACAACCATGTGGAAAGACACAACCTGTGGTCATGGAAAAGATGTTACTCTGTTTGAGAAGGGTCAAATCATGGCATGCATCAAGCAGAGAAAACATCTAAGGAGATTGCAGAAACTACTAAAATTGGGTTAAGAACTGTCCAACGCATTATTAAAAACTGGAAGGATAGTGGGGAACCATCGTCTTCGAGGAAGAAATGTGGTCGGAAAAAAAGCCTAATTGATTGTGATCATCGATCACTTAAACGTTTGGTGAAATCAAATCGTAGAAAAACAACAGTAGAACTCAGGGCTATGTTTAATAGTGAAAGTAAGAGCATTTCCACACAAACAATGTGAAGGGAACTCAAGGGACTGGGACTGAACAGCCGTGTAACCTTAGGTAAACCACTTATCAGTGATGCTAGTTTGAAAAAAAAAAAAAAGGCTTCAATTTGCTAGAGAGCATAAAGATTGGACTCTGGAGCAATGGAAGAAGGTCATGTGGTCTGATGAGTCCAGATTTACCCTGTTCTAGAGTAATGGGCACATCAGGGTAAGAAGAAAGGCAGATGAAGTGATGCACCCATCATGCCTAGTGCCTACTGTACAAGCCTGTGGGGGCAGTGCTATGATCTGGAGTTGCTGCAGTTGGTCAGGTCTAGGTTCAGCAACATTATGTGCCCAAAGAATGAGGTCAGCTGACTACCTGAATATACTGAATGACCAGGTTATTTCATCAATGGATTTTTTTCTTCCCTGATGGCAAGGACATATTCTAAGATGATAATGCCAAGATTAATTGGGCTCCTGAGACACCATTTTCACATATCGATTGGCCACCACAGAGTCCAGACCTTAACCACATTGAGAATCTTTGGGATGTTCTGGAGAAGGCTTTGTGCAGTGGTCTGACTCTCCCATCATCAATACAAGATCTTGGTGAAAAATTAATGCACTGAAATAAATCTTGTGACATTGCAGAATCTTATCGAAACAATGCCATAGCGAATGCATGTTGTAATCAAACCTAAAGGCGGTCCAATGAAATTTTAGAGTGACATTTTTTAGGGGTGCCAGGTAGTATAGAAAACATAAAAACAGGTGAGGTTGCTTGGCTAGTGACTGACATGGCCACCATTTAAGTGAGCTCCAGGGGCACTGGGCTTACTTTTATTCATAAAAATAGCTTTTAAATTAATAGCCTTATTTGGTGAATCTCACTGAACATAATTATCAAGAAGAAAAACAGAAAACCTGAAGCTGGGACTTAAATTTCACGATCTTTATCAACTCCTGACAAAGCTCCAGCAGGCCGGAGCACAGCTAGAGTATCATGTGCGGCAGTTGCTCAGACAACAACTGCTCACAGAGTGATAGAAATGGGCTCCTCCACAGCACTATTAAGGAATGAAGTGTGGTTACAAGTGCCTCAAGTGAACCAGGCTGAAGTTCCACTGCGAGCTGACCCAGCAATGGAAATTAATATTGAAGCCAGAGCTGCTTCAATAGATTTAGGATTGTGACAAATGCTCCTTCCCTCGTATTTTTGCCATGGGCTCCTGCCCACCAACTATGGTCCAGGTCTGGGACACCATTTGGGAGCTACTCTGCCCAGCTGCCATTAGCAACTTTTCCTGGGGGCCCCTGGTTTGGCACTTTCCCTTCATGCAAATGGAACCGACCGCTAGCTCCCTGGCGGCCGCTCTCATTAGCTAAACTCACCAATAGTCCTCAACGACTGCTATGGAACTAATTTCGGCATGAGGACTTTTTGGGTTCCCGGTAACCTCAGCGGGACTTAGCCGCGAATGTTATGGAACTGTTTTCGGCATGAGGTGACCATGCGGTTCCCGGACAACTTGGTTTGCGGTTTTGAACCACTTTGAAATCTGCTAGGAGAGTGCTTTTTGGAGGGAAGGTGCCTGAGACTAAGGGGAATAAATACTGCCAGACGAAGTACCCTGTATTGCGGCCGCAGGAGCTCCCGAAAGTTGACTGGCAAAAGCACCAAACGCGCTGGAACTATTTTGGGCATAGTGAGAAATGAGAGGAACTAGCTCTAAGCCCTAGGGTATATAGGATAGATTAATAAAACTTAACTGAAAATATGTTAACAATATTTGTGAACATTTTAAAAGTTAAGTTTTATTAATCTATCCCATGTCCCCAGGGCTTAGAGCTAGCTCCTCTCGTTTCTCATTACTCAAATAATTGGGGCCATGCCCTTCTCAACTAGCCCATCCCTCATACTAAACATTCTCCCATTTCTTTCTTTATTTTGGGCATAGGACCACGTGTGCAGCCGGTAAGAACTTTAACATAGTGGCGTTTCCCCTACTACACTGCATGAATCTGAGCATTATTTGGAGAACTTGGGCACTCAGGTCAGGGCTATTTAAAGATGTATTATTTGTGGGGTATTTTATATTTTTATGATGTTTTGGGGTACTTTTGTGTTTGTGTTTGGCTCTCTGTTCCGGGAGATCATTAGCTTACCGGTCTTTAACGCAGTTATCTCTCGGGTCCAGAAATTCCTGGGAGGGGCTTGTGCTGAATACAATGGAGACCCCCTGCTGGGGTCTGTGCATAAAAAGCAAAGTTTGGCCCATTAACATCAGTTGTACTCCCAGAACTATGCGTCGTCTAGTTACTGGGAGGGGAACGGCTATAATTACTTCTTAGCACCTTGTTGCAGCTCGTGGAGGATTCGGCGGGGAAAGTCCATGTAAGGACTAGAACTCTCAGGACTGTCTGTTCTCCAGTCCCTGGGAGGGAATAGAGATAGTCGCCTTATCCTGTTCCAAGAGGACTCCAGTCAAGCCATGATGATTGGGGCTGAAGTACTGAGGTTTTCTACTGTTCCAGATAGAATGCGGTCCTTGGCGGAGGTATCCAGCTGGGGTACAGGGAGCTCCGCTACAAGGGTCTCTTCCCTCCATGACACAGAACAGCTCCTTGCTCCCCTGCCTCATATGACCAAATCTGGGAACTATTACAGGAGATGAGACAGGAGATGAAAGATTTTAAAAAGGACTTTGCAACAATGAGGCACAATGTAACAGTGCTTGAGCATAGAACTTGTACTACTGATAATACAGTACTGCAACATGCTTCTGATTTAGGAGACCTAACTAAACGTGTTAAATCTTTGGAATTACAATTGCAATCTGCTAATACTAAACTGAGTTACCTCAAAGACAGGAGTAGGAGAAACCACATCAGAGTGAGGGGGATTCCTGACTCCATTCAGCCCAGTGAATTGGCTGATTATTTAAAAGCCGTGATGAGGTCTGTTACACCAAACCTTACTGATTCAGATTTATTTATAGACCGCATTCACAGGATCCCCAAGCCCAACTCTTCCCCTAGGGATGTAATAGTCAGACAATTTTTTTCCAGTGAAAGAAAATTTCCTGCTGGCATTGAGATCCTCTGATTTACCAAGCAAATTTAGGCATATAGAGGTCTTCCAAAACTTTTCACCAGCTACAGTGCAAAAACGTAAAGAATTTGGACAGTTCACAGCTGAACTGCGCCGTAGAAATATCAGCTACTGATGAGGATTCCCTGTTAAAATCTTATTCCGCTTAGACGGGCAACAGTATGTGATTACTACATCTGAATAAGGACTGGAAATTCTGCAAACTCTACATTGGCCAAATCCAGAGGCTCGTTAGGCCCAAGTTCCGCTGACTCCACAGCCACCAAAAAAATGAGGAGAAGGGAGGCAATTCCTCATTAAACATGATTGATAGAGACTCTGACTCTTGTTCTTTGGTTCCTGGTCCCTGGTTTTCTTTTCCTGGTCCTTGATTCCTGGTTTCTGTCACCTGGTTCCTGCTCTCTGGTTATTGATCCTTGGTTTATGTTTCATGGCTCCTGCTTTCCAGTTCCTGGTTCCTGTCCTTTGTGTTGGATGTCATGAACTGTTGTATTCTGTCTCGGTGGAATATTGATTTTTTTTTTTTCTTCTCAATTTTGTGATGAACAATGTTCCTTTTCTTCAAAATTTTTTATTTCTATTTTACTTTTTTTTCTCTCCCCTTTATTTAATATAAGCCGGTGTCCCTGGTAATCTCTTTCCCCCCAACATAGGCTTTTATATTTTGAAGGTGGGGACATTTTTTACTTCCCCTCTCCAAGCCTTATTTTTTGTATATATTTAATTTTGTATTTTTTTTTTACCCTATTTTTTTGGATTTTACCCATGTTTTTTTCCGTTTTGTATTTTTTTTTGTTATATCTGTTTTAACTTTTTTAGTTTTTCTTTTACTAATATTTCACTTTCCACCATAGACATTTCATCCGTCCTCTACATGTGTCGTCATTGAATGTTTTTGTTTCCTATTATCGATTGTTAGTATATTGGCTGTCCAGGTCGATCAGGTCCTTTTGTCTTTTCCCTCCTTGAATTACTCTTGGCTTTTTTTTTTTTTTACTGATGTTTGTTGTGTTTAGGGCTCCTCACTACTTTTGGTTTATGCTGAGCAATACCAATGGTACTGTCTTTTAATGTGAGGGGCCTGAACTCACCACATAAATGTAGATTGTTGTTCAGGGAGGTGAAAACCCAGAACTGATGTTCTTTTTCTTCAGGAGACACATTTCAAACATGATAACATTCCTTCAGCTATGTTAAAAGATGTTGCTCAGTTCCATTCCATGTTTAGATCAAAGTCCAGAGAAGTTTACATTTTTTTCATAAGGGTGTGGCTTGCCATACCGACGAGGTGACCACTGATCAGAAAGGTAGGTTTTTGATCTGGAAGGGCACGCTGAATAGTGTGGTTTACACGTTACTGTGTACTTCCCTAATTCTGGGCAATATACATTTCTGAAGAAAATTGTCACAAACGTTTCCAAGGATATCAGATGTAGATTATAATTGGTGGAGATATGAATTTTGTATTTGATTGTGATCAAGATATTGCTAGAGATAGTGATCACACTTTTAAAAATTATAATAGTACAAAATTGGCTAGTTGGTGTTCCAAATTAATTTTTTCTCAGGGCTTATTTGCGCGGATCCAACATAAAGGAAAGAAGGACTACACCTACCACTCATCACCTTATAATATGTATTCTAGAATTGACAGGTTTTTGACAGGTGAGCATAATGTTCCATACATTCTCAGGTCTAATATTTTAGACCTGACCTGGTCAGATCATGCCCCTATAGCAGCGTTACATATACTGGAATCTTTCCAACCAAACCCTAGCAGATCATGGAGACGAAGTGACTATCTGGTTACGAATATGGAAAATAAGTCACTAGCTGCGAAAGTGTTTACTGAATACTTTAGGGACAATTTGACTCCAACTATATCAATATCTTCATTATGGAATGCCCATAAAGCTGTCTTATGAGGTCATTTTATACAGCAGGCTTCTTATTTGAAGAAAATTTGATCCAAAAACTTAAGGGAACTAGAAAAGGAAATATATAAGCTAAATCAGGTGAACACATTTGGTCCTCCTCCCTCTCTTGTTGCAATGATTTCTAAAGTGAAAAGTAAAATTGACACTATTCAGTTGGAGCATACAGCCTTGATGTTAAAGGACCACTATAGGCACCCAGACCACTTCAGCTTAATGAAGTGGTCTGGATGCCAGGTCCAGATAGGATTAACCCTTTTTTTTTTTTTTATAAACATAGCAGTTTCAGAGAAACTACTATGTTTACACTGAGGGTTAATCCAGCCTCTAAAGCCTCTAGTGGCTGTCTCACTGACAGCCACTAGAGGCGCTTGCGTGCTTCTCACTGTGAAAATCACAGTGAGAAGACGCCAGCGTCCATAGGAAAGCATTATGAATGCTTTCCTATGAGACTAGCTGAATGCGCGCGCTGCTCCTGCCGCTCATGCGCATTCAGCCGATGATGTCGCTAGGAAGAAGGAGAGGAGGAGGAAAGCTCCCTGCCCGGCGCTGGAGAAAGGTAAGTGTTTAACCCCTTCCTCCCCCCAGAGCCCGGCAGGAGGGGGACCCTGAGGGTGGGGGCACCATCAGGGCACTATAGTGCCAGGAAAACAAGTATGTTTTCCTGGCACTATAGTGGTCCTTTAAAGAGATTTAAAGGACCACTATAAGCACCCAGACCACTACAGCTCAATTAAGTGGTCTGGTGCCAGGTCCATCTAGGGTTAACCCTGCAGCTGTAAACATAGCAGTTTCAGAGAAACTGCTATGTTTACATATGGGTTAATCCAGCCTCTAGTGGCTGTCTCATTGACAGCCGCTAGAGGCGCTTCCGTGCTTCTCACTGTGATTTTCACAGCCGTCCTTAGGAAAGCATTGAGAAATGCTTTCCTATGGACTGATTGAATGCGCGTGCATTCGGCGGATGACATCGGAAGAGGGAGGAGAGTCCCCAGCACCGAGGGAGCCCGGCGCTGGAGAAAGGTAACCGTTTAACCCCTTCAGCCGGGCGGGAGTGGGACCCTGAGGGTGGGGGGGACCCAAAGACCCTATAGTACCAGGAAAACTAGCATTTATTGACTGAGAAGTGTTTAAAAGTGACTCATCCAGTCAAGATAAGTAATACCTTTGCTAGCTACTATAAAAAACTTTACAATTTGGCATTTGAGCCTAACGTGCAGCAGCCTACCATGGAATAAATTAGCTGTTTTCTGGATAAAGTCCAGCTGAAGCAAATCTCAATTGATACATTGGATAAACTAATGCTCTTATATCTCAAAAAGAAATTGTGGATGCAATTGCCATGATTCCTGCTGGCAAAGCTCCGGGACCTGATAGGTTTACGATGGTATATTATAAGTCCTTCTCTGGTGTTTTGGTCCCCCATTTAGCTAAATTATTAAGATACATATGACATTTTAATTTTACCACTTTTTTTTTTATATATATTACTGGGTTATAATTATTTTCTCTTCTGTATTGTTATTGAAACATGTATTAATAAATACTATTTGAATGAAAACATAGCCAAGGCAAGTGTATTAATGCATGGAATTTATTGCTTCCAATAACATTTATTTGTTGTACAAATTGAAGCATATTTAGAACATCAGCAGAAAGATATAACTTAAATTAACTTATTGTGAAATAATTTTACATCTATTTCTTGCTGTAGACATCTTTGTAAGCACTCTTCTCGAGGGTGGCCAGAACCTAGAACATTCTGCATGTATTGTAAAGTTGTCCGATTTGGGCAACATGGCACTCCAACTTTGAGCTATTACAAAGGTTGGGTACTGCACTTCTAGATTTTAGATTTTTCTAAGCTTTACATAAAATCATTTAGGGTATTCTTTTCTGGACATGTTGAAATTATCTAATTGAAGCACATTCTAAATTCTAGGCTCATATATTTTGTAGTGAGGTGTCATAGTTGTCGAGTCATGATTATAGCCTAGCAGTTGTTTGCATGAATCATGCGGCAGCGAAGGATCTTCAAGTAGTTGTCTATCTTGTTAGAATCTCTTCGGAAACAATGCAGGAGGTGGTAGACCGAGAAGAGCTGTGATTCTCCATTGGGTACAGCAGTATCCACGGGCCCAAACCATGGGGGGTAAACGTCAGCTTCCAGATTAGTTTGCATCTGAAAAAAAAAAAAATTAGTCTGCCTTCTTGGTATTTTCTAATTCTATAACATGATTGGGTTGTGATAAATACTATTGTTTGCCACAAGTGATCAAACCTTTGAAAGCCTAATGCTCAACACTGTGAAAGGAATAGTGTTTTGAGGTTATATTAGTAAGGCCAGTTTATATATGCATAGTTTATATGATATATAAATATACCTGTATACATTTTCACATGTTATTAGGCTTACATTATATTGTGTGTTTGTATTGGTGATTCCATTCCTTAACAAAAGCATATATTTTTTTTTCTACTGTGAAATATTCCCTTGAAAGTAAACATCAAGGTAATTAAGATGAGCTATCTCTGATCTATGGACTCTCTTGACTAGATAATGAGTTAAGTAGTGGAATTCTCATTCAGATTGATGGAGTCTAGAAAATTCAACTGAATTCACTACTTTTTCCTGTGCCGGGGGCCAGAATTATCTACATGGCACTGGATGGCAACCCATTTCCCAGTGGAAACTATCTCAATGACTTGTACTTCAAGCTTAATTTAATTGACTTAAGAAGAAAATATAAAAAAAAAAGAAAATATGAATTAAACTCACACAACTGCAGTGGTGATTTCAATAATGCAATGAACAACTGATTGTGAACAGGTGCCTGTTCCTACCAGTAGGGGATCCACTGAAATGTCATAGGGACCCATTCTAGGGTCCTAACTCAGGGTTTGAGTTCACTGCACAGTTTGAAAGTGCCTTCATACTGTAGATCAGTTACCATGTATTTTATCCATAGACTTTAGACAGAACTATCACCATCTGGAAACGCATAATTTGCAAAGACCCCTGACAGTGACATCACTGCTGAAGGTCTGGTAGCTGGGGGGCAGGGAAATATGAGTTCTGCTTATCTGAACCTGTCCATTGTGGGCAACACCATTCCAACAAGTCTTCTGCTCCTGGCGATTCAGCACTAGGGGTTGATGTCACTTCTGTACAGCATTGCAGTCTGTAAGAGTATGGCATGTATGGATGATCCTGTGAGATCACGGGATCCTCCACATATAGACCCATTTCCTTGCGGCTGTCACTGGTGACGGCTGGGGAACTGACACTTCTTGACGGTGGTAGCTCTGCCCAAGGTCAATTGTAGGAAAAATACTGAGACAAGGTAGTCCCTACTTTGTCTCAGTATATGTTTTGACTGGGTTGGGATTTCAGTGAAAAATAAATAAATTTAATAAATAATTTATTTTTGTGAAACCCATTTTGCAGGGTGTGTGGGGGTTGACAGTGCCTCTTTAAAACTAGCCTGAGCTAAACTGAACTAAAGACCAACACAACCCATATTGTTTAAACACAACTGACATAAAAATCTTATTCAAGCATGTTTAAAGAGTGTAGCTACCAATAATACTGAAAATGATGTTTACTGGCACTTGCATAGAGCAATTAATAAATCAATTGAAAGGTAAATAGTATGCACAGTATTTATAATTGAGATATATACAATATGTTTTTCTACCTGTAGCAGTCATTCCTTTTGCAGAGTTATGCGACTACTTACCCTGCTCGCGATTCTGTCTATTCCTCCCTGCAGGGATTTGGATTGTTCCTCAATTTCTTTCACTTTCCTGGCAATATTATCTGGGACCTCCAAGACCAAGTGTTCAAGAGGCTTGTTCCAGGAGCGTAATAACGTTTGCACAATACTCATCAGATTTTCATGCTGCCCAATCAGAAATAAAACAGTGTGGTGTATAAATAAGACCACAAGTGTTAAAGAAATACTTTAATGTTAGGCATACAAAGCAGTATTCCGAATGCAATGATTTTGTGTCCTATTAATCTAAACATGTAATGCTTGCATACCTCCTGTGCAACAAAATATTTAATCAATATCAACTTTGTAGTTATGTTTGTTTTTTTAATGTTGTCAATCATTTCATATATATGGATGAAAATATCATGGTCGAACACTATTAGTAAATGGGTTCCTGTTTTCAGCAGTGCCAGTGAATTAAAGGGATCCTATAATGCCAGGAAACAAATCCGTTTTCCTGGCACTATAGGTTTAAAAGGTCTCCCTCGCACCCGCCCTCCCACAGGGCAGAAAAGGTTAAAACACATTCAGCCACTTACCTTAATCCACCGCCGATGTCCCTCAGTGCTGGGTCAGGCTCTGCCATGTTCCTCCCCACCCCGACGTCAGCTGGCGGGGGAGACCTAATGCGCATTGGCGGCAATGGCCGCACTTGCATTAGACCTCCCAATAGGAAAGCATTATTCAATGCTTTTCTATGGGGAAAGAAATTACGCTGGAGGTCCGTGAGGACGTCCAGCGTCAAATAACAGACCAAAAGTCAGTTCGGATTCTGGTAGCCTTCTAGTGGCTGTCTGGTAGACAACCACTGAGGGTAGACTTAGAGCTGCAATGTAAACATTGCGGTTCTCTGGAACTGCAATGTTTTACATTGCAGAACTAAGTGCAAAAGGGTCACAGCACCCAGACTACTTCAATTTGCAGTTTCCATTTAATCTTAAAATTGTTTTGATGTAGAGATCATGCCCCTGCAGTGCCACTGCTTAATTCTCTGCCATTTAGGCTTTACATAGCTTTGTTTAAGTAGCCACAACTCCCCTGACTGAGACTTACACAGCCTCTGTATTCATTTCCTGTAAAGAGAGGTTTAATATTTACACTTTCTTTATTGCACAGTATGTTTAATTTAGAATGTCCTATCTCTTGCTTTGTTAATTACCTGCTAGAGCCTACTTCAGCTTATGTGTGTTGTTCAATTAACAGAGCAGGAGATAAGAACTTATAAAGTAAGCAAACTGTGCTGTAAAAATTAAACCTTTTTTCCATGGATGTTGTGTGAGGAGGAGAATGTCTAGAGAGTTGAGCAGTGAGACTGCAGGAGCATGACCAAAACAGCTTTATTAAGATAAAGTTGTTTTACTTAGAGTGTCCCTTTAACCATATGGAAAAAAAAACTATATATCAATTGACTTCAATTGTCTTAGCATCTTCATCAAATTATCATGCAACTTAAATTCATATATAGCACAAAATGCATGGATGATTAGCTATGCAGCATCTTCCTCGTAGCAGCCCATGGGTGGTGAATATTTTATCCAGTAGATTGGCAAATTTTGAGTGAATCCTATTCTGGCTATAAAAAAGTAAGCATAGACATGATCCAAAAGAGATGATAAATTGAGATTTCATTTATCTTTCAATGATGTTTTGGTTAAACTGAACGGTCGTTTTATTTATTATTTTCTTTTAATTACTGTTTAATAAAAACAACCATAATCAATACACAATCTGTATGCTTACTTTTATCTGTAATGCTTGGTCCTTGTCCTCTGGTGTAGGCAGTGCAGATGTATGGCAGTTGTTCATGGACTTTGTTATGAAATGGCGCCCCTGAGAATAGCGTTGATCCTGTAACAAACATTTTTCACCAATTTATCAACAGAATTGCTAGATGGGCAGTTATGATGTGAATTCACAACTTACTCTCTATACTCAACATAAGCAACTGTCTGGGTATATTATTTGAACAAGAAATTAGACAAGAAGACCTATTGAAAGTCCTGGTTTCCAATCATGGCACTCTACTGATATCACTCTACTAATATGTTCAATTAATTACTGTCAAATTATACTACTACTTTTTATACTGTGAACCAATGCAATTTTTCTCGCTTTCTTTAACCTACGCTCTGCAACACTGTTCTTTACTGGTTAACTTTACATCTTCCACCACACTTTCACTGCCTCTTTTTCTGAACCTTCATCGTACTTGTCATAAGCCCTTGTGAGATAAGATCCCACCAACAAAGTACTCACAAAATCTTCAAACGTTTCCGTAGAGAGAGATTGGATATAGTGTGAGAGTCTGACTGCCCGGTCAAATAGGTCACTGATGAGAACCTGGCATTGGAAACTTCCCGGAGTGCAAAGAGGGTAGGAGAACACCATCATTTTCATCACAAATATGTCAGATATAAGAAGTGTTAGCAATATCACACCTGTTAGAACAAAACAGAAATAATGTATTTCATTATTCCAAAGTGAAGGCTATGGTGGTTAAATGGTAGTATTTTGTCAACCATTGTAACAACTTTGTGTTATCAAATTTCCTGCTGACTTAAAACATCAGAAACACTTATATAGAAATGGAAAGCAACATGGAAGTCAAAGTAATCTACAATCACTTATGAAGATCGAGGTCATCCACATGACATGCAGACGTCAGTAGACACCATGCCCAGTGAGGTCCTTGTTAAGCTTAGCAGATTGTGAGTTTTTGTGTTGTCATGTGCAACTTCTAGAATTCTTTGAGATTATATATTTTTTAGAGTTTTTCTTTCAGAACTTGGTGGTAAATACTAAATACAACAGTTTAATGTTCTTATTCAGTCTAACCATGTGTTTGTTATAAATTATTATGCTCCTGTCTCTATTTCATTTCATAACATTTCTGTTAAGATAAAAAGATAAAAGACTGTTATAGCAAAAAACACATTAGGTTATTTAATTTCATCAAAGGTTATGTTCCAATAATAACACATTTTTACTGTATTCAGTAGCATGTAAATTAAAGATGTTCCAAATTTTGCATAAAGGCAACAATAACATTTTAAAATCCATCAGAACTGTTAATGGCCTCCCAGAGTGTCAAGCAAGTGATGACTACATAAACCTCTATCATACACCGATAAAATATAAATGGCTTAAACATCTTAAAAGTCCTTATGATAACAGTTTGTCATTCATTATTACGTTTTAAGGGACTACTTTTGATTTAGATAATTGTTCACTTCATTTTTGATCACTTAACATTGTATCCAAAAATAAAACACTGATCTGTTTGTTTGTCAAAGAATTTCAAAATAAAATATGTAACATGTACAACCAGCAAAAGTGATTACGACAAAAAGTCTTAAACATTTAAGAGATGTTGATTTTATCAACAGAAACATCAATAAACTGGTGGTAATGTGGTAACTTTGATATATTAACTTTTAGCCCAAAGAGGCACTTTCTTTCCAAAAACATTTATTCTGATTTTCTTTGTTTTTTTGTTTTTTTTGAAACATATACAATTTATCCATTTTTCAGCATTTTAAAAATCACAGGTGAAGTTGATTTTTGAAAAATGTAAATATATATAAATATATATTGTAATAAAAATTATGTAATTCAACTTTGATACATTTATGCACTAACCCCTGTGAATTAGTTTGCTAAAATAGTAGGCAAAAATAGCCAAGTTGTTGAGGTGGAGAATTTTCAAGATTAGCTACACTTGCCTCCGTTTCTCCATTTCAATTCTCAAAAATTCTGAGTTTAATGAATAGCCCTGCATTTGCTATTTCTTCCATCTTGCTATAAATGTAGACTTATCCAGATGTCTTTACTTTACCCCAGAATTATTTGCAGTCACCAGGCATTAGAACCCACACATTAGATGGGGATATTTTACCGAAACTCTTCCACATACCAGTGTGTGAAATTCCTCTTGTGTTGGCCATGGTCACAGTGTGTCTTTACTTGACGTTCTTATTGGGCTGTGCTCTTTTCTATCTCAGAGTGTGCTTTATTTATACTCTTTGCCTATATGATCATGTGATCCACACGCTTTCTTTGTCCCCACTGACATCATGCTGGTAATCAGAAACATGGAATCCTAATTTGCTAATATTTATATGTAGAACCCATCTGGGATTAGTGGTATCATCTTTGTCTTTGATGCTGTAATTTATTTTATTAAGCATATGGAATATATACAATTCAATTTCTTAAATGTCACTTCTTTTCATTAGTTTTAAAAATAGATAATATATGGACTTTGCTTCCTTATTTTAATGAATATTAATATGTAAAACCTGTTTAGAGTGGGTATGTTTGCGGTGTGTTTAGCCTGTTTTTAAGTTGATGATAATTACATTCATTATAAGAAGTGGATGACCTACACTTCCACTCAAGGCTGATGCTTCTTGAAATATTAGACTAGTCATTTTTCAGATGGTAATAATCAAAGATTTGCTTTGTTGTCAACTGACTCTTTTTATTGTCTTTATTGCATAGATATATAATATCTATTTTCTCATTCAGAAGCATGCATTGAGGGTGTAGAATTGAAACAATGATAAAGAAAGAAATCCCTTAAGATATAGCCATGGCCAAATTTGTCCAAAAATACACAGCCTATGGGTTCCTATCTACTCGGGCCATAGTTAGGTTTGAAAAATAACCAGAACTTGAGTCAAAGTCTTGGCACAGGGTTGATAAAGACAGAATCTCAATACAGATTATCTCTATACAGTTATTTTGGTTGGCACATCAAAGAATTATATACTTCTACACTTACAATATTACACTGGAATACTGGCAAACGTTTTTTACTAATAAAGAACCAAAAAGCTTATTAAGGTGGTAGCTCTTCCCTATATGGCTTTCTGTACAATGTGAGGAATGAAGAATGAGGAAATTTAGAGGTAATATTAAAGGAGACATTGTCCTTTCCACAGCATTGTTTGATAAAAAAATAAATACATGTAGGTTGAGATAAACTTGTATGATCCTCATGATTCAGGTTCAATGGGCGTGCTGAGTGTCATGCATGACTGTGTACTGTTTTATAATGACAGTGTTCCTTCAAGGGGGCGTTTGGTGGAAATGCTTAATTGAGTAGATCTCCAGCATTTTGCTGAATCCTATTTGCAATAGATGACCTAGAAAAAAAGGATGTGTATTGTCTTCTCTTCTAGGTCAGTAATTGGTTGCACTGCATAGGTAGTGCAGTGTGCAGACTCTGTCTTAAGTGTTGATTGATCAAGGGCCAGAAGATACTGGCTGTCTATCACTCATTTCATTATACCATGTCTAGACAAGAAAGGTGGAAGCTCTGGATTGCCATGCTTCTCTCTTTGGAACTGTTTCCAGGGACTTTCCAAACTCCAGTGGCATAATGTAGGCACGTTTGGTGTAAGTAGCCTGAACACAAAGTGCTTTCTTAGGCTGGGTCCTCCAGAGACCAAACTCTACTGGCCAGTAGTTGGTTTGTTCATATGTGTAAACACGTATTTGGCCACTAACTGGCTCTTCCAGGGGAAACGCGCGTTGGGACGGTTCAGTGTTGGTGTTCTGGTGACATTGGACGATGCTGCAGTATTTAATGACTATACAGATACACACCATACACTATTTCAGATATTTTAGCTGCAATCTCTACTTTTTGTTTTAATATTTATATTCCTTTTTTTTTCCTGGAGGGGTTGGGTATTAGTCTATTCATCCTGCTGTTTTTTCCTTCTACATTTAGACCCAGCTACTCTAATATAGAGCTGGTACTCCCTTTCTGGTTATAAATCCTATCCTTATAGACTATACAGGTTTGCTCATAACCCTTTCCCCTTTCTTGTTATCACCCCAGGAGTGTGTGTTTTGCAATATTTGGCACACTATTTGGGTATCTGTGGGAATACGTTTATCAGCGAGATTAGACAGATTTGTATCAATATAATGTTTTCATTCTATCTATGTTAAAGGAACACTATAGGGTCAGGAACATAAACATGTATTCCTGACCCTATAGTGTTAAACCCCCCCTCAGCCCCCTTTAAAAGGAATTAACTCACCTTATTTCCTGCAATGCGCGGGTCTGCCGGCGTTGACCCCGTCCCCGATCTGCCTCCTTGATGACATCATCAGAATTAGCCAATCCAATGCTGTGCCTATGGGAAAGCATTGGATTGGCTAAAATCGGCAAGGAGATGGGTTTGGGGCATCTGTATTAGGATCTCTATGAGGAAAATTCTGCGTCTCCATGCAGAGCGTGGAGACACTTATCGGCAGTGCTGCCTACTGTGCAGCACTGAGCCAGGAAGCACCTCTAGTGCCCATCTGAGGAGTAGCCACTTGGAGGTGTCTCTAGGAGCAATGTAAACACTGCCTTTTCTCTGAAAAGGAAGTGTTTGCATGAAAATGACTGAAAGCAATGATTATACTCACCAGAACAGCTACATTAAGCTGTAGTTGCTCTGGTGACTATAGTGTCCCTTAATCTTAGCCTATACTTACAATTTTATTAAAAAAAATTCTATATAATGGATTCATAAAAATCATCACTTGATCTACAAATTCTTAAGGATTCTAATAAAAGTTAAGTTTTACTTTATTTTTGGGTTGCTCCTCTTTCTATAGGGATTTTCTATATCTTTTTATGCCTTACTTATTTTTTCAGTTTTTGCTTAAAATTGTTACCTTTAGGGGTTACCCTCAATTTCTTAAAAAAGAGTAACCTTACACTATCACCCTTAAATATTTGTATCTATTATGTTCATGGCATCACAACATCACTACTGAGCCACAACTGGGACCATGCCACAGAATAAGCAAGTAGCAGCTAATATAAGCATAAAATTAACTATAGGGGGTTATATATGTTCTGAAAAGTGGTCTCATGAACTAAAAGAACTCTAAATAACTAAATATGGCGCAGTCAGAATGGAAACCAGTAGGTACAATGCATTGGTGACTCTGCCCATTTTCCATGTTTGCACAACACACTATGTTTTGTATTTTTTTAGCTTGGATCAGTCTGAACACTAAATGCCCAGCTCCATGTGGATCTGTGCATGAGGGAGCTGTGCAGTCATGGTACAGACTGATACCCTAAGTCTAAATCTTCAGAGCAGACACTTGTAGGTAGGTGCCTGCTCTGGTGAGAGAAGGGTACTCTGTGCACCCGCCTTCCCTCTGCCATCTGGTGCAGACTGCTCACCTCCATACCCAGATTAGAATACTTCTATATATGTGTATAATGCTTGCTTAACTCAGATGATATTAGCCATGTGAAGATCATACATTTGTAGGATTGGATTGAGAGTGTGGAGTTGACTCCTATCACTTAAAGGAAATAAAAAAAGATTTGCTTTCAAATAAACTAGATTGTGACAGAACACCCTGTCACTGACAGTACTTGTTCACATGCTTTTCCCATTCCAGTTCGGTAACCAATTCACCCTTTTTATACCTCCCATACTCAGCCCACCTTGGAGCTTGTTAACTGACCCCTATTGACTGTAATCGGTTCACACCTCATTATTGCAAGTGTTCTGCTGGGAGGCCACCATTAGCATGAACGATCACTTGGGAAATGAGTTGGGGGCCATCTTGTCACATGAAAGCAGCGGTTTTCGGTTGTCGAGTGCATTGAACTGAAATCGGAGAGACTAACTTGCGAACACTGCTGAACTTTCGTCATCGCCTGCTTAGTTTCCCCACATCTCAGGAAAGCGGTGTTTGGTAGGATTGTTCGAATAAACTAGGCAAACAATCGCTACCTAGGAGCTAGTGAATATGTTCGGTTCCTGAAAGAGACCAACCACCACCACTTTTCTCCTGGAACTATTTTGGGCAGGCGCCATGTGTGCGGTCGGTCAAAACTTTATCCCGGTGGCAATTTGGATGTGTTTGTGGGATCTGAGCGCTATTTGGACACTTTGGGTGCTCAGATCCAGGCTATCTGGGGATATAGGACTTATTGGGGTCCCTTGTAATATTGTATATGTTTTGGGGTGTTTTGAACATTGTACCTCTGTGCCTGGGAGATAATTTGTTTATGCAAAGTACACTCAATTATCTCACAGACACAGGGCTACCGGGGAGGAGTTTGTATTGAACTGTATGGAGACCCCCTACTGGGGGTCTGTGTATAAACTGTGTATAAACTGTGCATGTACCATGTCCCATTAAATCAGTTCACTCCCAGCATTAAGTCTCGGCTAATGTCTGTGGGGGGGAAAGCTATAATCACACCAGAGCTCTAATCCCTTGTCAACTATAACCACTTTGAAGCTACAGTATCTCACAAAAGTGAGTACACTTTATTATATCTATTTATTAGATCTTTTCATGTGACAAAACTAAAGAAATGACACTCTGCAACAAGGCCACCACCAGACATACATGCATACTGACATCCATTCACACATACACACAGACATACGTTCATAATGACATGCAGACATACATTCATACTGACATACATGCATACATACATACAGACATATATTCATATATACATACATAATGACAGGGGTCCTCAAACTTTTTAAACAGGGGGCCAGTTCACGGTCCCTCAGACACTGTTGGTGGCGGGACAATAAACAATATGAACGAATTCCTATGCACACTGCACACACATGCATAAGGACATAAATACACACACACACAAACAGACAGACACAAACATATACATACATATTGAAATACACACAGACAGACATGCATACATACACATACTGACTTACTTACACACACAGACATACATACATACATACTGACACATACATACAAACATACATACATACTGACACACACACACACAAACATACATACTGACACACACACATACATACATACTAACACACATACATATACATACATACTGATAGACACACACACATACATACATACTGACACACATTGCATACATACATACATACACACACACACACACATACATACTGACACACATACATACATACATACATATTAACATACATACTGACATACAGACATACATACATACATACTGACATACATATTAACATACATACATATTAACATACATATTAACATATATACAGAC